AATTAAGAAAAATATTATATTATATTTAAAGAATTAAATTTAAGGATCTTTATACTTAGTTTTATTTAAATACTTACTAATATAAATTTTAATTAATTAAAAAATATAGTAGTAGTTAATTAATTAAGTTCCTAATACTATCTTGTTCTTAGTATTTTATTAAAGGTAGCCGGTTTCTAGGGGTGGCCGGTTTCCCTGTATCTAACGTTACCGGCCCCGACATGATCGTCCACGGGTCAGCCACTTCCCAACCCCAGACCATCAACAATAATCTTCCCCGGCTCAATTCTGCAATCCTTTATACGTTGTTCGCTTATCACTTTCATACCGTCCACCCGCAATGGAGAGCCCGGATCATCCCAGCAGTACCCGACAATTCAAGCGCAGCTACGTCGCATGCGTTTCGTGCCGAGCGCGCAAATCAAGATGTATCGTCAAAGACAACCCTCCCTGCGCTAAATGTGCCAGGGAGCACCGCGAGTGTCGCTTTGATCGCCGGCCCAGGGCTCCCAAACACCGCGACGCCCCGAAATGGACCCGTGGGAATGTAGACGCGGCGCCCGCCACTCAACCCGTTCAGGTGGCGAATCACTCCCCTTCAGAGGACCTTGGCTTTAATTCGTCGCCGAATAATGCTAACCATCCACTGTACAACCGGGTTCAGTCGACAATAGTCACTGGGACTAATGATGCGCTGGACTTTCTGTCAAGCGCTGCAGGACAGCATAGCATCGCTGGTTCAGCGCCATCTCAAGACCATCAGTCAGCGAGCAATGTCCAGAACGACGGTCCCAAAGTCGTATCAGGTGGATCCAATGGAGTCGGATTTACCATCACAGCCCTTTTCAGAACCAGATGATGCTTGTCTAGATATGTGGGACAAGTGTCGCTTCGTTCGTCAGGGCTGGTTTACGGCACAAGAGGCTGTCACCTACATTGACCTGTGAGCTCACTTTCTTCCCTTTCCTTTTGACTCTCATGCTAACGACAATAGCTTCTGCGAAAAGCTTGCACCACTATCTCCTGTCGTCCTTGACCAATTCCGCAGCCATGCATCTCATGAGCATCTCGTTTACAGGGAAGCCATGCTATGTTGCACCCTGCTCATGATCTCATCCCGGTTCTTCACACTGCCGGGCGCAGGCGGTACATCTAGAAGTCACTATGTCCATCAGCGCCTCTGGAGTCACTGCGAAGTCCTCATTCGACGCATCGTCCTGGGCCAGGAGAAGACCTCCACCTCCCAGACAAGAACCATCGGCACAATAGAGAGCCTGATTTTGATATCCGATTGGCACCCTCGCGCTCTGCATCTCCCTCCCGAGACAGATGGCTGGGATGGTCTTCTCGTCACGCCTGGTTACGACCGAGTCAATCGCAAGCATATCAACAACGAAGTCCCTCTCATTCGCTGGCGCGAAGATGTCTTTGAACCAGCAAAGCGGGCGAATAGAATGTCATGGATGCTCCTCGGTATTGCTAACAAGTAACAATCTTGGTTATGAAATTGGGATCTTCTCAAGCCAGACAGGCGATATAGGCCATCCCGTGCATGCTGAAGTCCTTCGTGGCCGCCGAGCTCAGAAGCTCCTCTACAACTATTTGACCCAGACTGCCACTAGACTCGGCTATCCTTCTGTCTTTCCCGAGAGCATATCTGTCATTGCATCTCGCCTGCCCATGCCAGATGCGAGTGAATCAATAGATCAGTCGTGGATATCTTACATGGACCTCAGTTTGGAGCTTACCCAACTGTCGCGTACAGCATCTTCAATGCTTTTTCACTCGGCAGCCCATCTACAAACACAAGTGCTCGGAGATCACTATGTAGACCTTCTTGAACACTTTTCCCTGTCTCTGTCTAAGTGGCAAGAGAAGTTCAACAGCATGAGCCAAGGTAATCTATCCCTGGCGTTCGATCAGTTTCTCCGCTAATGTAGTCACAAGACATCGCGTCACCACTCAAAGACACACTGTTAGTTGAGTTCCATCATACCAAAGCATGTACAGGGGCCATCTCCATTCAGGCTGTAGTCGCCCGAGCTTCCTCCGCTGGTTTCACAGCTGCAACCACCAACTCCGATGAAGCTCTATCAGCATTCATAACCCCGAAAGACGCCAAGTTCCTCCAAGAGGTTATCTCTGATACCAAAAAGGTTCTCCATATCGCAACGCTGAGTGGCTTCAGAGACCATCTCCCTTTTGCACCAGCCCGTGTCAAGATTAGCGTCATTAGTTCATCCGTCTTTCTTCTCAAGGCTCTCAGCGTTGGCTCCATCCATACGGATGTGAACGACGCTTTGTACACTTTAGACCAATGCACATCAACACTTAAACAGTGTCCTGCGGATGACATGGACTTTGCCTTGAGATATGCGGATCTCATCGAGAAACATACTGCACAGTTTCGAGCTCATCTTACACAGCCTAGAGGTCTAAGCTCTGGTCATCGCAGTGGGCGGGCTTCGATTGCGAGGAATGTGGTTCAAGGGCAGACTAGCATTAATGGTCCAAACTCATTCTTGTCTAGTCTAGATTCTCAACAGCTCGGTGATGATGGCGCAATGATGAACTTTGATATGGGGGATACGTGGGTGCCTCTTCCGTTTGACTCAAGCATAGCTCCTTTTAGCGAAGGGGGTGATCAAGTTGCTCTGGGGCTGGATGTTGACGCATTGAACTTCCTCTGGAGTTTGCCCGAGCTTGTGCAGGGCGAGACCGGTTTCGCCTAGCCTCAATAATCCGATATTGGCATTTTCAAAGCCGGCAGTGTTTTTTTACTATATTTGTGTACTAGAGCAGAGCTGATTGTCGGGTGAACACGCTTAGTAGGTTTGTTGCAACATTTAGTAATCTCACATGCGTCTGGTCCACCATCCATAAGTGTCCCCAGGTCTAGAGTCCCCGGCTACCACGACGGTCCGGAGGCATCCGCCTGTATCCGGTGCACAGGGGTGGCAAGGCGTGGCTGGCCAAGACAACCAAGTGGAAAAGATTAGCCGATATTGCACTTCGTGATTTCTTTTGCCAAGGCTCTCACTCGATGAAACTGCCCTTCATCCCAGGACTATGAGGGAGCTGGTGGTATATACTGTTTAAGGCCAGATGGTATCAAGACGGCATCGTGATCTTGGAGTTTGAGATGCTTGTGTCAGCCAATGCAAGCAGTAGTAATGACATGACTCCCAGGGTTCCCTAGTCAGATTAACCTGCAAAATGTGTCCAGCGACCAAGTAGCTGCTACGACGCTAAGGCTGAACCTTGCTCACGGAGCTGGCATCCCAACCAAAAAATAGTGCCATCTTAACGCGGGGTAATCTGGGGTAACAAGGGCCATGGTAATCCAAGCAAGACAACTCGTTGCCACGATCCAGGAGTATGTCGAATATCTATATCAATGGCAGCCCATTCGCCATTTCCAATGAGGATCATCAAACACCCAACTACAATATTCTTTATCCCTTTGCAAGATGTCTAATGTCCAAGACAAGAATCAGCCTGAAGCCCTTGACGTTGAAGAAAAGGGACATTCTGATCACCTTGAGAAACATGACGCCCACATCTTCTCGGCGGTCGATGAGACCGGTACACACAGGAAGATAGATCCAGCTGAGATCAAGCTTGTGAAGAAGCTAGATTGGATTATTCTTCCGGTGCTGTGGATCATGTACTGGTTCAACTATCTCGATCGCAATGCTATTACTGTTGCGCGCCTGGATGGGTTGGAGAAAGAACTTAACTTGACTTCTACAGAGTATCAGACATGCGTCTCCATCTTGTTTGTTGGATACATCCTTGGTCAGATTCCATCTAGTAAGTCGAAGAATATCATACTATTATTCTTCAGCTAATTGATCCATCTAGACATGCTCATGACCCGAATCCGACCATCCTTTTAAATGTCCGGCGCCATGGCTCTTTGGGCCGTTGTTAGTACTCTCACTGCAATCTGCCACGACTTCAAAGGCCTCGTTCTCACTCGATTCTTCCTCGGTGTCACTGAAGCCCCTCTCTATCCCGGCGCTCTATACGTCCTTTCGATCTTTTATACCAAGAAAGAGATAGCTACTCGCATTTCTATCTTATTTACCGCCAATATCTGCGGAACAGCCTTTGCAGGACTTATCGCGATTGGCATGTTTGAGATGAGCGGCGTTGCGGGTCTAGCTGGATGGAGATGGCTCTTCATCCTCCAGGGAATCATCACTTTCGTCATCTCACTTGCTTCCGCCTTCGTCTTGCCTGACGAACCCAGCAATACCCGCTGGCTCACTGAAGAAGAGAGAATCCTAGCCCATGAGCGAATTGCCGCAGATACTGTCCAAATCCGAACCAACACAACCACCTTTGCGGGACTCATCGATGCCTGCAAGGATCCTCGACTTTGGGTCCTCGTCTTTATGCAACACTTTCACATGGCTGCCAGCAACTTCAAGAACTTCTTCCCCACTATCGTTGGAACACTTGGCTTTGATCGCAACACTACGCTTGCCTTGACCTGTCCTCCGTATATCGTTTCAGGTATTGTCTGCATCGTATGGGCTGCAAACTCTGGTATGTTTTCTACAAAGGAATTTCTCGAGGATCGTCTAACTTGAAGTAGGTCGAATGAACGAAAGGACTTGGCACATCACCTTAGCCAAGGTCATGGCTGTTTTAGGCTTCATATTAGCCTGTACGGTCCACAATACAGGTGCCCGTTACTTCGCAATGTGTGTCTTTGCCAGCGGCGTCTACGCCTGTAATAGTGTCATTCTTGGCTGGGTCGCTAGTACGTGCGGTCAGACCCGCGAGAAGAAAGCTATATCTCTGGCTTTAGCAAACACGGTTGCCACGCTTGGACCTATCTACACTCCGGTAAGTTCATCAAGACTTGATGATTGAATTCCACTGACACCATCAAGTATCTCTGGCCGAGTTCAGACGAGCCAATGTATCCTGTCGCCATGTCTAGCAGTGCCGCCTTTTCTGCTGCCTCAGCTGTCTTGGCCTGGGTGCTTTAGTGGATGCTCATCCGTGAGAATCGCAAGATAAGGGCTTCAAACAATGAAGAGAGGCTCTTCTACGCGTACTAGATTTAGCAATGCACTTAGGTGATGCTGTAAAGTTATTCAATTTCCAGTAGCCTATATAGTTATTTCGTTATCTAAAATTACTTTGGCCTACTAAATATTATTGCGGTATGCTGCTCGTTTGTAATCATTCAGCTTGGGTATCTTGGGCTTATAAGGACTGTTGCAAATCAGGTCTGTGTGCTGGCTCAACTAAGCCATTTCACCTCGCTTAGACACAACGCTGTGATAGGATGTCATATGCACTGTAACAAGCTTGAGGCAGGTCTCCCTAGCAGGGTTACAGAACGCCACTGGCAAGCCTAATTCTGGCTTCTTCCGACACTGACCTCCGATGTATTCACCCGAGACTTTTATCTCGTATTCTTCCGGGTTGAGCAGGTTCCGAGAGACACCAAGGTAACACAAGATATTTGCCACCAGAATGCAGTGTACATTCTATAAGTATGAAATGGTCTGAAATAATGCACTGTGCCTTCAAATTCGAGAATACATCAGAGATAATTATATCCTCATTTTGCAAATCTACACACAACACGCACCGCATTTAATAAAACATCATGGACCTGAAATCCGCTCCGATTATTGTCATAGGCGGCGGCATTGTTGGTGCCTCAATTGCCTGGCACTTGGCCAAGGAGAAGAAAGACGTCATTCTTATTACAGAGACAATTGGCGGCGTAGCGACCCCCAAGTCATTTTGCTGGCTTAACGCAGCTGGTGCAACACAGAAGTTCTACTACGATTTTCGACGTCGCTCTATGGCACGCTGGGCTGAGATGGGCAAAGAGCTACCCGATCTCCCGATTCATTGGGGCGGCGTCTTGGCTTGCGATCGATCTCCCGAAGAGCGTCAAGAGTTTTATGAGCGTCAGCGTCGTTGGGGTACAAGCATTAGGCGCATGGAAGCAGCCGAGCTTGCTGCACTTGAGTCACAGGTCGATGAGGCGCAGTTCTCTTTGATCAAATGGGGCCTCCACGTTCCTGAAGAGGGCACCCTCGAAGCACAGGCTGCCGCGGCGAAGCTAATCGCTCACGCCCAATCGTTAGGCACTAGGGTGCATGAAACGAAAGTGACTGGATTTTTGAAGGATGACAAGGGCCGAGTCTCAGGTGTAGTAACGGACTCTGAGGATGTGCATGCTAGCCACGTTGTTTTGGCCGCTGGTCTTGGAAGTGTTCCACTGTTAGCAACTGAGAACATCAGACTTCCTTTGAACGGTCAAGAGGGTCTCCTAGTCAATACTGCACCGAGCGAAAAGCGATACCTCAACACTTTGTTCCGCTTACCAGGCCTGCACATGCGTCAAACCCTCGACGGACGAATTGTCTTCGGCGCGTCCTTTGCTGGTGGACAGCCCGGTGATGACCCGCAGGCAACAGCAAAGCACCTTTTCAGCCAAGTGCAAAAAGCGTTCAAGAATGGAGATGAGCTCGAGTTTAGCCATTACACTATTGGTGTGAGACCTGAGCCGGACGATGGATATCCCATTCTCGGTTCTTCAGGCGTGGAAGGGCTTGACCTGGCTGTGATGCACTCTGGTGTAACGAATGCTGCTCTGGTCAGTGAGCTCCTAGCTAAAAATATTGTCTTTGGTGTTGAGGATCCAATGCTCGGAGACTATCGGTTGGATCGCTTTAAGAATGATGCAAAGCTTTAGGTTCAGCGTATAACATGATTGGGTAAGATAGGAATGGGAGTTGACTCCTGTGAAATCGCTTATACATCTCTTTAAAGTTAAATCTCAATCAAGCTACTTCCGGTAATTTATGTTTAAGTCACGTTTCCCGTACCTTGGCGGCAGAATTGGAAAATCAGCAAGGTAGACTGGTTTGGTCAAACTGCCGCTATGGTACCATGCAATGAATGTGCCGCTGTGCCACGAGAAAGAAGGGGATGTTTCCCGGCAGGTTCTGATGTCTACTTTCAACTAGTTCGGCTATTTATGATGACCATTCGGAAGAATACGACGGGTCAGTAGTGGTACCAACTACAGAAGCAAATCTTCTTCACTCCCGCAGACATGAACATGGTGTTCTGAATGACCTATGCCGATAGAACAGATTAACATCCTCTTGGTTCCACAGCCAAATATCGTTGTTATCAGTAAATCAGCTAATTTCGTGGAACAAGACTAGTACTAAAGGAAACTTGTTTTCCTCACTGCGGACTAATCTGCGTCGTAAAATCGCCAATAAAGCCTTCCAAAAGCCCGTCAACTCCTTCTAGAACTCCAGCATTTGCCATATCATTCATCCAGTACCCCCATGTATCCTGGTTCTGATCCTCAGTTTCAGCTTCACTTGGAGGAGGCAAAGATGCCTGTTCAGTGCGGTTCTTTTTGAACACCATTGCGATGACACGACTCGCTAGAGCCTCGAACGTATCACGATATGGGGCAGCAGCTTGCCAGCCCTCGGCAATCGCTACCAACACCATTGTGCAATCTGTACAAGTCTTGCTGACATCTTCTGGCCGGATAGACCCCCATGCTGCCGGTGATGTCCATAAGCAGTGTAGATAGGTCAATCCAGCTAAGAATAGACAGTGCAGAGTGCCCCATGTGTACCTCGTAGATGTCCCTATGTATAATCGACGATAGGTTTGACATATGCTTCTCGACGCTTCGATGCAGTGTTCAAAGACCTTGCTGAGCGATTCCTTATACTCTCTAAGTTGACTTCTGTAGAGGAGAAGTATTGTGTGGCTGTAGTTTGTTTCATACCAAGCTCTTTTAGCAAAAATAGACAAGTCGTCATTTACATGGGGCCGTGCTTCTGGAGCATTTCCCAACCACGTCTCCAGGTCTACCCGTAGTTGTTCGATTCGGGCATGGTACGTGCGATCTTCAATGCTTAGGCGTACGGTGTCTGAAAGCAGTGATGTATGTATACGAGCCCAAATATAACGTAGCTTAAAGACGTGAATTGCGGTAGACATCCCTTTTAGTGACTGGCTTGAATATTCTCTTGGCAACTCTACGATGCCGGTTTCGGTGATAACAGAGTCATCCAGATCTAATGGGAACTATAGATTCAGTATCAGCATGAAGAGATAATGACCTATTGGTGATTAGGGATTTCATACCTCAGCATCAATTTCTTGAGGTGGTATACCTAAAGGTCGCCCCAGCCGAACCGCAACAGTACAGTCTATCCCTTGAGCGACCCAGAAGACCCTCTTTCGCATCTCTTGTTGGAGTATGTTCGCGACTGGTGCAAACTGCTTAACTCCGCGATGATACCCCAATTCGATGCACTGCCACAGTGCCAGCCCAGAGATCTTCCTAATGCCAAATTCAGTATTGTCACAGCCGGAGTACTTGAGCATTCCTACCATAGGGATGGACCTTCAAGGGAACGAAGAGAGTACATAGCATAGCACAGCAGAGCTTGTATGGATTCAATGTTGTCCTTGGACAGCACATCAGCATACAGCTGAGTAGAGATGTAGAGTTGCTGCAGGCAAGCGTATTAACCACTGCTGAACGGAACTGGGGGGAGAGGAAGCATGACTTACGCCAGCTAAGGATTGAGTGCTTGGTGTAAGTAGCGCAGCGACGGCATATACCTGGAGCGTGAGAGATCTTTAGTGCGTTCACTACGGACAAAAGGCTACAACCCACCATATTGAGAAAGAATAACGGCGTAAAAGAGAACCCAGTCACAGTGAAGTCCAATGACGAGTCATAGAGCATTGCCTCCCAAGTTCTAAAAGTCGGTTCATGTAGGAATGGGTACTGGGGATGGATATACTTGAAATATGCACCGCTCAGCCTAACGGCGACGTGATAGTCTGGTAGCAAGCACGGAGACGGCGAGCTACGCCTATCGCTGAGGTGAGCCAGTGTAGGCGCAGTGGGGAGATTACTACTGAGAGAAAGGTTGAGGATGCGAGAGAATGCAAAGGAAGATGATGAGCCAAGATATTGCGGCTCTATCTGCGTGGTACGAAAGTCCAGCATGCCCACTCTAGAAGATAAGTCGCTGGTCCCATCTCGTTCATCAGGTGTACAAGGGATCGACAACGTGCTCTCGCCGTTGCTTGCTGCTGCTGGCGTGGATTGGGGCGGAGTAATGTGATCGTTGCTCGGGAGGCCGGCGACGCGTCCCTCGAGCATCTCAAGATAGTTTCGAGGTCGTGACTTTTTGGACTGTGGATCCAGGACCAGGCAAGCTGTTGTCATCAGTCAGCATCTCTATGGTCGCTTGGTTTTGTAAACACTTGCTTATGCCCAGCCGCTCGCAGTTACCACAAAAAGGTGTTCTATCATCACACTATGGCTGATTAGCATCATCATAGCTATCACCAATGCAGTCACAGTCAAGATACCTTGAGTTTCTTTTCCTTGCAGTGGAGGCAGGCCTGGTGTGCTCTACTGCCAGGAACACGGCGTCGCCTGAAAGCCCCAGGCCGTCGACTTCTGTTTGCGATCTGCTGTATTTCAATCCTGTCCTTACGTTTTGGAACGAATATGTTTAGTCTAGCATTTGAGAAGGGGATGGCCAAAGCTGGGGCTGAGTGTTAATCCGGAGGCTTCCGGACAATGGCTACTAGTTCGTCGCTTCCGATTGGTGCTCGTATTCTTCCGGATCTCGTCTGGTAGCGTATAGCTTACCCTACAGTCGTCACTTTACGATTAGGGTATCCTACAACCAAAGAGGTTGGACATGAGCTGGATAAGATAACAGTACTGAGTATCATGGTATAATAGATCTTCAAGATCCCCCGCATGTTCACTCCATTTCCTTCAACCACTTCATCAGCATTGCTTCACACCTCACAAACCATGGCCATCACCAGGATCTTTACTGAGTCAGTTCTCGGCAGATATGTCCATACCATCAAAGCAACTCCACGGGACCTAATCGCCAATCGAACTCTGCTCTTCTCCTGTGCAGTCTATGCTCTGGCTGGCCTTCCAACAAGTGAGTAATGCAGTCTTGTTGTGTTTCTTCCGCATTGGTGGGACTAACAATTTACAGCCTGGGACCAGGGATCATCTTCCGTCGTTCCCTCGCTGCCAGGCTTCCAAAAACAGTTTAAGATCGAATCAGGTGCCAAAGCCAGCGATATTCAAAACTTCATCTCGATTATTTACATCGGATATGCTGTTGGCGCGGCGTTATCCTTCTTTATCAACGACCGCATAGGCCGTCGCTGGTCTTTTCGTTTGTACACGGCTATCTGGATCGTTGGCCAAGTCATCGCGACTCTTGCGCCTGGCTGGCCTGCCTTGTACACAGCACGTATTATTTCCGGTATTGGCATTGGCTCTTTGGGTGTCACTGGGCCGATTTCAATTGTCGAACTCGCACCCACCGAGATTCGGGGCCTGCTCACAGCTTGGTATACAGTTGTAATGGGGATCCCACTTTTCACCTCGATTTTCTCCGTCTATGGAATTTTCTTGCATATGCCCTCCAACAAGCTGCAGTACCAAATAGTCTGGTTTTCACCTGCTATCTTCATGGCTCTGGGTATTATTGCTAGCTTCTTTGTTAGCGAATCTCCCCGGTGGCTCATGATGGTTGGGAAGCGAGAAGAAGCTGCCACCGTGCTGATGGACCTACGACGTCTGCCAGCGGACCACCCTCGCCTACAAGGAGAAATCAAGGACATCGAAGATTCTGTCGCTGGAATAGGATCCAGCTTCACAGCAATAGTTAAGGAGACGTTCACTGTCCCCTCTAATCTACGCCGCCTCCAACAGTCCCTACTTACCTATGCCCTGGCTCAACTCTCAGGTGCCAACTCAGTCACATCATATTTTATACCGATCATGAGTATCATGGGCATAGGAGGGGGCACATCTGAGAGCATGTTCTTGAGTGGCATGTATGGCTTCTCCAAGTTCGTTTTCAGTCTCATCGCATCTTTCTTCTTTATTGATGCACTTGGAAGACGCCGGTCTCTGTTTATCGGTATAACCCTTCAGCTTATCTCGCACGTCTACATCGGGGTATTTATCAAGTACCATCAGGAAGGTCATGTATCCTCCTCAGCGTCTCAGGCAGCCATTGCGGCTGTCTTCTTCCACGCTTTTGGATATGCTGTTGGTAGGTCTCCCAATCACCGCCTTCCAAGATGCCAGTTATTGACCGTGTTTTGTAGGGCTTTTTGTGCTTCCTTACATCTTTGGAGGAGAACTCTGGTCTAACCGTCTTCGCTCTTTCGGTGGAGCTGTTAGCCAGACCTTCCACTGGCTCTTCATTTACGCCGTCAAATACAGTATTCCCTCACTTCTTAAAACAACTGATAACTGTGGAGCATTCCTCTTCTTTGCTGTCTGGTGCTTTCTTGCGTTGTTATACGTTTTCTTTATGGTTCCAGAGATCTCAGGCCTGAGCGTGGAGGAGATCGATTATCTATTCAAGGGTTCTTGGTTTAATGCTTACAAGCGTGTTCGCCGACATCCTGTTATTGACAGCGTTGAGGCTGGAAAGAGCAAGCTCTCTAAGGAATAATCACAGATTATGTACTTAGTTTATTTCTAGAAAGGGCTCGGTCCTAAAGTTGAGTTTACTATCCACACTAAGGATAGTGACATCTATAAGGGTTCCTTGACTAACTGCTTTAATCCTACTTTTGTTTTTACAATAGAATGTATATAGTGTCTTAGCTAAGGGCATCCAGCCGCTTCACCTGCACAGGCTCGTTGGGTCCAGCAATAAGAACCTTCACCACTTGTCCCTCTTTGACCTTCTTAAACGCTTCTTCCGCTTGATGGAAATCCACCACGTCACTAATAAGCTTTTTTACCGGAACTCGACCGCTCGAGACAAGCTCAATAGCCAATTCGTAGTCCCCGGGCCCGTACCGGAAGCTGCCCTTTACTGTCACCTCCTTTTGGCACATTGCCATGATAGGAAAAGTAATATCTGCCTTACCCATACCACCCTGAACATATACGCCTCCAGCCTTGACAACATGCAGGGTCGTTTGAATAGAGGGTTCTGCTCCACTTGCATCGATAACAACATCGGCACCTTGTCCAAGATCACTATTGGCAAGTATCGCCGCAGCGTTGTCTTCGGCGGAAATTCTTTGCGATAGGTATGTGTGTGTGAAGCCCAGCTCCTTTGCAAAGTTGAGCTTGGATTGCACAATATCGACGCCAATGATCTTGCTGGCACCAAATGCCTTAGCAACCGCCCCGCAGAGAAGGCCGATTGGCCCGGTTCCCATGATCACAATGCTGTTTCCAGGTGATAGTTGGGCTTGCTTGATGATATGGACTGAAACTGCCAGGGGTTCAATCAAGGCCCCTTCTTGTAGAGATACAGTCTGGGGTAGCTTATAGCAGAAGTCAAATGGGGCAACCCAAAAGCCTGTCAGAGTACCATGATGTGGGGGCGTAGCTGCAAAGACCATGCTGTAGCAGAGGTTATATCGGCCAGCCAAACAGTTGCGACAATATCGACAAGGATACCCGGGCTCAATCGCAACTCTATCGCCTGGCTTCAGGCTTGTAACGTTACCGCCAACCTCAACCACCGTTCCAGACGACTCATGGCCCAGGATCATAGGCTCTTGCACAATAAACTGACCAATTCGCCCGTGATCCCAGTAATGTACATCCGAGCCACAGATTCCTGTGTAGTTTATGGCCACAAGGACATGGTTTGGTGTTGGAAGCTGTGGTATCGGCGCTTGGGCGAACTCGACATCGTGGGGTTTATTGAGAAAAAAGGAGAGGTTCTTTGAAGGCAATATGTTAGTCAGTGGGACTTGCTTGAATAAATTAATATTTTACAATGGCATTACTTACACTTTTTAGGTTTGGCTGACCGTTGGAACTGATTGCTACCTCGCTAGGCATGGTGCTGAGTATTTGCAGAAGTTAATCTGATTTGGTTGTGCTTTCGGGGCCTCAATACATATAGGTGCAAGAATATTTCGGAGATAAAAAAGATATTCAAGGTAAAAGTGTAAGCTCAAGATGATAAGTCTTTACACTACAGAAGGCTTCAACCAAACCAAATATGCTATCAACCTGAGACTTATCAAGTCAGCTTGAAAGCTACTCTGCTCCGCATTCTAACATCGGAACCGTATTCGTCCTCTCACAAACCCGGCGGAGCTGTGAAAATTGTCAAATCTGAAAACGCTAAGCTTAAAGTATCCAAGTTGGCTTTCTACTGCCGTCAACTGATGCGGGGTTACAGACGCTAGAGATCCCATTCTTATCACCAGTCTGGCCTAGTTTGCTCCAATAAGTACTCTCCGTCGGCTTTGTAGGCCCCCGCAACTTCGGCACATGCAGGCTGCTGATCCGGCTCGACTAGACCAGGCAGCCATTTGCGAATTTATGCTTCCGTCGGAAGCTAAGCTCTTGAAAAGTTTGCCAGTGTCAAGCATTCCGAACCATACATCTACCCAACTCCATAATAGTCTCTTGACAAGACCGGGTCCGAATCGGCTGTGCATCTCTTACCAGCATCTAACAATTGCTTTAGTCACTCCAAGACAATACCTCCTACGGCTTAATTTTCGCTATCATTATGTCAGACCCTACAGAACAAACGTTGGAGAGTGGTTCCCCGGTACCGGTTGCAAACCGCCAGCTTCCTACAAGAGTGTCCAAGGCCTGTCGCCGATGCCGCCGGAACAAAAGTAGAGTATGTATCGCTTTTTACCCTGTCCAGGACCAGCAGGCCATCTAGCTGACAGTGCCATAGTGTGACTCTTTCCGGCCTTGCTCCCTGTGCCAGAGGTCCAACGTTGAGTGCGAGCCAGAAACATTAGATCAAGCATCCAAGGGCAAAGCCAAACCCAATGGTCACCGTCGACTAGCGAGGCTCCGGCAGTAAGTAGATAGATGTAGTGACTCTTTTGGTTCGACTGATAACAATAAATCGAAGGCGGACTCAACAAGCAAACCGTAGCAGCAGCTGCGAGACCCTGCCCGTCTCACTGCCGCCTGTTCAACAACAGCCTTTGCTTAGCCGTGGAACCACTTCTGCTGATGGTTTAGCAAGCGGTAATATCTCGGAACCAGCAGAACCAGCCAGTCCGTGCGAACCGCTGGATTATGGAGAATCCGAATCAGCCATGGGCTTTGCTCGAAAAGTATGTGCTTCGCCCTCATTACTGAATGACCTTAATTTACAAGACGTGCCAGATCTACAGACTAGGAAGCCAGACCATTGATCAGCAGCAATGCTCTGCTATTCCCGACGGGGCATTTGGTACCAGGACTCCTCCGGGCAGGTCCAGGGAAAAGCGTTTACCGATATCCACCATTCTAGGTGGCCGGTTTCCGAAACAAAATGACATTGACTCACTATTAGAAGATTATTTCGAATCTGTACACTGGTTTTCGCTAGTAATCTACGAGCCAAAATTCCGCAAACGCCTAGTTGTTATCAAGGATGGTTACGCATATCCCACCGAAACACCGTTCTTGACGTTACTCTCGATTATGCTATGCATGGCAGCGTGGTATCGGTCAAAAAGATGCGATAGCGAAGACGGAGGCGAAGAATGGCGGCTTTGGAGCGACGACCTGTTGAAGATTGTTGAGTCTCGCCTGATACACATCATGGACCAGCATTCCATTGCCGCTATTCAGACCCTCATACTGCTGGGATCGCATCATGTCTATCATGGTCGGCCCAACTTGTCGTTTGCCCTGTTAGGTGCGACTATCAAGATATCACATGCCATGGGTTTGCATCGTAATCTATCCAGCGAATGCTTCGATAATGCCGAAGAGCGAAAAAGAATATGGTGGACGATCTATACCTGGGATAGGTATGTATGATACCAGACTATCTATCTCCCCCTTTGAGTGGCAATACTGATGATTTTAATGTATTAGGTTTGCTTCCATCTCCTTCGGTCGGCCGTTGAGTATCAATGACGAAGACTGCAACGTTTGCATGCCCTGCGAGTTTCTCGAGTCACCCTTTTTCAAGCCCGAGTCGATTGAACAAGGATTGCCTAGTGTCCAATATTCACCGTACCAGACCCAATTGACCACGCTCTATATACTGGCTTCCCCTGCCTTGAAGACGATATTCGGCTCCCTGTCAGCGCAGTCAGTCGGTCAGCATTTCGACGCCGAGTATCGATCACTGGTCAGGGATGTCACGCAAAAACTGTTAATTTGGCGACGGGACTTGCCATCCTTCTTGTCCCTGGACTTGAATCGAGACTATGCCCCAAACAATACCCAATGGGACGTCCGGGCGCATCAGTTACAGGCTCTATCGCTACAGTTGACATTTGACAATGTATTGATCGTGCTTCATCGTCCATTTCTAGCTCGTCAGATTGAGAATCTATCTGCTCAGACCCCAAGTAGTTTGCCTGGTTTTGATGGCTCGTCTTCGGGCCAGCGTATGCAGCAGCATGTGCCTTCACACTGCAGCGCATCACCATCCCAGAGTGGCCAGTCGCCTAACTTTGAAGCAAATGCCAGCTCCGAACAATGGTGGAGTGCAGCAGTCCGAACTGCTCGCATCACTGAATTACCGCGTCTCACCCATCTAGCCACCGACAGCCACCTGATAGCGTTTATGGCCATGAACTTATTTCATGCGGCCATCGTGCTGACTCTAGTGGCCCTGTCTGAGCCGCTTTCAGACCCGGCTCAAGCAGTCAAGCGAACCATCACGCGAGTATTTCAGCTGCAGGAACTGCTGGGCCAGCAGTCAGCTCTGGCTAGCCAAAGCAGCGCTGTCCTCAAGAACCTTATATTCCTGCTTGTTCGGCGCGAAGGAGAGGCTATGCTTGGTTCGGCGGCATCCAAACCAGGGCTTATCAATAATACACAAACAAGGCATCGAATTACTCCTGATACGGATCGCAGCCCCATACCAATTGAGCACTCTCTTCGCCTCCCCTTGGAAGCGGCGCTCAATGCAGATAAACGGTCCAATAGAGCAGTCAGATCGGATCTGAGCATTACACAGCGATTGAACCAGAGCTTGGCATCGGTTCAACAGAGTGAGTTGGCTTCAGTTACCCAGCATGATTCCCGACAAATGACTAACCCCATTGCTAGTTATCCCACCTTTCTGTGACGACTCCATCCAAGATAACTTCTTCTCAGCTCCAAGGAATACAGCTTCTCAGCACGAGTCAGTACCGCCCCCACAACATAATATGTGGTTCCCGCCCAGCGGCTTTCAAGTACCTTCCGAAGCTCTAGAGAATAATGACGGAGATGCGGTAGACTATGGGGCAAATGGTCTGTTCTGGCTTTGGGACTCTACATGGGCTGGTTAAGCACATCAAGAGAATAATCTATAGTGAATTGATACTATGATGCGTCCATGTTCTGCCGTGTTTCCTTTGCTAAAATCCGGACCCTGATGCACACTGCAGAGTGATTGCTATTGCTGGCAGTTACCATTACCCAGCTATTATCTCGACATGATGCAGATCAGCATAATAAAATATGGGTGGCGATGATCGCGCCAACACATTCTCAATCATTGATATGTTTACCCTGATCTCGTTGTAGAGGTTTGCCAGAGAAGCAAGGGTGTTACGGTTCCGGCGGATGTGATTTTCAGCTTATGTGTTCCGGCGGATGTGGTTTCTGCCAATGGGTAGTTAGTGGCTGGCGTTAAGTTCGCTAACTAACTAACTAACTACCAACCTTGGCTAGTCTAACGGGGTTGGCCCAACTCCTCTCCACTGTTTGACTCAGGAATGTGTGCCAAAGTATCGGGCATTGTCGTCGGCGTCATATTGATTGGTGCAATCGGCGGAGTTTCCACGTAACGCAAATCCTACGGATGCTGGAGACTCTATTCCTGTTACGATTGATACTTTGCCCCGGAATTCTCCAACCGTGGGGACCAGCCGTTGATTTAGATGCGGGGACTTTGGAGTACTGTAGATATATAATCTGGGGCCCCAGACCTTTAATTCTTACCTAGAAGCACTCGATCAACAGTACCCTGTTCAGTCATCTATACAATCGTCCTTAAATTCTTTAACTATTGAACTTGATATAATGGAGAAGCCGTCGTCGCCGACTCTTGTGGAGAATGCTCCGACTCGCGCCAATGACGAGGACCTCCCCGTCACAGAAGTCTCATGGCTTGAAGCTAAACTCAAGCCAAAGAGCGTACACGCTCGTTATCCTTTTAAAGGAAAAGCTCTTCTCTGGATGACTTGTGCTTTCGGAAGTCTTGGAGATGCCTTGTTTGGCTATGATCAGGGTAAGTTTCGACTCTGTTATCGAGGGTATTGTTCCTTTCATCCTGACACCATATATAGGTATCGTGGCCGGCCTCCTAGTTAACCCAATTTTCCTCTCGCGATTTTTCGCCGATTATGGCGGCGCGGACGGGACGAGCGACAACATAGACCCTTCTATCACGGGAATTCTCGTGGCATGTCTTCAGGTCTCGGCGGCTCTGGGCTCCCTTGTTGCCGGTAGCCTTGGAGACATGATAGGGCGAAAGAGATGTGTTCGAATCGGTGGCTTCATCTACTTTGCTACTGCCTTCATCCAGGCTTTTGCCCCTGGCTTCAAGACATTCGTTGCTGGTCGTACTCTGCAGGGCCTGGGCGTTGGCTTCCTCTCTATGACTGTTCCTGTCATTCAGACTGAGATTGCCGCCCCGCATCGCCGCGGCTTGATGGTTGGCGTTGAATACACATTCCTTATTGGTGGCTACGCACTTTCGACCTGGGTCGACTTTGGCTTCTACTTTGTCATTCCCAAAACTGAGTCGTGGCAAGGGCCTTACTTTATCCAGATGGGCCTTGCTTTTATCCTCTTCTCCATGTCCTTTATTCTTCCCGAAACTCCCCGTTGGCTGGCGCGCAATGGCTTTGCAAAAGAATGTCTCCAGACCGTCGCGGATCTGCACACACCAGACGGCAACACACAGGCCGAGCATGTCCAGCAGGTAATGTTGGAGATTAAAGAGGCAGTGCGCTACGAAGCTACCTTGGAGAAGTCAACCTGGTTAGAGATGTTCACCCGTTATCGAAAACGTACCATTGTTGGTATTACGGCACAGATGTTTGCTCAGCTCAACGGCATCAATGTCATTTCGTTTTACCTTCCCACTACCCTTGCTAAGGCGGGCATGAGCCAGGAAAAGTCCTTACTCTATACGGCTGCTAATTCCATTCCCTATGTAGCTGCCACCATTCTTACTTGGTGGCTAGCCGATAGATGGGGACGACGTCCGCTCCTCATTCTCGGTGGTAAGTAGATGACCCTGACGTAATTCGATCAAGGCTAACAATTGACGATCACAGGTATTCTCATGGCTATGGCCCTCTGCATCGTTTGTGCGTTTACCGAGGCCCATGCCCTCGACATCAACACCCGGGCCCATGGCATATATGCCTTCGTGGTCATTTACAATGCCATCTACGGCTTCACCTGGGGTCCAATTCCCTGGCTGCTACCTGCCGAGGTCTTCCCCCTTCGCGCTCGAAGCAAAGGCATGGCACTTGCTACGTGCTCCAACTGGCTATTTAACTTTGCCATCGGTATGTCGGCGCCAGATGCATTCAGGGGAATTGGGGGATACTACTATGTCATCATTGCGGGCTTTTGTCTGGTTTCCGTTGGTCTTGCATACTTCTACTATGTTGAGACTGCAGGCCATACACTTGAGGAAATTGCATTGGCGTTTGGTGACAAGGCGTTTGTAGATGATGATAGTGAGGTGGTCCAGGCAGCACATTTGAGACGAGACGACGCCGTTAAGTCGGTTATGGCATAATGTCGTTACCCTACTATATAAAGGATAAAATTAATTCTATTACTGAAGTTATATTTTATCTATTTTGTCTTTCTTTGTATTATTCTTTATATTCATCCTATAGGTCAGATCTGGATCTGGCTGCAATACGGAAAGAATGTCGGCCCGAAAATGTATTTATTATCATGGCTGTGTTTCTCTCGCTTCGTCAAATTTGTTGAACTGCATATACAGCATTTCAATTACAAAATGGCTACTCCATCTGCCGCTGCTGTTTGGAACGCATCGAAAAGTCCTGAGCAGTTTGTAGAGCCTTTTCGCAAAGATGGTCACGCCTATCGCATTCGTAGAGAAGCTGAGGCTATGAAATTCGTACAAAGTCACACATCGATCCCTGTGCCAGCCATTCTCGAGACGCATTTTGGCTCAGGCGGCAAAGAGCCAAGCTGGATTATGATGGAGCGAATCACTGGAGAGCAACTAGATAAATCATGGCCGATTATGACTGACATGGCAAAGCAACGAGCGATTACCGAGCTCAGAGAATATCTTGCCCAGCTACATCGCATTCGTCCAACTGGTTCTGGGTGGATTGGATCTTGTTCTGGAGGTCCAGCTTACGACCATCGACTGAATAATATGTCTAACTGCGGCCCTTTTTCGTCCATTACCGAGTTTAACGATTACCTTTTTGCCCCGGTCAAAAATTGCCCACGGCCTGAATGGGTCGCGAAATATCGCAACCAGTTCCGCGATGATTATGACATCCATTATGCGCACGCCGACATCTCAGGAGAGAACATCCTGTTGGATCCTGGGACTGGTTCTATCATAGGAATTGTGGACTGGGAAATGGCCGGCTTTTGGCCCGAGTGGTGGGAGTACAGAAAGGCATTATTCGGCTCTCGGTCTCGTGAGCCGTGGAATGGGATTTTGAAGCAAATCATGGCGGCGTACGATGCCGAAACTGAGGTTGACATGGACCTTGAAATGTTCTGAACAAAGCCGATATCTTTTTGTCGGTCTTTCATCTCGACGTCTGCGATAAGGTTGTCGGTAGTTAAAAGAGGCTTTACATTTGAGGCTTGTGGTTTAGAGCTTAAAACAGCATCAAGCACTTAGTAACATCTCAGCTCAGCCAACGCGGACGTTGTATCGAATCGATGACAAATACCCACGCTAACATGCCAAGGAAAAACAAGTAACGGGTATATACTGTCTCAAAGATGAACTTCATATATCAATTGGAAAACATAAGCAAAACGTGAATAGTTCCCTAATGAAGACAATTAACTCCAATCCTAGTCATCCCAATTTATTTCTACACCCCCTCGACTGCGTATATAAAAGTCAAGGAGGCTTCAAGCGGCAGCTCAAAGTTCGATACACAACGTCAATTTCCTCAGTGCCCCCACGCGCCCCCAGTATCACGGAAAACCTCCTCCCACCACTCCTGGTTCGGCCCATTGGGCGCCTTCTTCGTGTGTCTACATATCTCCCCAAGCTTCAGCTTATCCAACCTCCCAAACGCGTTATCAACCATCTGTCTTGGGTACCTACTCTCATACTCCGCCGAAACACCCCAGTACCGAATCCTCCCACTATCTGTCTTGACCGTCGCGAGAGGATCTTCAGGCTCACCCTTCTTCTGAATCTGGATCTTGAGGAGCTCCCGAAGGTGGTGGTAGTACCATGGTTTGTCCCACCATGTGGACCGTCGTCTCTTTAGCCCGTGCATGCCGTTGTGGTGAAGAATAACGGGGACGGTCTCGAGGAAGAAGTCGGCGTAGAGGGACATGTTATTCCAGTCTGCGTCTGGCTGAATGAGCTCCAGTGGGTTCTCTGCATTCTTGATATCCTCCGGTAGACCTTTTAGCCGTGTGGGTGAGATACCCAAGTTAGCGGAGTATTCATCGATGAGTTTCTGATCACCTAGCGTGACGAAAGCACCGTGATCTCGACCCTCGTCATCCTGCGTCCACTGGGTCTGCATCGATATCTGTTGACCGTAGTCAAGGCCAATACCATACTCCAGTTTCTTGTCCAGCATGTCTCTCATGCCACGTCTAGGCCTTCCCTTTTCTCTCTGGAATTTCCGATAGATCTCTTGCTCAACAACGACTTCACCTGTAAGGGCTTGCTCACTGTGCATCTTAATTCCCTCTCCAATACCAGCCTCCATGGTAAAGAGCGATCTACGAAAAAGGCGGCGCATGTCGCCAGCGGGTCCGATATAGACACCACCATTGATCCATCGCGGTCTGTTGGTCTGCCAATGCTCCCCGTCTTTCTCCGTATCAGGACCGTAGAGATCCTTTCGCTCTGGGCTTTCAGGCCACTTCTCACATTGGATGTTGATGCCCTTGTCCGCTAGGCCAGAGTAGCACTTCTTGCCAGTGGCCACGAGGATAGTCTGCTGCATTGGCATTTTCCCCTTCTTATTCCATTGCTTGCGCAGCCTCTCATTGGCCTCCTTGTTGATCCTGTGATATCGCTCGAGCATGATCTGTGCCGGTAATTGGAACCAGACGTCGTGGCCGTCAACCATGAGTATGATATCATCTTCACTCAATCTCTCAGACGGATGCGCATCAGGATGCAGAACTGCATCGAGATAGTCGACAATGCCAGGAATCTTGGGCAAGTTGTGGCCACCGTTCCAGTGAGAAATGAGTCGGTGGTCAATTCCCCAGTTAATGATGACGGGACTGGGGTAGCCGAGCGCAAGGGCGGTGACGACCGTTTTGCAGAGATCGGGGCTTGGAGACGTAGCGGGTACGACGAGGGCGAATTTACGGTCCTCGTCACGATATTTGTGACGGTGATGCGACCAACTCGAGCTGTCTGTTTCCCAACTCCAGGGACTGAGAATAATGAGTGATAAAGCGGAAATAATGAACGCGACGGCGGCGATATGAGCTCTTGGAATTTTTCGGACATTGGAAACGTCTGGGAGGTTCTGGAGGCTGGGGTGATTCAGAACCCGGACGACAATTGGGAGTGCTAAAAGTGTTGACAGTGTCGGTATCGCAGGAAGTGTTGGGAGCTTTTCAGCTCCCGGGATTTCCAACTTATTACTCATAGCGAAAGTTAAAATTCAATTGAGCATTTAGAAAAGAGGAGCGCGGTGGCTCCAGCCTTATGTTTTATGAACATTCTGGCGGGAAATAACACGTACATGCCTTGCATTCAAGGGAAGGGCAGCGAAAAGGGGGCGAAATTCCAATTCATTGCTGGCACAATTGGTGGCGCTTTTTTAGTTATTTAGAATCAGATATCACAGGCTGTTGGTGGTGGTGTCTCACCTCGAGTCTCAGGGTGCGATAGAGATTGCAATCTGGGGACTCTTGGAGTGGTATTTGTTTGCGCAAGGGATCATTTAAAGCGTCGCCTAGATGCGTGCTACTGGCTTGGCAGGGGATGCGTCTTAGACTAAGTTCTGTCTGCTGATTGAGTTAGTCTTGGTGTCTTAGAGCTGAGGTCCGAGCGGGATAAGATTCCGATGGCAAAACGAGATTCACATTGCAGTTGGACTACCCTGCAGCTGTCGGTTTTTCTCATAACATAGCTGTGTTGGCAATTGGCGGCAATGGCTTAATGTAAAGAAAGTCATTGTCTCATACTCTATTTATCTTGATGGCCCATGGTAATAAATGTGATTTTCTCTTAACATGATGGCTAGATACTGGCATTATCTGTTTCTAACAGTAAAGGCTTTTGGCAATGCCTCACTCATGTGCGACAAATGTTTTTCCCCAAGTTCCGACACCCCTGGCTTGCATTTTCTTCATGCTTTCAGTGGACTACCAATCAAGGCTTCTAGATATAAGAACTAATTTATGATTTAAATAAGGAGGGCATTGACATTATTTATTATCTGTTACATATATCGCCCGTTATTTCTGAGCGCGAAGCGTCTACAGATTCCGCGGGCGGAATGGTGGAGCATTATGGTGGCTCCTAGAGCGCTCATACTAGCGTTATGTAACTGATATTGGGGAACTTACTGACAGCGTCGCAGGCTACATTTAAGACGTGTACTAAGGGGCGATTGAAATTGAAGACTAATTGGAAAAACAGCTGGGAGACAGTAATAGAACAAATTTCCCATTGATCTGCGATTAATACTTCTATAAGAGAGTTCGTGAGTTAGTAGTCTTATTAAAGTGTTATCAGTCCGGCAGTTTCCGAATCGAGCCAAGCGCCTCACCTGGAGACCAACTCTAGGCTACAGTGGCTTAGACCAGCGAACCACCCAATCAATCACAACCAAGCTTATAGTCATCCAATCTCCCCTAAATCCATCGCGTCCTTCAAAATCACGCGGATTCTCGGCTTAAATATCTTCAATTCTTCTCAAAATATCATTCTATTTCCGTACGATTCCAGTCAAAATGTCAACGAGAAGAAGCGCCAGGATTCTTAACATTGACTTGGGCGTCACTACTAAACCAGCTGAACCTGCACCTGAGTCTATTGCCGCACAGAAGAGGAAGCGCAAAGCCCCGGACCAAGACAAGAAAGATGAGCCGACAACGAAAGGGAAGAAAGTGCCAGTGAAGAAGGTGAAAACGGCAACATCAGCCGTTGGCAAGCCAAAATCGAAGGCCAATGCCACAGCCGAGTCTGAGATTCCGAACGACACGGTCCCAGTTCCGGACGATGTCTTGTCAGTCTTGCCAGCCGAGATACTCCAACAGATCCTCGAAAGCGTCAGTCTGCACCAATCAAAGCGCAGAGTCGCAAGCACTAACAAGCTCAGGTCAATGACCCAAAAAGCATGATCAAGATGGCCTGTACCTCCAAGCGATATTATGCTGTCGTAATGGCCATCATCCATAAACGCATTTCTGTCTCAACCTACTTCTGGGCTCACATTCCCCACGTCATCCGTCGAATCGAACCTCATCTAAGTATAGCTCAAAAGAAACAGCTCAAGAGAGAGCGCCAGTACAAAGGTCAACAGGAAAAGTTCTCAGCTCTCCTTGATCCAAATGCAGTGCCTTCTTGTGCCAGCAATGTCCGGCAGATGATCATTGGAAAGATTGACCCCGGCAAGAGGCACAAGCCCTTTTTGCTGAGGTATTTTGAAGAGGTCTTGAAAAACCTCCACAACTTGGAAGTCTTTGATACTAAGGACCTAACTAAGTAAGTAAATCCCTGCTTGGCGGGCGGTTTCATACTAACGGTACTGAAGTTTGATGGCGGAGGGCCTTTCTAAAATGGAAGATCTTAAATCTATACGACTCGACCCCTACGAGCATAGCATAAAGTCTGAAGCTATGATTTCACTCACCAAACTCAGTAATCTCGAGCACATCTGCATCGAAGACAGAGGTTATGGATCAATTGTGGTGGCCAACGAAAGACCCTTACAGAGCATGCTACTCAACTCCCTATCAACCCTCCAGAGTCTTGAGATTCGAACATCCAAATATTACTCTGATTTTCTTGGCGATTGGGAAGGCAAACTCAAAACTCGCAACCCTGATGCTTTGAAACAAGGGTATGATTTCACGGCGCTCAAATCACTGACTTTACATGGGATAAGCTTCAGTGGTGACTTTTGTGAAAACATGATGCCGAACATCACAAGAGCTTTTGACTTTCTTAAGCTGAGGGAGCTTAATCTCATGGGCCTTGAAGAAGGACAGCTCACGTTCTTTAAACATCTCGAAGACCTGTTCAGTAAAGCTGACAAGCGTGAGATCCACCTGCGAAAGCTGTGCTTGGATATGAAGGGACCTGACTACCAGTCCAACTATGCTGAAACCGAGGTCCATCTCGAGGGGATGTATCGATTTATCTTATCGTTTGACTCGTTGACCAGCTTGGAAATACATGACTACAACATGTATAACACCAACGTGCAGTCAAATCCGGGACTATCGAGGCGATTGTTACAGTCGGTTGTGAAGCATACAGGGCTCGAAATACTGCGCTTTCATTATCGGCATTCGGGTAGTGAGCCATGGGACATCCCGTTCGCCTCAGCAGAGAATGTGAACATCTTGACCAAGAACCTACCTTCGCTACAGGTCTTTGAGGTTGCGCCCCAAGAAGATAACCTTGTAAGTTGTTACACCTATCTTCCCAGGAAGGTTAAAACTGACACAGAGGAGGATGCAATGGCCCGCGCTCTATCACGCGCCAAGAACTTGACAAATCTGCTTTGCCCCAACTTCAAGAGCTATTACGAAGATCGAGAAAACGCCCACTTGAACTTGGCTAAAAAGCTCCTGGGGGGATTTCTGGAAAACGCTAGTAGCTGTGACAAATTCGTTTGGGAGGAGCACTACAAGCTTGGACGTATCACCATGGGTTGGACAGACTTACGTATCGGATCTGGACTGAAACCGAAGAAGAATTTTGAAAAGCCCGTCAAGATCGAGATGGCCGATCGTGCGGTGATGGTGCAGGACTTACGGCCGAAGAAGTGGGGAGACTCGAAGCAGGTGTATTACACTGCTGATAGTCGATGGGTGGATAATGTTACGAGGCCGGATGGTCGCGAGGGACCGTTACAGCTTGTGTATGATGATTAAGAGCTGGTCACTAACGTTGAGAGGCGAAATGGAATGAGACATTGGAGGCTGCATGTTGAGCTTGCCAAATTAGGGTATGTCAAAGTGTTGAGATTCTTCTAAAATAGACATTTCCCCCGTGGCCATCTGCAACCCTTCTCCAGCCTAGAAACTCAATGCAAGGTGGTTAATCACACCACAGTCCTTTTCCTCTCCACCAGGCAACTTGCTTACAACCCAAACTGGTGACTCAAGTCGTAATTCAACCTTCTTCTTTCCATCACCCTGAACACTCCAAGACACTGTAGCAGTGTTGCTCGAACCAAGCGCTACCTTGGCCTTCAATTCTCGGGTCAAGTTCAGTCTCGGCGAAAATAGCATCTTACTTGACCCCGGAGCTATGATGTGCAGACCAGCTAGTTCGGTACAGTACTCGTAGATGGGAACACTGCCCCAAGCATGGCAATCCGAGCGCTGCCGAACGTCGTCCTCTTCCCAGGTTGTGAGGTTATTAGCTAACATTTTTCGCCAAGGATCCCAAACACTTCCCCATGCTGACTCGTAGACTTCGTCTCCAGCGAGAGCGAACGCCCGTAGAGCATAGAACATCATGACATAGGAGCATTTGGAAAAGTCTGGATTAGAAAATGATTCATTAAGGAGACGCGATCGGTCCTCGGGAGTTGCAGCGCCACTGAGGACAGCGAACACTTGGCAATGCTGGGAGTAAGCCCCCTCACCCGCAGTATTAGCCGTAGAATCTGTGAAGAACTTTCCGTCGAAGCAGTGGGTGCGAATCGCACCGACTACAGAAGCCGCGCGGGATTCGTACTCGTCCGCGTATCCAGGTCGACCGACATCTCGAACCAGACGAGCAGCCTGCTTCAGGACATACGCATAGAGCATACTAAAGTACGTATGCCGATTCGATTCCCGCCCAGAGGTTGGGACTCCCTTGTCCGGGTGCGTATCGGTTGCACCCCAAGAAGTCACCCAGTCGACATACTGCCAGACATCCTCTGGAAATCCACTAACGAGGCCCAATTCATCAACGTGAGACTCGAAAAACTCAAAGACACCGTCGATTCGAGGAAGGAATGACCGTGTGTATGCTGTGTCGCCGAAGTAGAGGTGGTGGTCACAGATCTGAAGGACCCAGTATAGGGAGAAACCAGCGATGATCTGCGGTACGTGGGAGGGGAAGCGAGACTGAGTTAAGCCCTCGGGCGTCACGGATGCGGCGAAGTTGGTGATTGTCTGCCTCATCAATCTGTCGTCACCTGAAAGAAGATAGTGAAATAGACCGACGGAGCGAGAATCGCCGGAGTACCTGGAGATAGGTCAGTGAGGGCATTGAGCCGTGGTGGTTATGCTTACTGAAGTTGTTCATAGAAAGGGCAGTCTGAGTATCCGTCAAACATGCAATTTCTCATAGTTCTGATAGAGACATCCCATATCTGTTTAGCGTCCTTGTCTCCTGGCTCATCCCAGCTTGCTTTGACTGCAAGAGGATAATTGACCTGCGTGGCATCAAAAGAGCACAGCTCGACAGACTCGGCCCCAGCTGTGATCTCCCATCGCATAACGCGAAACGTCCTAAACCAGAATGGTTCATACACAACGGTCTGCGAAGCTGGTAGATCAAGCGTTATGTCATCATAAGGACCTATAATATGGCCATTGGTCGCATCTAGCCTGTCAGACTTTGACCTGAAGAACGGATAAGCGCGCGGTTCATTTTCGTAACCCTCACTGTAAGTGATCTTCATCCGGATCTGGCTCTTTTGATCCGCTTTGAACGTCCAGCGTAGAAATGCCGTTGAGTGCACATCCGCTTGGACCTCGAGCGTGTGTGAAGACCCGGCTGCTAGGGTAAGAGGGCGTTGTCCTGAGAGATATGCAACCCAGTCATCCGAATTCAAGCTTCCGACGTTCTTTCTGACGGTGTTGACACAAACAGAGGTTTGCTCCGGAGTGGGGATCACGCGCGATCGAAGGCGCCAAGGCGGAAGCTCTCCGTTGAGTGTCTTGATGTTGTATGGTGCTGGTGTGACTTTCTCTCTGGCAGGGCTGGGGACGATGTGTTCGTTAATCTGAAGAGGGTCAGTGTACATCTCCAAGGCGAGGTCAAGAACTTACGTGAAGGAACACATCGTCTGGTCTACCCATTGGGAACAGGATCGAGTTATCCTCTTCAGCCAACCAGCCATCCCGAGAGTCAAGACTAACAGACTCCCCGTCCGCTTCAGCATCTCCAATAACAGTCAAGCCAGGGAATGAGGTTCTCTCAAAAGGCATACCACCCCTAGAAGGCGCAAAGTAACGAATCACCACGAAGGAGATCTCATTGTCGCCTTGTTTGAGGTGCGGAGCAATGTCGAGCGAGTCGTAATACCATATCAGATGACTCCCTCGCGCTGGGCCTACAGCTACCCGAGTGCCATTGATGACGAGCTTGTATCGCGTGTCGGCCGAGAAATGGAGGAGCGCTTGGGTCGGTTGCGATGAGAGGGTGAACTTGCGGCTGAATGTGACGGTACGTGCGGCAGTGTTTTGTTTGGAGGAGTCGACCCAGTCAGGAATCCAGATCCAATTGGATTGGAGCTTGTTAATGATCTGCAGCTCCGATTAGTTTCATGATGCTAAGATTGAGAGATATAGACGGTGGCTACTTGTTGCTCCTGTGATGGCGCCATTGAATCTTTTTTTAAACTGCTTGTCTGCAGCGAGTAATCTTGATAGGGAAAAAAGATAAGAAGACTACATGGAATTAATATCTGTGATGTTACTAGTAGATAACTGCTTCCGTTTGAGAGGTCGTATCACCTCGGGTCATGTCAAAGCGAGCACGCGTTTAGTGCGGGGGCCATTGATCTAGCACATTTGCTAGCCTTAGTTAGTGAATGTCGCCAGCTGATCATTTCCGCATTCACGGCGCTAGCTGACAGTGAGAGGAAACCGCGTGCTCCAATTCAACAGGTCATGCATCGGCGTAAGTGAGTGTGGATCATTACACCGATGCCATGTTTTTCTGCTACGTACGACTTAGACTAAACTAGTTACTAGCATTGTCTCACAGCACAGCTACCAGCCTATCAATCCAAACCCATGTGAAAAATTAGTTCTCAGAGCTGGCGCCCACCAGTCCGCCAACCTCCGAAAGCTGAAAAATCCACTATGCTACGTTCACAGTGTCACCAGGAGAGCCTCGGAAGCCTGGAGAGTTAAAGTCGCCTTTCCTCCCGAGACAGTCGCCGACTCAACCGTACTCTGGCCCTGAATCTTGCACGATCCATTCTCAAACGTCTGCCCAGCAACAGTTGGGCTTTGACCGGCGTCGACTCTGGATGTTGAAGCAGCGGCAGTGAGCCTCTTGGCCGAGACAGTGGAACCAGAAAGCCCAGTCAGGGTAAAGGTCTGAGAAGGACGAGAGCCAGTGGTGTAGTAATCAGAGTTGTAAAGAAGAACTCGGATTGGCTTGTTGTCTTTGTAGATGGCATATGCTGCGTATCCGGTCGTCTGATCATCCAAGGGAGCGATCTTGTCGGCGCCGGCGAGAGCCATCGTGGCAAAGTAGGCTCCGAAATAGGGAGAGCCCATAGAGTATCGTCCCCACCAGCAGTACTGGCCTGTTGGTCGAGGTGTTAGCTTCTGTGATGACTCTGGATAATGGTTTGCTTACAATTTCCGATGGTGCCGTGGTGGAAGTACAGAGTCTGCAATACATTAGTCACAGAGCTGGAAGAGATGAACGGGGCTTCGTACCTCTGTCCCCATGATCAAGGATTGCATCACATAATCGAGGAGCCAGAGTCCAGCACCGTAAGTTGGGCTAATGCCGCCACCACCCTGAGTAGCTGGGTAATGCTGTTAGCCATGAAAACTTCTTGATCTAGAAGATGACTTACCAGAGTTGATCTCTCCAAAGACATGAGGCTTGCCCTTGGCCACCGCAGCCGCGACTTCCTTAGCAAAAGGCTTGATCTGGGATGCAATAGCGCTGTGGCTCATCAAGTTGGCTAGATTGGCAGTGCTCTTGGACTGCGGGTAGTTGTGCGAGCAGTACTGTCTAACATAGCTGTTGGCCTGGCCCTCGGCTGCAGTCAGACCAGTGATACTCATCGGGCTGGTTCCGAAGTACACACCGGCCGAGATGAGGTTAGAAGCGGAGATATTGCCGCACACAGCGTCTTGCCAGGATACTTCGCTGTTGTAGTCCGCCGGAGCTGTCCAGGAGGAGCCTTGAGCGATCGGATCACTGCTGCTGAAGACTGACACATAGTTAGAGGCGAGTAAGTGCCGGGCTGGAAGCGGAACATACAGTTAGGTTCGTTACCAAGTTCGATGGCATGGAGGCTGCCAATTTGATCGACCGCCTTGGCTGCAGCAGCGACGGTATTTGCAAGGTTATTGAGGCGACGGTTGAAGCCTATGGTTACTTTTCCATTGTATGTGCCCGCCAAGGACATGAATGACGGCCCGAAGGCAAGCGTGCTTGGCGCATCTCCCGCGTTGGCCACTGTATAAGTGACCTGCTGGCTAGAGGATGCATTGTAGGTAGCTCGATCCCTGTTCTCCACGTTAGCAGCAGCACAATAGCGGCCACATTATCGAACGTACTGCGTAGTTCCTCCGATTCTGATGGGCGGCCAAGTTCCCGAAAGATCCTTCAGGTTCTGCAGACAGGTGGAGGTGCTAGGAACATTGTTCCAGTAGCCCGGGAAAGCGAAAAACTCAAAGCTGCGAACTGTCAGCAGATTGACCTTGTGTTGGTAGTGCTATGTCTACTCACGAAACGCCGACTGGGGCATCGGAAAGCTGGGCGCTCGAGTTGACCGGCGGCGAAGATGGGACGTTGAAAGATAAGCCTGAAACAGCGGCGACCTGGGCGATAAGCCAGGCTGTGCTAAGACGTGAAGCCATTCTCAAGATATGTTTTGGCAGTACGAGATTGAAGGAAGCTTGTCAGGATGGTTTCTGATAGTCCTTTATTTGACGTGGCATTTCGCTGCCTTTTATTCTTGAGACTTTACGGCTTCAGACTTGTTTTCGTTGATCGTCGGAGTCAAATCAGCTTGAGTACCTGACTTCCCCCTTTGCTCAACCTGGCCACTTACACCAAGAACCAAAGTATACTAGAGCAATCCTGATCCTGGGGAACATGGTCTAAGGCAGGCATTTCCCCAGACTTTCTCTAATTTCGGGCTTCTCTCCGCCTGCTTTATAACCCTGTGCAGCTTGATCTCAGTCTCATGATCACCAAACGATATTTAAACCATGAACGTCCTTCCTCGGTTCAAACGCAACCGAGTGCAACAAGCTCAAAACAAGGCTTCTGCGCTACATCTTTGACCCGAGAAATGTTCAGCTCGGTCATTGTTCAAACGAAGATGGTGTAAGCGATTAACTCTGTTATGCTCTTCATGGCATCAACTCTCGGATATTGTTGCCGTGATATCCCTGACAGTCGCGTCTGATTGGATCTGCTAGATCGTCCAGCTGCCGTATATGAACGGACTGGTTTCTGCGCCCCAGTCAAACACAAGCACGCAGTGGGGTTTGCCCTTCTAGCCAGACAAGTCTGGGGCCCCGCGTTCTCTGTGGAGGAATAAGACTTAAAAATATGACATTGTATCGCCAAGTTATTTTCCGGAAAGATTCATCAGAGCCAAGATCTTGGCTGCATCAAGTCCAGATCTGCATTACCAACAAAAACACCAAAACCGTCAAAACGCAGCAAGCAAAAGCTCAAACCGAGACCGTCGAGGACACAGGTGAAGGACTTCTTATGAGGTCCAAGCTTGATGACCTGAGCGTTTGGCAAAGTGTACGCAGGTTCAAACGCGTTGGCTGCATTGCTATGCTTGCAGCCTTCTCCGCATCTCTGGATGGCTATCGTATGTTTTACATCTGGTTTGACATTCAACTATCTGCTAATCATGATTCGCAACAGAGATCAATCTCAACGGTGGAATCGTCTCCAACCCCGGATTTATTCGACAATTCTCTACCTCTGGCACGACCATCATTGCGGGCAAATACATCTCGGCCTGGGGAGGTATCCAGTCAGCGGGCCAGACCATCGGCCAAGTCGTACGTCGATACTCATACTCCAGATTTCCAATCATTTGTTGACGATGTTTCTAGCTCCTTCAATATGCTACTGAGCGTCTTGGCCGAAAGGTTGCGATGATGATCATTTGGGTCGTCCTCACCGCGGTACGTACGCAACGACACTCACAAGAACCGGCACTGATCATAGTTCTACAACCATACAGAGCATATTTGCTGAATCATTCGCAACACACTGGCAGCATTGGCTGGTGGCAAAGCTCTTTTCGGGCATGGGCGTTGGTATGCTGCAATCCACCATGCCTCTGTACCTATCCGAGATCTCTCCCACCCAGCTCCGAGGTTTCTTCATCAATGCCTACAGTTTGTAAGTCATAATAGATAGTTGTTATGACCGGTTCATCATATATACTAACTCTTAAACAGCTGGTTTGTCCTGGGCCAGCTCTTTGCCTCCGTGGCCCTCAAGGAGCTTAAGGCCAACGACCCGCTCGATTTCCGTACCCCGATTTACACTCAGGTGAGTCACCAAGACTGTTGGAGATTTGGAAGGAAGGGTTTAATTAACTCGGGCATAGTGGGCGATGATTGGCTGCATCCTTGTGGCCTTCCTTCTCATTCCAGAGTCCCCTTGGTGGTTAGCAAGCAAGGGCAAGGTTGAACAGGCATCACAAGTACTGAACCGATGCTTCGCCAACGTCGAAGGATACGACATTGATCAACAAATAGTGAGTGCCAAGTTGGTTCCATGATTTCGATAGTTGCTAATCCCCGAGTAGGAAATCATGACTTCTACCATCGCCCTCGAACGACAACAAGCCGAGCAGAATTCCGAGCTGGGACCCTGGGCTGTTTTCAAGGGCCGCAACCTGATTCGATTCATCATTTCCGGCTGGCCCAAGATTACACAGCAGTTCGTTGGTCTGGCCGTATTTAATACCTACGCGACATATTTCTGTAAGTGCTCGCTGCATGATCTCCAGCGAAATCTCTAACAATATCCTGCAGTCCAATATGCAGGAAACAAGGATCCGTTCCTTGTCACTCTCATCCTCTCGTCAGTCCAACTGATCTCGATGATCGCCACTGCAACACTCACAGATTCCATCGGTCGACGCCCTCTCACCGTGTACCCGTACGCTGTTACGGTTGTCTGAGTTCTGTGCCTGGGTATCATTGGCTGCTTCGACTATACAGCCAAGGCTACCAGTTCGCTACTTGTCAGTATCACCTCGACGGGATCACTTTCTACTTGACTAATACTGTCCTGCAGATCTTCTTCGCTTGCCTCGCTACGTTTTCCACCACTGGTGCTTCAGCTATCGGTTACGCCTACGCCGCTGAGATTCCTCAACAGCGCCTCAGAGCCCAGACGGCTGGTTGGTCACTGGCTGTGTCTAATTGCGTCGCCATTATCTTCAGCTTCTGTACCCCATTGATGATCAACGGAGCGGCCAAATGGGGTGTAAAGACCGGTTTCTTGTAAGTACCTTGTAAAAGGCTTGTTCTTTTATTCGACACTTGCTGATAAATACTGTGTAGCTTTGCTGGTACTGGCACCGTTGCCGTCACTATCGCCTGGTTCATCCTTCCTGAGGTTGCTCGACGAACACCCGCTGAGATTGATGAAATGTATGTTAAATATCATCGGTGTTAACTATATGTAAAGGTATATGAAGCTAATACTCGATAGGTTTGAGAAGAAGGTCAATCTTCGCCACTTCGATAAGTTTGTCACAGAGGTTCAGGTCCACGCACATGAACTTCAGGACAGGAAGAAGGTAGTGGATGAGGTTTGAATGGCGCTTTAGTGAAAGCAAAGGGATGTTGTGTCAGGATACTTGCTCTTCACTTCTAGTGGCCGGTCTTATAATACTCTTGTTCATAATTGATGCTATCTATATTGATTACCCATTACTATCCTTGTAGGCTCTCATGTGGGAGCAATGTTGCAAAACCGGAAGCCACCTAACCTTATCCGAACAAAGTTCGTAGGTCCTTTTTGTCCATAAGGATGATCCAAGAAACATCCATGCTCCAGCTGGGCACCTCATCATAGGCAGCCCACAATTCTGCCACAAACTTCTCAGCGACTCCGATTGGACCGGGATGTAAGCATTCTTTGAACAAGCTCAGACGTCGTAGTATAAAAGCTCGTCCTTTGCTTACGTCGATAGCCATCTGTGAAACGGACAGCGGGTCCTCCACCTGCTTACCACACTCAACTGGGTCTTTCAGCAGGTCTAGGTAGTCAAGAATGCTTTCCATGGGCCTCGGCTTAGCCGAACTGCCGCCGCCGGGCTCCGTGACAGTCGGAAAGGTTGGTGTGTATCGAAGCCCTGTGGCAGCGCAGATGTACAATAGGGGCTGGATAGCACAGCTGCCGGACTCGGATGGAATTTGCTCCAGCACTTCTATGAGCCGAAGAGCGAGGGGTATGATGCGTTTGTGCCAGACCATAGTTATTTCTTCTTCACTAGTGTCTCGCAGCACTATTTGGGAATGTGTCATCAACAAGGCAGGAAACTGTATGTAGAGCTGGAGCAAGGAGGCGAGTTGATAAGCTTCGGCCACATGTAGAAGATGAGTAGCTGGTGTGCGAGGGTCACCTGTATCGGTGAGCGATGGTCTAGGAGAAAGCTGCAATTGTAGCAGCTCCACCTCCAATTCCCTTGCCTGGTCGATCTCTGGTGTCGTTGGAGGCGAGTCCAGTGCTCGTTCAACAGTGCGACGTTGGTAGACCCGACAAAGACGAATCGACCGCGTGAAAAGGGTCGTGCTTAGCAGCGAGACGCCAGTCCACGGGTGAGGCTCCGCCTCGTAGGAAGTTTGGCTGTAAGTAGCTAGGAGATGAGACCTCGGGAAGCTGGATGGTAGTGCGCTGACTTGGTGTATGTCCGTACCTGGTTCCGGGTCATATATGAATGATATCAACATATCCCAGTAAATCAGACTCTTGTTAAAGAACTTTATCTTCTCAGCGTCAGCAGCGAATCGTTCCTGTGAGCTCCATCGAAGCAGTGACTTCGCTTCTTGCAGAAATGGCCAACCAACCCGACGAGTATCCAACCAACAGATTGTTGTACCAAGGCAGATCAGTGCGAACATAATACCTCTAGGCATCTCATCTAGGACATTCTCCTCGTTGAGTTGCTGTATTTCAGCTTGGACACTCAGCGTTGCCGATTTGAGCAGATTCATAGCAGATTGCCTCATTTGCGGTAGTCGCGCCGAAAGGAAGCTGGCTGACATACTTTGCAGAGCGGTGAAGACCGGACCCGAGGTTTGCCAAAGATCTTCGGCCATTCTTCGATTCATGTTGGACTTGGAGTCGAAGCCGGACCATGCCTGGCATACTTCGTCGAACCAGCATTTAAGAAGCCGCATAGAAGGGTCTGCATCTATCTCTAGTGGTTGTACTGGACTGGATAGACCAGGATCTAGCCAGGAGTTCCCTTGAGGTGAGGTATCAAAGCTGAAGTTTGGTAGCTTGTCGAAAGTCGAAAAGTCGAGAGTCGGAGTCTCCATAGTGATGGATCCAAGGCTACCAGCAAATTCTTGATCAAACATGTTGGTCGAATCGAAGCCCAAAAGATCTGATAAGCCGATATCTTCTGATTGTGGCCAAAGAGCTATTCCTCCGTCCGCCACTACACCAGCCTCCTCAACCTCGCGGGCGTATTCGTTATCCATCAGTGGATCCATAGTAATGATAGATGAGTTGCCGTTCAGAGACTCTGGCGACTTCCTTTGCTGCTGTAATGTCTCACTTGCTGTCACCTCGTGCTTGTATGACCACCTCAAGGTTTGCTGAGGGTAACCGTCGCATAGCAAGCCTTTCTTTGCACAGTTCGTACACGTGGGCCTGCTTTCATCGCATTTGACCTCCCTGCGTCAGTATCTTGCAGACCATTTGAGATTCTGAAGCCATACATGTCGTTGTTTGCATGAGTGGCAACCGCCTCGGGAACGGCGCCCGCACAATCTGGTTTGCCTACCGCGGCCACGTCGGGGCATGGTAGCGTGCAGGTACTGAGCTTTTAGTATAATTGCTCGGGCTATTCCGTTCTGAAGCTTGGAGCAGACTTGCTCCGGCGGTTGAGTGTCCGTATCAGCGAGGGGAAATTGATCGGCATACGTGATAAGCACGGAGGCGCGGGGTCTAAAGGAACTAGCGAGGCCGTAAACTACTACGGTAACCGGCATACGGAGCAAAATGCCGTGATTTCGTCCAATCGAATGGGTACGTTTTTTAAGCATCACCTTTCGTCATCCGGCTTGACATAATGACTCATATCAAGAAGTGAAGATTTAAGATAAAAAGTAAGAACTATTTATTCACCTGGGCAGAACCAAGATGTAATGCCAAAAGCTGGTCTGCTGCACAATTCAACCCACTCCCAGCTTTTATATATGCATACATGTGCGCTGTGTTTTACAACACTTAAAAATAGAGATGTGAAACAACACTGTATTTCTACAAGTCCATGAATCATAGCAATATTAATTGACCATAGCAATAAGGTACCATCCTTAAGCATAACCATGCGGAGTCACGATCAATTTGTGTCTTCACTTCTTCTTTTGACGTATTATCTCTATCTTCTTTCCCCAAGTAACATGTCACGGAGTCCAAGAAGACAATTCTACCGATAACAGTGAAACTATAGAAGCTCTCCCAATCCTTCCTGGCTATTACCAATCTAGCTTTCTGGAAGTGCCACAGTCCACGGCTTGGCAGACTGAAGTGAGTGTCAGCCAACATGGCCTGAGGATGTGGAGGAAACGTCAACACAGGGTGCTCGCGGGGGCTTGACTTACTTCTTTCAGCTTTCGAGAGGTTTGCCTCGCCATTTTGCTGCTTCAGTGTAGCGGGATTTATTTCTAAGCCTTGGAGCGCCTCCCGCCGTCGATGCATTTCGACCGCAGCAGCAATCTTTGCTTGGTAACCTGTCACTTGTCAGCTTTGCCATTATAAGCCGTTCTACATGGCGTAACCTCACCATTGGCAATTCCCTTTTCTTCGGCAGTGATGAGTTGCTTATACTGATGCTCAAAGCCGAGGAGCTTCTGCTGTATCTCCTTTTCAAGTGAATCCTTGATAGAACCATCAAGCTTGAAAGACACTTGGGCACTGTGTACATAAATGTCACAGCGCAGAGTGGTTTGATCAACGGCAACGGGATTGTACGTGAGTTGGTACCAGAAAGATTGACTAAGCCTTGTGTGTACGGTAGTCAAAGGGAAGAATGATAGCTGTCCAATAGAGCTAGGTCCCTCTACAGGAAACCAGCGGGCTAGGCTCGTGAGATTGGCCGCAGTCGAATGCAATGTTGCGTCTGACTGGTCGACTGTAGTGCGTTAGCAGCTGCGCGTATTCTAGAGTGAACGTCGAAGACGGGACGGTGCACCGACGTATGATCTTCCAATTGAACTTTCCACTGCACTCAAAACTTCCGACGAACTCTGAGTCTCTCCCAAACTTCTCAATCTTGTCCTTTTCTAGGCCGGTTGAGACTGCAGCAGCAGGCACGCCCTCATCTCGGCTCACGTTGACATGCAGGAAGCCTCCGCTATCCTGCTCCGTGTGGATTTCGAAGAGACTATTCAAGCTCCTATCGAAACCAGGGAGATTGTCGAAATAGGGAGCTTTAGTGAGCTTTCCCTCCGTGTTATAACTCCATCCGTGGTATCGGCAGCCAAGAACGGTGGCGCTGCCAGACTTTTTCCGAGCGACGGGGAAAGCTCTGTGCCTACAGACATTGTGAAACGACCGCACTACCATATCTTTCCCTAAGATCATGAGGATACGGAAGCCTGCAACATCGTAGACCACATAGTCGCCCGGGGAGCCAAAACGCCCCCGGTGGCTCACGCAAATCCACGTCTAGCAGCGAGATCAGACTTGCGCGGCTGATAGTAATGAGCTTCCAGTGAACCTACCTGGCTGAAAATAGCGCGTCGCTCAAGTTGGAATCGAGCTTGATCTGACCACCATCCATCAGGCAGATTGAAGATTCCGTGTTCCGGCACTGGTACGGAAGTAGAGTGTCGTTGGAGACATCGCCAGAAATGAAGAAGTATAGACGTGATAAGCACACTCGTGGTGCCCAACATTATTAACGAGATCATTGAGAAACGCACCGAGAACGATAGAATGTAATGTATAAAGTGACAAAAGGTAATTATTTTCTTACTGGAAGGCAAGAATATTTAGGGCAGCAGCAAATGCACCAGATCCGCGGGACCCATTCCGATGGTTGCCATCCTCGTGTACGGTTCCTATAATAGGCAATGAAGACTACTGAATCGAGGTGTTTGCGCGTATGTATTGCAGGCTTTGTAGTAGCATATCAATAGAACAAAATAATTGCCTATCAAAGAAACTCAATACTACAATGCATGATATCACTCGGCAGCAAACATGAAGATAAGGCATGTTGCGTATAAAATTTCCTGATCTGGAATAGCGCAGGGTAGGTTTCCGGCCGATAGCGAACATCGCCTGGATAAAGCTTACATGTAGGTATTCCGATAAATAAATATTCTGATGTCCCCCTTATGGCTTGAAATAAGAAATATGAGTGGAATAAGCATTGAAGAAACCAAAATATCACTACAATCCTTCCTATCCACAATTCAACATGACCGACTGGGATGTTACTCTGCCTGCTTCCTGGTATACCAGCTCAGGTATTTACTGTCTAGAGAGGCGGGCAATCTTTCTCAAAGCAAGTCGAAGAAGAATACAAATTCTTTTAACACACAGTCACTGATCTTAACCCAGTCCTGGGTTCTTCTAGGAGCCGTAACGAAGTTTTCCGAAACCAATGTCAACTATGAGCACGAGCTGGCTCAGATCGACATCATCGTCCGTCGTGAGACTGAAGATTGGAGGAGCATTACAATTACCAAGAAAGACGATGTGAGTACGAGGCAAATACTCTCTCCAGAAACATTGCTTATCATATAGGGTACCATTATGCGATCGCACCTAACGCCCAATGGTCTTCTTTTCTTGACACTGTCCGACGAGACCTGCTCCTTTGAAGACTTCTTCCCCGGCTTTGAGGAATCAACCGCACACGCTGACTTCACTGAACTTCCGCTAAGACGTCCCCTCACCTACACTTCTCAGAATAATTGGAAAGCTACAGTCGATGCTTATCAAGAGTGCCTCCATTGTGCCTACGCGCACCCCGAGTTTGCAAAGACGTTCAAGCCCGCGGGCTACAAAGTCATCAACAAACACAACTACTCACAGCATATTGCTACCGCCACTGGTGCCGACGATGGCTTATTCTTCTTCCTTTTCCCGAATTGTTCCTTGAGCTTGTACGCTGGGGGTTTGACATGCTGGCGCATTAATCCATCTGAGATACCCGGACAAGCCCGCATGGAGTTTGACTACTATCACAAGGCCCCTGCTGGTAGTAATGAGTTTGAAAAGTGGTATGGCTTTACGCGAAACGTTGCGGTTGAAGATATCGAGCTTTGTGAGAAAACGCAAGCAAATCTTAATATTGGCATTTACTCGGAGGGTCTGCTAAATCCACTAAAGGAAAATGGCGTTATCTGTAAGTGCAACATAGTGAAAAATGCCCCTTCCTTATACTAATAGTTATATTTTGACAGATTTCCATAACCGTATCCTTGAGTTGTGCTCAGCTCAGATCGAGGAAGAAGAGGCCACTCGGTCTGCAGGTGGCAGTGCAGGAATGTCATCGAGAGAACACCAACTGCCCTTATCAAAGCATCTGACCAGTTACTAAGAGTCACCATGACGGTATACAAGGCGGTAGAATAGTCCGGTGCTACATTCGTTACATTTGCCGACACTTTGTTAACATGATCCCGCCTCTGCGTAGCCTGACTCTTTGTAGCAACATTTCACGCAAGGACCGACATAGGAAACGCTAGCCCATCACGGCACAGGGCTGCTCATCAGATTGAACCTCAATCCGACCGCTTGAGATAGGACTCTTCAATTTAGGAACGGCCCGAAAGCTAAAGTCTGGTGACGTGGAGACTCAATTGTAATGTTAGTCAATACCTTCGCTTTGTTCACAGGTGCAGGTAACAACACATGACTGATGTTTGACTCGCAAGTAAGGATCAGGCTATCTACTTATTACTGATTACCCCATCTAAAACAAATGAGACGTGTGATATGCTATCTTTGACCCTCCATCCCATTCTCCAGGTTGTTCTCGTATCGAAACGTGATATCCGTCTTAACCCCAATCCTCCCATTGGGCATAACCAACACCTCCTCACTACTGTTGTCCTCCAATCCATTCTTAATGTTCGTTTCAAATGTACTCTTTGGTGCACCAGTACCAGGATTGCTACCACCTTGAAGCTCAAGAGGCATCTGTTTGAAGCCTGACAGCTTGCGACTGCTGGACATGCCAGAGCTGCCGAGGAGACGGGGCGCGTATTTCTTGGCGATGGCTTTATACGAGGGGATCGAGGCGGCGAGGATGCCGATGTTGGTCTCGATTACGGACCAGTACATGGCATCGGAGATGACCCAGGTTTGATCTGAGGAGCTGAGCATCTTGGGGATGTAGGTGATTCGGATGATGGATGAGACGCAGGCACTGTTCAGGTTAGCGTGAGAAAGATTGATAGGGATATGTAAGACTTACAAGAGTCCGAGACCCAAGATGATGGCCAAGCTGATCTTCTGCCGTCGGGGGACACGAAGCCTCGACACCAACGGAATAGGCAGCGTGTACGTAAGAATGTCCGTAAAGATATTGACAGCCGCATTCGCCAAGTAGAAAGCATTGATGTCAACGCACTTCTTATCCTCCGGCAAGATCGTGATATCGTACGCGGCCGGCACTGGAGAACATTGGAAGATGCAAGCCAGGACATTTGCGCCAGCCTGGCATCCAACAACGCCCATCATCACGAACGCCGTCTTGCGCAACATCTTATCTCCGAGGCGAGTGTAAAGCGCGAGTACCGAGATCTTGATGAAGCCAAGGCAGGCATTGTAGAAGATGGATGAAAGCCAAACGATTTGGAGGTAGGCGATAAAGTTGTCGGTGCCGCGTTTGATCACGTCCTCGTAGTGGCCACCGAGGCCATGTTGGACGGCTAGGGAGGTTAGCAGATGCCAGTCGACGGGAAGCAGCATACTTACAAGCTATGGTACAGCCGATGAAGCACCACGATAAGATCTAGAATCTGTCAATATCTACATATGCAGTCGTCAACGGATAAGACGTACGGCTCCAACGCAAATCAAGTCTGCAACAGTTAGCAAAGCCCCAGTAAATGGATCAAAGTACTCACAATCATCAGCCCCAAGCGACCTAACAATAAACGTCCTCGCCCACAATCTCAACACAATAGCACAGAAACTAATGACAGCAAAACAAATAGCGACCGAATTAACCGTCGAGCCCTGAGATTCAGTCATGGTTGCAAAGACAAACGAAAAAAAAGGTTGTACGAGTCCGAAAACCTCAGCTGATGCAGAATGTTCGGCGGGTTAAATGGAAGAATCCATCGAATCTCAACTGAGACAAGCAGATGGCCTTTCATTACAGCTGATTGATTGACTCCTTGGTGTTATGCCAATCGTTAACCATTCTGTAACAAAAGCACAGACGTACAAGTCTCGCCTCGCCAAGCGGCCGAAGATCTTACTGCTAGCCCTGACATACCAGGTGAGAGAGGAGTTTGTTCAGGGGAAATTCATATATCAGATTTCATTATTCGCCTTGGAACCAACAACGCCCCCCATTGTAAGTGGAGATACGTGGAGTGATTGACGCTTGGGTAGAAGTGATTGGATGCCAGGATACTCGGATAGATGGTCCGTGAGTTTGTCTGTGCGAGGATCATGACGCCGGCGGACCTCGGCTTCTCATTTCCGGAGCATTGTCCCCGCCTACCTGGTGTTGTTTCCTCATTTTGGGTTTTTTTGGTTGTAAATTTGTGAGGCTAGAGACAACGGCCCGGTGGGAGCTAAGTGTTAGTCTACCGGTTCTCTTCAGCCTGTCTCACGCTAATTATCGCCTCATCCTACTGACTTCCTGATTTCGTATTTCATACCGTGGATCATTTGGTAGAATCCACTTAGTTCATGACCTGTTTCCTCATAATCTGTCATCTTTTCTCAACTGTGGATCCAAGCAAACAAGGAACTTCAACCAACATGTTCCCCACAATGAGACAAACATCATGTCATCCGAGAGTCTGCATGAATTTCTCATCAGGGGGAAAGGAAGCAGAAGGATCATCAAACTTCTCCCTTACCCAGAATCTCGGGATCACTGTCGTGGTATCACCGTTTTATTGCCCAACCTGTTCATATGCCAATCTTGAGTAACCGCTGAAGTGGAGAGGGGTTAATATCTGAGCCGCGTATGGCGATCTTGTTAGCAGATCTTGGCGAATGTGGGTAAAGAGCCAGGATCAGAAATTTTACCACGACCGGGAACGCTTACCCTGCCGAATGGTAAGCCCAGCTTTAACAAGGGTTGTTCAGCATTCTCAGGTAAGTCGTCGTTTGATAGGCAAGCACACGCAAACAATTCTTGGATCTTCAGCGGGCTGCTCAACTGAGATGTGAACCGTTACATTAAGAAATCCACTCTACTACATGTTGCATATGTAGCATGGAAAAGCAATCACGGGCCATTGGACATCCTTGGTTAATGATCGTCAAGTTGCGCAACTCGGCTGTACAGGCTATGCAACAACATGGGGAACAAGCCTGGTCGATCCCTCGTACATTATCGGGTTCGGCCCCCTTTCATTGCTTATTTTCGCGTTCCCAACAATTGGTTCATTTTGTTTCCCGCAGACACAATGGCTGTGCTTAGCTTTGTGAACGCCGCCCTGCTGGGGGTTGGGTATATTGCTTTTTGCGCTTTGTGGCAGATTGCTCGCTATCGCTTTTTCCATCCGCTGCGGAAGTTTCCTGGGAATTTCTGGGGAAGTGTTACGAGGCTTTGGATCACGTATCATAATGTCAAGGCTGATGAGTGTGCGACGTTCCAAGAGCTTCACAGGAAGCATGGTAGGCTCAGCTTGTTGCAATTTTGAGTGAGGTACTGACAGCTCGCAGGACCTGTTATCAGAATTACGCCTACAATGTTGCTCGTCAGCGACGCGACGCAACTACCAAAGATTTACAACCGTCACGCAAACAAGTCAAAGCACTACATCACCGGAAGCTTTGGCAAAGATGAGTCCCTTTTCAACATGCAAGATTCCGTCATGCACGCAAAGTACAGAAAGATCGCAGCTCCTCTTTACAGCTTAACCAACATCAAAAAGATGGAGCCATTGATCGACTCGAACATTGAGAATTGGATGGCTCGTCTACAGAGAGAATTTGCTTCTACGAACAAACCCTTCGACTTTGCGCCTTGGGCTGTGTTCATGGCCTATGACATCATTTCAGAAGTGGGCTTTGGTGCCCCATTTGGCTTTGTCAAGGAGGGCAAGGATGTTGAAGGTCTAATCCAAGGCTTTCATGACGGTCTTACTCCTTTTGGTATCATGGCGAGGCTGCATCCGTTTACCAACTGGGTCAAGAGCACTTTCTTGGGCAAGTACATGGTGGCTAGCCCTGAGCAGGACTCTGGCATTGGAACATTGATGAGATTTCGCGACCGCTTAATTGATCAGAGGTTCAAGGATATTGAGAATGGTGCGACAGATGGACGTGTTGATTTGCTTCAAACGTAAGTTGGCTTGTTTCATATCTCACACTAAATGCTGACAGAGATCTACAGGTTCATCGAGGCCAAGGATGAGGATGGTAATCCCCTGGACATTAACTACATCAAGGCCGAGATTCTTCTCGTACTTCTCGCCGGCGCTGATACAACTGGAACAGCTTTCCAAGCCATGATGATCCATATTCTCACCAACCCCTCCGTCTACAAGAAACTGATGACTGAGCTTGATGAGGCTACTGTGGCTGGAAAGCTCTCCGAGATGCCGCAGTACGACGAAGTCGTTGAGCACTGCCCCTACTACATAGCTTGCGTCAAAGAAAGTATGCGTCTCAATCCCTCTGCACCAAACATCTTTCCCCGCATCGCTCCACCAGGCGGTCTCGAGATCTGCGGTCAATTCGTACCCGAGGGCACAGAAGTGACTTGCAACCCGTGGCTGGTGCACCGCGATCCCAACATCTACGGTGATGACGCCGAAGTCTTCAAGCCTGAGCGTTGGCTAGATGAGGACAAAGCCAAGGTTTACAACAAGTATAGCATGGGGTTTGGCTATGGCGCTAGAGTGTGTCTAGGCCAAGATGTCGCGCGTATGGAGCTTTACAAAGGACCGTTGCAGTTCTTGAAGAGTTTCAAGGTGGACTGGGTTGATGAGAAGAACAGGGGAACATATGTTGTTAAGGGTGGCGTGAGTTACTTTGAGAACATGAACATCACAATTCAGAGACGAGAAGTTGTGGCATAAATTACATAACTGCTAAGAATAGAATCTCACTGAACTCTCAACCTTCACATACCACCAGAACGTGCAATTTGATATATCTAGCCTTACCCCCATGACCAGAGAAGACTTCGGGGTCCGCCATCCAGCAAGCACACTCCTTTGTGTGAACAAAGTAACCACTCATTCTTGAGAATCTTGCTTGACGAAAACCTTCAATTATTGCCGCTAGAAGGTTTTATGATACTTCTGAAGAAGGAATAAAACAAACATTTAGGACTTGGAGCTCTTGTCATCACTTGTCTGACTTAGCAATGACTGGTGCAATATTGAGGTGACCATTGTCGCAGTTGTCAAGAACGTCAAGTCCTCTTCAAGATCCCTCTTTTCCACAAAGGCATATACGACATAGCCGCTAAAACCCGCTTCTTTAACGTAGAAATACCTGTTCTCTTGTTTCTCCTCTTTTCCAAAAATGGCTCTCAGGTTCAAGATGAGATCATCGCGAAGTCTAGGAGGGCCTACAAAGCCGGGGTTTCAGTTCAGCTCTCCTCAACAAACGGCACTAAGACATTTATATAAACGCCGGCATAGTGGCTTCAATAACTTTACTCTCAAATGGCCTGATTTCTCCTTTGGGGCCAGCTGAAATATAATTCAATGTAACAATTGGTTAAAAAGGTTCTGTTAACTTTGCCTTAATTGTGGCTGGCTGACATGAGTACTAGCCTCTAAATGCTTTTTAAAGTTTTAAGTTAAATTATTATCACAAATTGAGATTTCTAAGTATAGGCCTAGATTTATACTTATCTCTTACTAGCAGTTATATTTTCAACCCTATAACATATTAAAGACAGTTTGAACTTTGGTGCTGGCCCTTATAATCCCGTGAATGCTAAATGCTAAAAGTCGTAGAATTTACATAAACAATTTCTTTATACACAAGGAATTTCTCTGACCTTATTGTAGCTACTACGCATTGAAGCATTGACGCCAGCCTCAGAGTGTAAGGAGAGCCTTGAAGAAGCCTGTAGTCAGCATGTGTTATGATATACATAAAAATGCCAGCTGCTACTACTTCTTACAGTACTGATGTTATAAAGTTTCTAAATACATGTTCAGCCCGCCACTTTCAAGATAGCAGCAATAGTCTAATGCATGTTTTGGTCGAGAACATGTGCCAGGCCAATTCTCAAGCGCCACCGGCAAGGTAGTTCCGTAGCAGCTAAGTTTACGGCATAGGCCAGCTTTAGCAAACCATGCCCAGCGTATCTTTAGCGTGCTTGTTTATCAAGGTGTGTGTACCTTGGCTTCCGATTTTTTTTCTTTAAGAATAAGATAAATAACACAGCAGTTTCCACAGATCCTTGAAACTTGCCTTAAGATATTCATTATAGCATTAACACTTTCACATCAACAGTCGCCTTTAGTTATATTTGACTCCTGTTATCTGCAACGAAACTGATCCATAATGTCTTTATCCAAACTAAAGCCATCGCTCCATTCATATAGAGGGCTGTGGGATCCACATTCAAGCACGAGCGCAACCTTTTACGATAAGGGTGACGGCTCTGCTAGACTACATCTCTACAATGAACCGGACAAAAATCCACTTCTTTGGGACACCACAAAGGAGTTTACTGTCCCTTTCGCCATCCCATTCCAAGGCAACATCAGAATACAGGTCTGGGTGGCTTTGGAAGAAAGTGCGCCCGATGGTATGCAACTCTGGCTTACTAATGATAGTGACAAAGTCTATTATTGTAATGGTACTGTTTGGTCAAATGACAGGAAGCTGGCGGGATTCTCGGTTTGGATTGGAAAGCAATCTGAGAGGAGTCAGACCCCGTGGTGCTTCAATGAGTCTCTCTCTTGGACAGTATTCAGTCATCAGGATATGTCAGACGAAGAGCCAGTATCGGGCTCTGCGGCGATCGAAGCCTACGGGATTTATGAGTCGCAGCCACAATTCTTCTTAGATGAGGGTATTCCAATCGACCTTCTGAGGCTCTTTATTCCAACTACACTCAGTTTCCCGCATACAATCAATTCCCTGAATACTGAGCAAGATTGGATCAATTGGGTTACCAATGTTTGCCATGGCAAGCAGGACCCTAAAGGAACTCCTGGACAGCTTCGTCCCGACTCAACCCAGCATTGGCTTCGTTACAATGTTTGGGATGGAGCATACTCTTTCATTGACGAGAATGGTGGACCATTCTCGCTCATGGGCTGGCTGAACTCATACAAGATACATCAACAGGATCCTACAAAGTCCCTGAGACTTGTCAACTGCTTTGATCAGGCTGCAATCGTGGAAACTGTTCTCGGTCTCGGTCTCTCGTACAATCGTCTACATTGGGAGATTGTAGGCAAGTTCGGATATATTGACGAAGACCTTACCGGCTGGGGTAGCACCAACAGCCCATTCTTCGAGGGAGACACTCAAAACAAACGATTTAGTAATGTCGCGGATCCCATGCGAACACCTTTCCGGTCTCATGTCTTCATCACTATATCACCTACCGAAACCTATATCCAAAGCGAATCGATGGTAGTGGACGCCTGTGCAGGACCTGTTGCGGGTGACTTGACTTACACCCAATACTTAACTACCAAAGCCCTTCAGAACGGGATTGAATTATTGGTGGAGGGTCATACACCACCTAAGGAGCCCTGGATGGGAGTTCAGAGTACAAATGGTACATCTGACGGTTGGACTCTCAACTATAAACTCGAATCCTTACACCCAGATACACTTGTTCATATGCCTACGGTGCTCTCCGAGCTCAGCGCAGGATTCGCTCCTACTCCGATAGTTGCAGCAAACTTCAATGCTCAAACGATTATCAATACTGTTCTCCAGCCCATTCTATCAAACACTGGTACTGGCATTGTTTTGAAACCTCAGTCAGACGTCTTGACCATTGTCAATGATTCGACCATTGTCTCAGGTGCTTCCACTACGAGGCTCAGCGTTGCAGGCAAAGTAGTGGGCGCCGGCCCTACCTTCATTTCTTTTCAAATCTCAGCTTTCTCTGGTGTCGATAGTGCTGTGAACGGATTGCAACAGCGATTGAACGCTTTCACCCTGCCTGCGAAATGGGTACAGGAGAATAAGATTAACATCAAGACGCAAATGACTCAGACTTCCGACGGAATTATGGACGAACGCGCTAAGATATTTGGGACCTATCACCTTAATTTGTTCCTCTACAAAAATCTAGTGGTGCAGATCGCTGGGAATTCTACTTCTACTTCAGATGCTTTACCTAAGTGGACTAAGGACTTGTGGAACGAGTTGCTGAATTATTAGAGGATATTTATATAACTATAAGAATAAGCTATTTTCTACATAAGTATCATTGAATAAGAGAAGCCTGCGCCTCTTTCTTCCCAACTTAATCTTTTAAGGACTTTGCTGGCTGAAGAGAAAGATAACATGAAGATGGAAGTGTGAGCTGACTCTAACTAAGAGAGACATATTGACTGTGAAAGCAAAGGGAGTCCTGGAAGTCATTAACATGGTCGAGTGGCCATTCAGAGGCGTATGAAGCTCGAGCTCTCTGAGTCAAGAGCCCAGGTATAATATGTCCTATCATTTAGAGATTACTGATTCGCGATACTCAATCAACATAATCCAGTAAAATTACAGCCAACTCAGTAAATCCAATGCAAGTGGCCGTGCTGAAACTGTATGGCCAGACGCGATCAGGGTCATCTTGTCAGAATATAATACGGCCTCCTTCCCTCCCTTTCTCCCTCCTTATAGTCACTGAGCATTCAAGAATCTTACTTCCACGATTAACACCCAGAGTCATCGAAATGAAGTGCACACACGTTCAAATTCCGCGTAACATTACCATGGAATCAATCAATAAAGACCACAAAAGGGTCTTCCGTGCCGCCTCATCTCAGAAACGGGTGACTTTTACTTGGGTCTAATAGATATTTATGGCTATCTGCCCAATGGTCGTTGGTCCTAGTCTACGGAGACGACAAAGGACAATCAGATCGTGTACGACCCCAAAGCAGAACTGGAAGATCTTGTGGCGGGGCTGCACAAGAGTGGTTTCATTGAGAAGAAGGCAGTGGAGGAAACGGCTACGGCTACCACTAGCTAGCTTCAGTGTGAAGAGGGGATATAAAGAGCAAAGCGATTCTAAGCGAAGGGCAATATGGTATGTTTTCTGTTCCCGCTGACCACCGCCGCGATACTCAGGGCTCCTTACTCTACTTTCTCGAATATTAGCATCGATAAGAAAGAACCTTTTCGGAGATGTTTCCCGTGTACGTACGAATCCTTCAATTGTAAAATTATATTTGACTCGGTAACGGAACCAAATCTATATCCCCTACGACGCCTGAGCGGTAAATGAAAAAGAGGAGCCCTCGCATGGAGCGCGGGTATTGTTGTCATATCCGCGTTCGACAACAGCGGGCATGAGCCTCGCCAAAGAACGATTCGACCAATTTATCGACATAACATAATGTGAGAGGAATTACCCACTAACACGGATCTTGCAATCGAATACCTCGTGATTCTTACCTCATTTAACTCTATACTATCTGACGTCTACTTTAGCTCTTGGTAGCCTTAATCCTATATCGATAGAAGACCCAGATCCCAGAAAGGCCGACTCTGTGAAATACCGTCAGTAAGGACTCATGGAAACCAATGAAAATATGTTTGTACAAAAAGTATACGTACAAGGGTAGCGAACATGCCAACAATTTGGGAGCCTTTCCCATGAACAGTAGTCCAGCCTCTGTCTGTTCCGTAAGGGTAGTCGGGCGTTTGAACAGTTCGGTCGAGATTGGTTCGAAGCTAATGACATTAACAGTGTCTTTCCTAGAATAGGCTGTACGGACCTTGAGCCCAACTATATGTGATCCACTCGTCTGTACGTCAATACGAGACAATCTCTCACCCGAAGCGCCATCAATGGGGAAGGATGCTGTGCTATCATGAGAGTCTGGAGTGAAGTTCCTACGACCGGGGTAGTTCTCGTCGAACGGGCCAACATAACCAAGTTGGCAGTCATGTGAACTCTCTGTGTAGCGGAACTCGATCCCCGTCACATGACAAATGTCGAAGACCCATACGACAATTTCCGACAGTTGGGACAGATATTGACCATCTGGTCCGCCGAAAGAAACGGTGGTTACTGGAAGATTGTATTTGGCTCGTGGCTCATCACCTCTGCTTCCATTAAATAGTAACCCTTCTCTGGGTACTTCTGCATACCACAAACAGTTGTTCAGCCAGGTCTCCTGATCGGGTAATTTGTCGCGACTAAGTGAAACAAGCTTCAGAGCCTAGTAAATATTATTAGTACGTGTCAGGCGTCCCCGCTTGTGTTATGGTGAAGTTTACATCGAACTCAGCTTTGACTGCAGAAAGTCCTTGGGTTCCTTTTAATCGCCACCTTGGGAGACCAGCTGATTCGCCTGCCCAGCCAGTGAGTGTTCCATCACTGCAAACAGCGGCAATTCCCTTGACACCGCATAAATCCATGGCGAGTTCCCATCCCTGGATAGGCTTATCAAGAGGAAGTAACAGATGGTACATAGTTTCCTCGTGCTGGTATCCCAAAGCATGAGATCTTCCATCGTTATCAACCAGACGTAAGCCTGAGATGAAGCTTCCGCCCTCTGTATGAACAAATGATACGGACATTTGCCGGAGTTTCACAGGCTCTGGGAAGTATAGCGCTCGAGCCCTCAAAACTCGAGAGCCGTAGTGGAAGCTTTTTCCTGGGTCGGCAACGGCGCGTGAAGCTGTATGCCATAGCACTTCATTTTCAGAGATATTTTGACCCAGGCCACCGGGCAAGGTTTCAAAACACGTGCTCAAAGGAGATCCTTGGCAGGAAACGTAGACCATTTGAGTAAGGGTGGCTTGAAGACGCTTAGCAAGACCCCAGACCCGGCGGCGGTTGACAAGACAGGGGACCTCGCGTGCCCATATGTTCAGCGAATGATACAAGGCCATCCATGATTCAGGAGGCCTGTCATGAACTTCAGGCAAATAATCGAACTCGTGACCAGGTTGGAAGCGTGATGCCCAGAAGCTTTCGGCTAACTCCAAGGTTGCAAAGACAGGAGATGCAAGCCGTACGGAGCGAACATCTGATGTCGGTAGAAGTATAACAATTGCTTGAAGAAGTTCCGGGACTAAGCGAGAGAATGCGTCGCTTTTGAGACATTGCACCGTTGGTTCGAAGCGACTCATGAAGACGTCTGTTTGTAGGTGTACAGCGCCCTCAATGGCTTTGACAAGGCTGGGGATGTAGTATGGATCCGATCGCATCGCTGGAGGTACAGATGTCCAGGAACAGAAACAACTGGTTCGTACAGGCATATCGTACATTTGTTCAATCTTGGAAGCACCCCCGTAATCATGGCCCCAATCTATCAGGCTATTCGCGTCAGTCGGCATAGAAAGACAAACTGCAAAAAGGTTGTCAAGATTTGGTGTGTAATTCTTTGTGAATATGGACCAGCACGATTCATGGAAGCCATAGCCCCAGGCCTCATCAGCTGCCTCGGGATCAATGAAAATTGTTGGATCGCTCGGCGTCAAGCCAACGTCGATGGTAGGTCCTGACCCAGAGCGGCTATCGTGGCGAGAATGGAAATTCTCTGGGACAATCACCGAAGGGATATCATCGTATTCTCCGCATCGTCCAACGCCAGAGACAGCCGTGCGCTTCCAGCTTGTGCCCTCAATCCAAACTGTGCGTGTCAGGTTTGTGCAGTTCGCGACTCGGTCAAGATCAGGCTACTCACCCGCCCGAACATTCTCAATCCAGGCCTCGTTAAGGCTCCTGGTGAAGGGTATTCCGCAAATGATGCAGTATTTCATTGTTAGGTAATGACTACAATCGGTATTGTTGGGTTTTGCGAATGGCTAGAAGCCTGTGCAACGGCAATAGAAAGTGGGGGACAGCCGCCCGTTATCCGCCCAGCCGCCCACCTAAGCGCTCATTTAATTAAGTTTTCAATTTGCCATCTGACCCGATCCCGAGATTCCTTAACATACATAGACGCTCACTATGACGCAAGAATGGTCGTATTCCTTTTGAGCAAATAACCAAGACGGCTTTTCTAGCAATCTTTCTAAGCAAAATCTACTTTCATTCATACTCATCTAAAGTATTTCTCAAGTATATCTTATCTTACTGCAATGGCTGGCGGACGCCCACCCTACGTTCCAGCGCAGGAGGATGTTAAGGATACGGTATGGCTCAAATGACATTTTAACCGGCCGGTGGAGCATGAACTCTAACTCTGTTTTCAGTACATGGATCCGCAGTATATCCCGTGCGGTGACTACACTGTAGCGCAAATCAATCCAGGCTCCCTTGAATCCAACGTCTGTGAAGCATGGACACTCATCCTGAAAGATGTCTTCAGCATCTATCAAGGCTTCATGGTCAACCATGACGCCGACGTCCAAGGCCAAAAGATCGATATGGAGGTTTGCCACTTGAAGAATCATCGAAGGCTTAACTTTCTTGCTCTTGTCCTTAAGCGATATTCATCCTCGAATTCGGATCAAGCAATGGCGGATGCCGAAACTCAGTTGAAAGGGCACCTGGAATCTCTGGGTCACACACAGGAGGGTAGGCTATGGAGTGCGCTGTGTATTGGCAAGGGTGTTCGAATTTACCGATGCAGCAAGGAAAGCGGCAAGGCTGAACTCTTTGCACTTCACGATGGCGTGCTGCGGATTGACCGTCAACCCCAGACAGTCAAACAGTGGCTGCAGCATATCAGGTCAATCGTCATGTCATAGGGTACCGATATATGTTCTTTGTTGGCCTTTTCCATTGCTGTTTGTTCGGTCTAGTGTATTGAATCTCGGGTTCCATATCTAGTCATTCTTTTTGTTTGTAAATTTAGTTATAACTTATAAGCTGTTTGCACTGATTTAATTCCCAGACGCATTCACTCAGATGCTGATTTGATGGCTTGTCCAGGTGAGAATGCCATGCTTACGGCTTGCCACTCAGCAGCATATCACATAGAGGAAAGAGTCGAGATAATGAATAGATAGTTGCCGATTACCTAGGGTGATCAATTTGGACCAACATTTCACAAGTCTCACTGTATAATTGGTACACTTTGTGGAACAAGTGCGTGGCAGAAACAAGTCTTCAAAAGAAGACTGAATGAATCATATTAATAACATGCTAGAGCGACCTTGAAGGCTGTGATAAACAATTAACTAAGCTCGAAAGTAGCAACGCTGTCGTAAGTCATAAAGCCGTTAAGCGATACTTCAACTCCAAGAATATATCAAGCAGTATATGCGCTGTCAATGTCCTTCAAGATGGATGTGCAATGTGGTCATGTATCCACAGAAAATATGGAGTTGCGTTTTATATCACCTCGAAAGGTGGTTGTAACCTCAGCAGAATGCGACAATAAAGACTGAGAAGATGCTTCTGAAGACGCTGCCTGTGTAATGTCATACTGAGAGGATTCGTAGCAAAAGAGAAAAATAAGGCTTTGAAATCTCCAGGCCTAAATTCTGAACTTATTCTCGAGATGCCCTGGGACAAGACGCAGTGCTGGTAGCAGTATATCCAGACTCAGTATAAATACTGGCCATAAATAGGAACATACGGATAAGTAACCACTGGTACTAGTACAGGTGCAGCATAAGCCACTGGCAGACTCTGTGCATAGTAGGCAGCCGTAAATCCCTGCTGATACCCCGCAGTATGAGCAGCGATATACGGGTTGTACTGCATTGAAGAGACGCCAGCACTCGGAATGGAGTTCGACTGGCTACTCGGCTCGCTCGAGGGGAGGGGCTTTGGTACAGCACCCCTTTTATACCCCTTTGGCCGGTATTTAGCCAGACAAGCTGACCTCTCTGTCCTCCCTGGGTGATAGACCACATCAAACTCCCCGATCGCAGCAGAGTTGGTGATCATTCGTACTGGGCCAGGTGACCCAGACACGTAACCCTTGTTCAGACAGAAGGGGTATTCTTTCCAGGGACCCGACGACTGAAGAGCAAGCTCCTCTTTGTTGTGAAATCGCCGCGGGTATATGGACTGGCTTGATACTGGGCTAGCTGGAATTTGCATTGCCTGTTTCCTGACCTGGCTTGCCGGAATTTGTCGGTACCACTTGTCCAAGGTTAAGTCAGAGAGTGAATAGTAGGAGCAGTCCGACTCTGTCTCCCAACTATTTTGTGAAGATGGAGGGGATGGCAATCCTCCTTGGGTATTAAGCTGGTCCAATTGACTCAGCGCTTCAGAAGTAAGAGCAGACATTTTAAAATAGAGATATGTCGCTTAGAAAGATGTGAAGGTGGAGGTGGGATGAAAGTCGGAGATAAAGAGAGTGTGGAGATATAAATTGAGAAATGACAAGAGTCAAAGTCTGTTTGCTAATGCTGTGTCGAAATGTCGAGTAAATGTGGCCAAAGCCTGATGATGTAGAAATGAAGAGAAGTGTGTGCGCTACGCTGATATGTAGGCCAGAGTGTGACGACTTGCTGAAATTAGACAGTGAATGTGTGAGTGGCTGGCAGAAAGAGGCTGAATAAAGAGATAAGACAACGTTGTGGCACAAGCATAAGCTGAGAGCGGAAGACAGACACGTGAGAGCAGGCAACTGAAGAGTATGAAGAAGGGAAGTTCAGAATTGAGGATGAAGCGGACAAGAGGGGGTTTTATACATAGTATTGGTTAGAGTTTGAGAAGAGGGCAGAGCACCAAGCACTATACCCTACTGATTCTAGAAGATCGTGGAGACCAAACGAATCATCCATTTTGTCTGGCTAAATCGATCTTCGTGAACAAAGTGAGTCTGACATTGTAATAAGGTTGAGTTTAGGTTGGTGCCAGAGACCGTGAATGAACCCTATCTTCCCAACCTGAATGAAAGGTGGATATGTCAAAAGTCAAATTTACCGTTATCAAGTATGCTGGTTTTGACAAGTCTAGCGTAGAACCGCAACAAGGGGCTCAGGAAGGATGAAAAGCCAGAATGAGCTGAAAGAAAAGATTCATGGCAAGATAAATGATGTATATCGGCCTGGGGGAAAAGGCAGAGCACAGTGTCCTCGCAGTTGCTAGGGGCAGAGGCCGAGCTGTGAACGTCACCACTCAATAGTCTCAGAATGTCTCGTGGATGCAACTACCTAGAAGCGTGCACTTCGGACATTCATGCAATTTGAGAACCAGTATCGAAGTAAGGCGCGCCATATTAGCCTCGGATTGGTAGCTTGAGTCATAAGATGGTACAAAAAAGGTACAAAATGGCAGTGAAAACTCTATTTCCTGTGACATTATTGGACGGCTTTTGTTCACATTGATATACAGGACTAGCTTTCACAACCGCACGAATACTTAGACTTTGCGCTGAATAGTCTAAGTTTGCCATCAGTCACTTCAAGGTCAAAACCTAAATCGGTTGCATGGGAGTGGATCCCCTTGAGTAAGCTTTGGCATGAGCAAAGTTAGACCTATGAGGCTCGCGAATCCAGGGGGAGGATCAGTTAACTCTTAGAATGTAGACAATTGGGCCTGATTTTGACTTATACTTGTATTGATGGCCATCATGGCTTGCTAACAGCATGGCTCATAGTTAGTCGCATGACACCCAGAGATATCGTATCATAGGTCCATAGCCAAGATATACTTTGGAGTCTCCCATACACAATGATCCCGCATCACCAAGCTTTGGTCCTCATCACGGCTTCTCCGGTCCTTGAGCATATTGTCTCCAGAGAGGGTTCTCCAACAAACTTTCCATCGCGCTATTCTCAGTACCAACAAACACTTCGACACCAGGACCTGCCTCAGGCCGATCAGGCAGAATAATATGCATTGAGTGAGTCACTCCCACTGAAGGTGGTCGAATGGCTTTGATTCGATCTCCCAGCGCAGGACCCCATTGGATATCATAGAAAGGAAACTCTCTCCATGAAGAGAATAACGCATGGTTGCCTGGCATGTCTAGGAAGATGACAGGTACCAGTCGTGACACGTTACCAAGACCATCCACGAGAGAGCTGATGGTAGCGAGATACGAGTCCTTGGACTTGTTCACGGCGCCTCGGACAACAAGAGCAATGTCTGCCAGGCTAGCATCGTCATGTTCTAGAATCTTCTCGATGTCCATGACGGCTGGTGCGAAGCCAAGAATGTTTCCAAGAGTATGTTTGTGAATAGGCTTTCCAGCACGACGGCGAGCATCAAGAGCCAGGCCAACCATAGATGGGCCAGTGGGTTTATCCTCGCCCTCCTTCTTCCCATGCTGTGCTATCATAGTGCATCGCCAGACCAGCGCAGTCAAAGCATCGGTCGTGGAGACGTACGAAGAAATGCCATCCGACTTGAAAAGCTTTGCATTGCAAGGCGCTGCAGCTTCTTTGAGTTCTTGGATCTTCTCAGGGGAGAAGTAAAAGATGTGGCCGTGGTGAATTGGTGAAGCTAGTTTTGGTGGGGGTCCTTCAGGTGTGAAGGGTACTTCGACGTACTCTGGATGATCCTCGGGCTTGCCGACGATGGTATCAGATAGCTTCATTAACTTGGCTCTATCATCGCAAGGGATCTCGGCTGGGTTCGTGATAGGCAGGCCTTGAGCTTTGCGGACTTCCTCTGCGAAGATCTCAGTAAACTTGTACGCTGTTGTGCCATCGATGTAGGCGTGAAGAAAAAGGACGTTGAGAAGAAGACCGCCCCTGATGAAGTTGAGCTGCACCATGGTAGTGTTCAGTCGATCCCCAGCACGAGGCCATTCTCCACCTAGACCCCGTTGACAAACAACATCAGGGTCCAGAACAGAGGTAGGATATCCCCGACGCTTCAGCTCCTCAAAACAAGGAAAGTCTTGGTCGCGAAGGTCCTTGACGAGAAAGTCATGTTCAATCTCATCACCATAATGACGGAGCTGCAACAGCCCCGTCTCGAGATAGTCAGCAGTAGGAACAGCCTCACACCCAGCAATAGGTGTACGCTCTTTGAACGCTGAATAAGCCGTCTTAAGAATAGACGTTATCTCCTCAGCATTGTAACTCTCACCAAGCTCAAAGTGCAGAAGACTTCGGATCCATCCCATAGGGCCAATCTTCTCGGTGGGAAGTAAAGGGGGAGCGAGATCAGGAAGTGGTGTGACCTCTTCGGTAGCGACGGTCTTGGAGTGGAGAGCGGGTTGGTCTACGACCTGAACCTCTGTTTTAGCGGGAGCCATGATGAAGGATTGGAAGATGTGGGTATGGTTTCGTTTGGGCTTTGGTGGAAGGGGGCCCGACTTCTAATACTTGGACAAACGAAAGGGGTTTTTTAACAGGCGAAGGTCGCCACGCGGAGGGATGGACTGTTTCGGTCCTGAATCTTCGTGTTAACCGTGTGAGTTTCAGGGCGTGCTGCCGCGGTGGTTACATTGTTGGTCCCGAGTATGAGGATCTGCAGTGTTGGTTGAGGAGTATAGACGGGGGCCAAGCTTTGTTGGGCCGCTCGCTTGGGATAAAAACGTTACGATAGAGCTCGACATCCATCGACTGACACACCTTTCGGACCAAGCTAAGTAGGACTCGGTGGGTTCGACTGCTCACATGGCCAATGATATCGTATCCTTCTATCTAAGGGATCAAGAGAAACGTTGTATCGACCAATTGCGAATTTTTGACCCAGCATGCCTCGTCTAGCAATCATGCTTGAACTTCATAAGAACTACGCAAAGCAGCATCCAAAGTGGAATACCAGCCAGTGGACCTTCCATGGGCCAATATGCGTTTCCAAAAACGAACCCTCGGACCAAATCCGACATGCCGGAGCCGCTATTCCCAGGATCATCTTCGACTCCTTTACCCTTCTGAGAAGCTAAAGCCGTGATAGTCTCTAAATCAAGATAACGCAGACTAAACGAGCCCTTGAATGAAACATTACAAGCATTTGCCGTGGATCCCAGCGGGTCCTGTCTGCATAAACGGTTGAACATGGACCAACAAGCCCTGAAACGTGCTTGTGCCGGCTATAAATCCCCGTAATATCCGACCGGAAGTACGTCGCGGTGACAGGGATTTACTTCCGGTGGTGCCATTTGAGAGCCGCAAGTATCGTCTTGGCAGTTCATCTCCCGTCTGGTAAGAGTCAGATATCAGTCTCGATATAACTATCATCGATATCAAGAGTATTCTGACCTAAATAATGCAGAATCTTCTCAAGAGGGTCGAGTCGTTCAAAATCATGGTTTTAATAATTTAGAGAGTATTCCCTCGAAAGCCAGAGACCCCTCCTAGGATTTCTCATTCTCCATAGCAGCCAACAAAAGGTAGCATCGAAGTGGACTCCAGCCCCATCAAGGCCTGCACCGAATTTTCACAAATGGCCTGTTTGATTTCAATTCCGCGTAAGCAAACGAAGAAAAGAACGAGCCCGTAACGGCTATAGATTTGCAGTGGAAGCCTCGCCACTGGAAAAAGAAACGACCTTCCTGTCCCTGTATCTCGCAATGGTGATTACTCGACTACGCGGGTAAAAGCCCATTTAACTAACCAACAGCCCATGGTATAACTTGCACCGCCATTTTTGTTTGTCATGTTCTGCATGCAGCTAGTCTGAGAACTCAGATATGGAAGTTGACCCTAACATCGTAGCCATTTTTGGGCCACCGCCGAAAGGTCTAGATCTTGAGAAGAATGTCATCACCACTTACAATACCGTCGTTTGTGTTGTTCTCGGTGTTGCCGTCACGGTTGTCGCTTTGCGATTTTACGTGAGGAACATGAAGTCAGCGAACATTGAGATGGACGATTGGGCCGTATTGGTCAGTCTGGTAAGTTCATTCACCGAAATGATCGGGTTTTGGCTGACGCGATGCAGCTTTGCGCTTCAGCAACTGTTGCTATGACAATACTGGGTAAGCAAGCTCTGTTAATCCTTTTGAGTCCTGGCGTTAATGGGTAATAGCTGGAGAGCACGGCTCGGGAGCTCATGTTTGGTCAATCAAGCTCACCACTCTCGTCGACGTCTTCAAGGTACTTCTACCACCGAACTAGACCAATCTCCTAGTCCTATACTCACTCAGCGCCAGATCGTCTACGCCGAACCCTTCGTATACGCCCTCGCCGTCACATCCGTCAAAATCAGCATCCTCCTCCTGTACCGTCGCCTCTTCCCCCTTGGCATCGACAAAAACCGAGTGTACACAATAATGTTCTGGATAGCGACCTTTTTGACGACCGTATACCCTTTTATCCTCTGGATCACCATGCCTTTCGCCTGTAAACCCGTCAGTCATTTCTGGAACCAATACCTTGGCGCTAAGGGCAAGTGCATCGAAGTCAAGCTGTTCTTCCTCGTTCTTGGAATCATGAACATGATGAACGATATCATCATTTTGACTGTTCCGATACCGAGAATTTGGACACTTCATATGAACAATAAGACTAAGATTTCCATCATTTGCATTATGCTTCTTGGCAGCTTGTAAGTGGTTGTATAATACCATGATGGGTTTTCAGCTGACTTTTATTAGTGTCTGTGTCGCCAGTATCGCGCGAATCTACTACCTCTGGGGCTTCTTCCAGAACCTCGACGCAACATGGTGGATGGGCCCGTCTTTCGCATGGTCCAGTCTCGAGCCCTGCGTCGCAGTCATCTCTGCTTGTCTACCAACCCTAGCGCCTCTGTTCAGGATCAAGCGCATCAACTCGACTTCGCGTGGTACACCATCAGGACCAACTGACCTATCCAAATCCGGTTCCAAGCACTTCCAGCTCTTCAGTGTCAACAGGACGAAAGGGAATGCTTTTGGTAGTGATGATGATGAGGTCGAATTGACATACGACGTTGGGAGGGGCGGGACTGGTGATGGGTCGATTTGGAAGAATCAGGGGAGCTCGGCTGCCGAGCAAGGGATCGTTGTTCAAACGCAGGTTTCGGTGACGCACCAAGACAGGAATGGCCGTACTAGCACAGAGTAGATATCGTTCTTCTAGGCGCAAAAAGAAAAAGATGCTTTTAGAAGTCCACGCTTGGAGTTGATGGGCATAATGCAAGACAGCGCTCTCTAAATACCACCACCGCATCCTCTATGTTCTCTTAGATACTACTTGATGTTTATGACTTGCCTAATCATGCAATGCTGCCGTCACGAATTCAGTGTATAGCGATGGTCCCGTAAACGGTATACCCTACACTGTACAATTCATCCTCACAGAATTCATCAAGTTCAATAGAAAGGATAAGTTGGCCCGGAACGGGGCCGCATAAGACAAATCACAATATCATCACCCAAGAAAGAGAGGTTATGCACAAAATTCATTTACCACTAACGCCACACGTACTACTGAACAATTTGTGTATATACTCCCCAAAGTAAAAACTTACCTGCCCCGAATCTCACTAAAATGCAAAACCGCCGCAATTCCAACAGAGCCACGACCTGCGCGGTATTTCCCCTGTTACCCTTCCTAGATGTTGCTACAAATCATCATGAACCCCCAGAGCCCCACGTTTTCCCCTTTTTCGCGACAATCACCAGCTGTTAAGACTCCGGCGCCCACCAATAGCTTGAATCTCGACAAGCTCCTTCTCCAGTCTGTCGATTGCGTACAGACAGTTGGATCGCATGATTCCGTTTAGTCCCCAATAGTGCTTATGTTGAGCCTTCTCCTGAAGGACAACGATCTCCCGCTCGATCTCCCCACGTCTTCTAGCCTTGCTAAGCTCTTCTAAATAGGTCAAATATCCACTTGGAACCATTACAGAAGTGCCTACTTTCTTCACAAAGGCAGGGTCCTCGCCTCGCTCTTTAGCTACCCAGTAGTCTAGATCATACTGGCGTGTCTTGCAGAGCTCACCATAGCCTTGTCGGCCGATCATATGGGTCCCATCATGGATGGCCTGCTCGTACATCGCGGCCGTGAGGGGATCCAGTCGCAGATGCTCCACGACGAAGTCTCTGCGGCCGTTTGGGGTGAAGAAGGTAGCTGCGCGTCTGCGTGCCATGAAGGCTGGTGGTCCAGCCATGTGCTCTGGTCGCTCAGCCGTATACGCTGGTGGTTCCGCTCTGTAAGCGGGAGACGATGGTCGATCTTGTGCTGATTGCATCTTGCTGTTGTTTTATGAGGGTTTTGAGAGTGTGTAAGATAGTTAGGTGAGGAATGTGGAGATTTGTTAGTTGAAGAAGATATTCTCTGATGTGATTGCTAAGAAGAGCTCCTGAGGAGAAAATGAAACTGTCGTAGTCCCGGCGGAAAGAACTATTTATACGATATGTCTCTCTACTGTGTACTTCTCATTAAATTCGAATCGTTCACATCAAGTCCAGATATTCAATCACTCTGGATAAATTGTGCTAGAAAACTTCTTCGCAAGTCAGATGAACATGCTGACGATATCGTCATGATGTACGGTTCACCAAGTAGCAAGAGCTCCAGTTCGCTCGAAATGGCGGACACAGCGCAACACTCTTAGTAATACTATCTGAAACACTGTTTATCTTTTTGTGAATAACAGTTATGTGTGTTGCACAGGCAGGCTAATAGGTGTTCTTCAGCGTGTTCTTAGGAGTGACTATCCGTGATACGGGTTATCAGCTGGATATGCTTATCTTATCAGCTTATCGCTCACAATCTTTGCTCAGTATCGTTTCTTTGCAAATAAACAACACACATGCAAATAATCCATGCTTGCAAAAGACAATATTGGATAGAACAAATTTCGTATAACGTGTTGTCAGCTAATAATTCACTAGATCAAACTATCGATTTTAGAGTTTGGTGTTACATGCAGCTAACAGATCGCGTTTCCCCTCTCTGACGATTCCTCCCTTGAGAACTGTTCTCTCATCTCAAAGCTTATACTTGCAAGCTTGTTCACCCTTCTCAATCTCTGTCATTTCCCCAAAGTTCTTCATCGTTTTTCGAAATGTCGGATCGTTTTGATAGCTTCCCCTTCATCAGCTTGCTGAGTGGCTGGGGTGTCGTTAGGTAAGGCCGCAATACTACCATGAAACGGAATTGAACTGACTGATTGTTCTTTGCCCAGTGGCCCGGGACTATTGTAAGTTCCTCGAAGCTCATCGATCGTATATCAACTTACCAAGTACAGTATGCTACGCAGCCTGGTATCCGGCATCACAACCGCAACGGTCGTCGGCGTCTCAAGCGGCATGGCCGGCAGCATGATTTGGGGAACAGCAGGCCTACCCTTCATCATCGGCTCATCTCTCGGGTTCGCGTTTGGTAGCTACCGTTGGTACGAAGTAGCGACCAGAGAAGCCATGGTTCAGCTGGAACTCTACCCTGCGCTGCTGCAAATGCATATCACGTCCAACTTTCCCTGGGTGCCGGATCTGCATAGTAGAAAGAGGAACTGGTATACGGCTGAGACGTTTCGGAGGTCGTGGGTGATGAAGAGCATGTTGGTTGTTGGTTGGCTTTCTGCTGAGTCGTCGCTTCGTGAGATTCGTGAGCGGAGGGAGGCGAGATTGGTGGAGGAGTATGTCGCTGCTGAAGAGGAGTCAGACTGATCGTGCTCACTGGCAAACAGCTGCTTGCTGGTGCGTTGGTCATGTTCAATGTGTCGAGACATATAGGTCATCGATTAGTTCACACGCGATTGTTAATGTTCGTCCTATTTCTGATGGCATTTGGCAGGGCCAGCGTTGGTGGTCTGTGATTGGGTAGCGTAGCAACGCGCCGGCCAGATTTCATTTAGTCAGCCACTCGGTCAAAATGACACATTAGCTTTTGCCCTCTTTCAGCTAGAATAGACTGTGCTTTTCCTGTAAGCAAGTATTAACTCTCAATACATAAGCCATTAGATATATAGGTTTATCTATGACGCGACTATCCTGTCTCTCACAGGTATATAATTAGACTGTGTGACTGCAGCAGAAGACCAAACAACCCCCTGTCTCGCGTCGACCAGAACAACCCCGCTTTTGAGATGGCGTGTCTCCATAAGCTCGAACCTGCATGAACAGAGGCTTTGGACAGATCAACAAAAGAGCATGGCCAGTATCAGTATCTAGTTCTACTGAATAAGAAAAGATATAAGCGACACACCTAAAAGCGAAACAGCTCTATTTACAGCGAGTGAGTCGCGTCAAATGTGGTTGAAACATCAAGCGCTGACACATCTAGATCAACCATCACCACAATTAGTATCCAATGAACGACTCTCAGCTTCAAAGCATGACTTCAATCGCCCCAGCGGCCAAGCTAGCCGTCCTCATCGACGCAGACAACGCCAGCGCCGCCATGATAGCCTTCGTCCTCGCCGAGTTCGCAAAATACGGCACCACCTTCGTCAAACGCGCTTACGGCGACTGGACCAGCAACCGCCTCAACGGCTGGAAACCCCAGCTCCTCCACAACTCTATCCATCCTATGCAGCAGTTTGCATATACAGTTGGAAAAAACGCCACAGACTCAGCCATGATCATAGACGCTATGGATTTGCTATACTCTAACAAATTCGATGGGTTTTGTATTGTGTCGAGTGACAGCGACTTCACGCGTCTAGCGTCGAGGATTAGAGAGTCGGGGTTGATGGTTTATGGGTGTGGAGAGCGGAAGACGCCGAAGCCGTTTGTCACGGCGTGTGATAAGTTCATTTACGTTGAGAATCTTGTGCCGAGATCTGGAACCCCGTCGATTGAGGCCGATATGGCTGGACCGTCATCTGCATTGCCGCTGAATGGGCGATCGTCCAGCGATAGACCTCCTCGTGGCCACGCTCCAATCTCCGCATTTACCAAGGGTAAAGGTCTTTTGATGGACTCACCTGCGCCTGCAAGAGGCTTGCTTCTCGAGCAATCAACTCCGGGACCTTCAAATCGTGGGCAAATCGCACGTCTTCCCGAAAGGATCGATATCCAAAAGGACAGGGCTGAACCGCGAGCGAGGGAATCATCTGCAGGGCCATCCAGTGCGCCAAACATCAAAGCCGAGCCCTCCGACGCAGCACCGTCCGTTTCCGCATGGAACAGCACAACAAACGGCAAGCGAAAGAGGCTCGACCCCGATGATCCAAACAGTCCTGCGCGAACCAAACCTCGAGTATCATCACCAGAACCAGGCGAGTTGGAGCCTGAGCCCCGCGCAGTTGATGATCAACTCATAGAATGGCTTCGCGAGGCGGTTGAGGCAAGAACCGGTGAAGATGGCTGGGCTGGCCTTGCGCCTGTTGGAGCGCTCATGAACAGATGGCACCCTGACTTTGATACCCGGTCGTATGGGTTCAGGAAATTACATGAGCTGATAGCGTCAACGGGACTATTTGAGATTGAGGACCGGCGTCCTGGAGAGGGCAAGCCCATTGTCAAGTATGCGAGGTATCTCATAGATAGAGACGACGGAGGTTCGGTTGACTCACGCCCAACGGGGATATTGTCTTACGATAACTGAGTCTTCATCTGTATGGGGCGTTCTGTTTGAAGCGGCGCATTATGGGAATTTTAAATAGTCATCAATGTGTGATCTCTGAAAGTTCCTTTCCTGTTGTGCAATGCCTCCAATATATTGGATTTAGAAGTAATAAGAATTTCCGTCTCTTTCCCTTGTCTTTGTCTCATAGGATATTGATGTCACGTACTCCTCCAAAAACATCTGACATTCCTTCTCCAGACATCAACCCATATACAAAAGCTTCCCCGACTAGGGAGAATCCCTCCGCCCCCTTGATATTACGAAGAATAAAAGGCGTCTCGCCACCCTGAAGAATAGCCACTTTGTCGCCGATCTGTGCATTCCAAGGCGCCAGTCCCATATAACCACGATAAGTTATGAACAACGAGCGATGCGGACATGCGTCGTAGATGCGCTCTATATAACCTCCATACTTTTTCTTTCGTTTGGAGAAATCCCCCAATGGATGTTTCAGCACCTCGCTAGTTTTCAGAATAGGCCCAGGTCTAATCTGGAGAAACTGGGCATTCATCACAACCTCGAGCTCCTTTATCTCCAACTCAAGCGTGACCGTCTCAAATATTCCTCTTGATGCCATTTCTGGTAGCTCACGACCCCATCCAGTTCGGTCATACCACGTCTCGATGTAAGCCCAGTTCATCACTATCAGCCGCTCCAGCACCTGTATAATCGGCTATCATCGTTCTACACAGGGCGTTGGTGCGACCCTCAGCACCACCATAAGGGCAATCTGGAAGCCCAATCAGGGCAAGGTCTTCCCATTCAGCAAGAGAACTGATACTTTTCAGAGCACTCTCTTCTTCCTCTCCCATCGCAGCCTGCGGAGCGCAGCAGCGTTATGATCCTCCACGACAAAATCGTGGTTACTGACCCAGATATTGCAGCCGTTGTCGGGATCGCCCCATGTGTATGATAGAGCCTCATAAGCGTAGTTGGAAGATGACATGGCCGGCTATAGCAAGCATTGTGTAGGAGCGTCGTGTTTCAGAGTGGGCTGAAGTAGTATGAAGAGCCTGATTTGATTGGTCAGATGATCGCAGAGGCTGGTATGACGAGAAGCTCATTTTTCTGTCTGAAACTTTTCGCATTGCCATGTTGTTCTCAGTTCTTGACTAAGTTACTAGTGGCTTATTACAGCCATTAAAGCTCGAATTGCCCGGAGCCTGATTGCTGAAAAAGCGGTTGAAATGTAGACCGAAGCGCTGTGGCGTCACGCAGTTCGCTAATGGCGATACTTGATTGGTGTTGGCCTCCCATACATAGTTTCCAGGGATGCTGTTGAAGCTCCGCCTAATGCAACCTTCTTCTTCCCGTGAACCTATGAAATGGCTCAAAGAAAGCCTCCTTCCTTTCATGCGAGCACTTCTAGCGCTTCTCCTGTTGGGAAAGAAAAGGTCGGTTGAGGCAGATATCTTTGAGAAGGGCTATTCTGGTTATTAAAGGAGTGGTCTCTCGTCCATTCCATAGCTTTCAAGGTTTCTATAATAGTAGCGCGTTATCCCGCCAGCTCAGCTCTCGCTGGATTAAGCGGCAACTCAGACTTTCCCGTGTCTTGCATCTCCGAAGCTTCTACACTATGTACCAACTTCACGCCACTGGATGGCTTACCATCTCCATCGAGCTCAGCCTTCTGATACCCAGATTCGGTAGTGTGAGTAAATGAACCAGGCGGTTTCTTCGCCTTCTTGCCAATCAAAAACCCAGCGCCAAGACCAAGAAGGATAAGGCCAGCTACACCGACTCCTGCGCCAATACCTGCCTTTGCACCAGTCGAGAGTCCACCATCACTTCCTGAAGATGAGCTCTCACCGTTTCCACTGGAAGAACTTCCTCCTTGTTTTGAGCCCTCATCTTCAAGATCTGCTTCGTCGGTTGGCGTGCTAGGCTTGCGTTCGGTTGTAGGCTTGGTATGGTTGCCAACGCACTTGTATGATCCCTGGACAATGTGATTGAGGAAATGCTCATCGAACCAAGAACAATCCATGATCTTGTCACCAGCGAGATAGAAATCTCCTGTAATGACCTCGAGACCAAAGAATTCGACGTTGGTAAATGGCCCGGTCATGTTGATGTTATCAGCCTTTTTGAGAAGATTGGCCGTAAAGTTGAGAAGGCGAGGGTTGTCGTGTATCTGCAAGTCCTTGACGTAATTTAACCTCGGTACTGAGAAGTCATTCAGTGCAATGTTCTCGTCGATGCCAAGCGTGCAGTTTGCCGTCCTGAGACTCGGAAGACTAAGCTCTGAGAAGAAGTTGGAGGTGAAGTTGAGCTTGCCCTTGAACCAATCGACATCATCACCATGTACTTCAGTCAATGATGGTAGACTGGCGTTGACAAGATCCCTGAAGATACCGCCAGCGTCTCCCCCACTGGTATGGGTGCCGGGGTCGCTGTGGCCTCCGAGCTTCTTGAGATTGGGTACTGACAGATGCGTGTCTCTTCCATTTTCCTTGACGCGCAGAAGCCCGACTTCGGGGAGAGACAAGGAGATATAGTCGAGATCTGGATTACTTCTGATGTCCACCGTATAGTTGACAAACTTGAGGTTATCCAGTACGACACGCTCTAGTCCACTGTTTCCCCAGATTGTGATCTCGCGTTTGACGCTCTCCGCCGATGAGGTGAAAAGTGCTCCCCCGGTGGCTTGAAAGTCGACACCTAAAACGCCAATACTATAAGTAGAACTAAGGTTCAAGTACAAGTTGCCCGCCGCAGACTGGCTTGCTCCAGAGCTGATCTGAAGCCCTTGTGATACATTCAGCGTTGGATCCGTATTAATTGATACGTCGCCCCATCCTCCATACGCAGCCAGGCGATAGATGGTTCGTAGAGCTGGAAGCGTTATGTTCAAGTCACCCGGTGTTTTGGTAAGCTTTCCTCCGGCGCCGTACATCAGGAGGTCACCGGTAACATTCGTGAGCGTTGAGCTATAGAACGTAACGTATTCGTCTGGGAAGTCGTTGCTGTACGTGATATCGCCAATGAGAGTCTCGACGCCAGTCATGTTGATGGTCTTCGTAATATTGGTGAGTTGGAGATCGCCGGTGTATGTTGCACAGGATGCCGCGAGGCTCGATACTTGGGTCGTCTCGGTTATCGTCGAAGTTTCCTCATTCGAACAGGCTTGGAATAGTTAGACTGTGCAACGCTCCAGAATATGCAACGACAAACCAGCAATGACGTTTCCAATATGCCCCAATAGGCACATTACCAGCCCGAGACGGACTGCAAATTTTAGACGAGCCATTTTTTCCTCTTCGCTGTTGCAGATGCGATGAAAGAATGGGAACGAGGAATGGGTGAGCAACGGGGGAAGGGGTCTTAAGACATGCTAGGTCCTGCGCTTCAATCAGCCTTGAGTGGTTTCAATTAAGCTTAAACAAGACTGTGGCGTTGACTAACTGTAGCCCGTGTGACTCGGTAGCCCAGGCTGCACCACACAAGAAGCAAAGCACTAACTAATCGTCGAAGGAGCCTGAATAAACATTTACACAAGTCGGCTATTCCACAAAGGGCCAACAACTCTAGACAATTGGTCTGAATAAATTACATGGCGGTATTTATTTACTGAACTAATCTGTTTACGTTGTCCTGTAATGATACTTGACCTGAAAATCTTTCTGGCTGTGGCAGTCTTGGCATTGTAACCCTGGTCAATGAGGCTTTCTGCGATGGCTTCCATTCGATCAACAGTTTCAGCTCGGACAACGTGGCTGGCTGTAAGATTAAAATGCCTCCCACCGTCAGTCTGACTGGTCCAAATCACAGAGTACCAGCTAAACAATGCCATCGGGTCTCCCATCAGATGATAAATTACACGAGCGTAATAATCGGAAACTCATCCTTCGCTTCCAGCTCCGGCTTACGTCCCATAGCCTTTTCGTCGATCAGTCCGAATCCCAACCTCTCATACTCCTCTTCCCCATCGACTCTCTTCACCATTACTGCTTGATAAGCCTCCTCATCTGGTTCTTCAACCTTGAGCAAGATGAGCGCAAATAATTCTTTCCCTTCCAAACCCTTCACTATCTTGAGTGCCTCCTGCGGCGCATCATCGGCAGTAAAGTCAAAGTCGAACCGCGCAAGAGTCTTATCGTGCGCCGTACGGATCGGCGGATTGTTGTAATACGCGAACCCCGGCTTCGTAGGGTCCCAGTCTTTGACGTCGAGATATAATCGCTCCATCGGCGCTTGGATCCGCAGCTTTCCTCTTGTGACCTCGCCGTAGGTATTTGTGCCCTTGAGATCAACCTTGACGTCTAAGACTCTCGCGACTTCCTCGTAAGGTGCTGTTCTCCCGAGGCCGGGGATTCCGTCCACAGATGCCCACGACCAGGATGGTGCTCTGTACTCTGAAACACGTCTGCATTTGAGACTCTGCCAGAGGAGTCCTTCCAGCAGTTTTGATCGCCAAATCCCAACGACATACTCATCTTCTAGACGTTGGGCAAAGATACTCGCGAGTCCAGAGATGGCAGGGAGTTTATCCGACGCATCTGTCAGTTTCCGAGGGCCGTATATCCAGATCAGACTATACCATGACTCATACAGGCTCGCTTTAGGATCATCCTCTTCTTCCTCTTGATCTTCAGCCTCTTTTCGTTCTTCCCGTCCGTCTGGCATATCATGCACATTCACAAACCTCCAATCAAGAGCCGTGCCATCCTCTCCTTGAAATCCCTCACTACACTCAAAAAACATCTGCTGCTTTGTATAAAGCAAGCTCCGATATGGTAGCACTCGTTCCTGGAGAGCCCAACCCCGGTCAGAAAGTGGCTCATCTTCCAGGCTCACGTAGGAGCTAGCACCGGATTCTTTGTCAATCGGAAGACTGAACGCCATGACCTGGCCACTGAGCTCTCCACATTTATACTCAAACATCTTATATTCCCTAGGCGTTGTCTCGCTGAAGAGTCCTTCTGAGTGATCCTTTGCTTTCGAGGCAGCAACGGTTAGATAAGAGTTTGCGTAAATGGAGAGCATCTTTGCTGATTCACGCTCCCAGTCGTCGTAGTCGCCTTGGCAAATGCAGATACTATCTATCCAGAGATATCTAACACCTAGCTCGCGTGCTAGTTTGATAACATCTTGGTGCGTTTGTGACAAATCAGAGATGATGATTTGACATTTACGCTCTTCGAGAGTTGCTTTGGTGGTTGTGAACTGGGGCACTTTGCCCCAACAGTAGCTGAAGAGCAAATATCAGTGACTGTTATCCTCAGAATCTGGCTGGGAGAGATACCTCAGCGATATATATTTTCCACGTTCCTGTCCGTCTGTCTCTCTAAGCTTCGCGTATGGGCTGTTCATATCAACACCCACGTCAACGACTCGACCTGGCAACAGCGTGTCTCCGGGACTGCACTTGGGATGCTTGTTGTATTTAGTAACCCACTCATGAACCCTAGATATGGCCTTCGAAGCTCCGCCATACTGCTCAACGGGTCGTCCACGAATGATCGGAGCCAAAGGATTACCTAGAAGCATCAGCATCGGTACCTCTGAACGGAATATCCCATCTCACCATCGTCTACACAGAGTCCAATGGCCGCTACAAGCCGTACAGTCCGTTTACTTTCAGAGTCCGTCGTACTCATGACCCAAAGCCCATCCCCTCCAACTTCTCTCTTGACAATCCACATTTCCCAGAGCGGCCAACCATACTTCATTTCAGTTCCTGCTTCCCACTTGGGCTCAAGCTCTTCAAGTTCCGCCATGCACAACTCGACCTGACTCAGTATCAAGCGACAGATACCACAGCCTTCATCGTTAGCAGCATTTTGCAGAGCTTCTAGACTCTGATGATGTAGATAGCCTCGGTTATCTTCGGGCCAGAAGTGAAATTCTTGGAGATATGGATATCCGCTGAGGGACGGCCCTGACTCCGATGGGGCTTCAGGAAGATTCTTCCATGGTATTCCTCTGCAAGGATCGCATAGAACCATTTTGTCGTACTGTTGAAGCTGCGATTCTTGGTTTCCAGTAGGCAACAGCGTGAAGTTCGGATGTCAGGCCACTTCACATAAGCAATAATGCCTGAGGCACAAACTAACTACTACTGGTTAACTGCTGGAATGGCTTAAATAATAACTATAGGAACTGTCTTTAATTAATAGATCTTTAAATAATATTATAGTAAATACTATTATATTTTCTTTACTTAGTAGTTATTTATTTTAATTTATTATATTTTTATTTAATTTATACTATACTTTTATATTTTTAAAATTAGCTTAAATAAAGTTCTTAGAATTATCTATATATAATAAGATAATAACCGTATTGTTATAATTAACTAGCATCCCACTTTAAGACTTCTTAAGCTTTATTTATATCTTATCACCTTTGTAGGCTCCCTAACCCCATTCTTGAACACAGACATTTAGTGCATCTTGAGTCAAATTGTAATTCCCCCACTTCTGTCTCATGAGAGATAAGCTCAGCAGAAAAACACATAAAGGAATAGATTGCTTGTAGAGAAGCTGCTACCTTGCGCTCAAGAAATTTCTCATCATAAGACTTTCTCAATTTACCAGCAAACCTCAAGGTTATCTGCAAACAAATCAGCATCTAGCAACAGTGAGCTACCCTACACATTTCTGCCAAGGTCACAAGCTGATATTTCCTAGTGTCTTCGACTGAGATAGGAGCAATTACTGCAGTCCTGCACGCCTACGGAAGTGCTCTGAAAGAACGAAATGTTAAAGAAACAGTCGCACTCTATACTAGCGATGGCGTCATAATGCCCCCCCACTTTAGCGCCAGCGCAGGAACTCAAGCTCTCACCGAGACTTACGAGCGGATCTTCAATAGCATCCAACTCACCATCGCCTTTGATATCAATGAGATTTTGTTGATGTCGCCGGAATGGGCTTTCGCAAGAACCACGGCAGAGGGCACAAAGACCATGCTGCAGACCCAAACTTCAGAAGCCCATTCTAACCAAGAGCTGTTCATTCTGAAGAAGGAGGATGGGACCTGGAAGATTGCACGATATGCTTTTTCGACAATGAAACCGCTTATACAAGATGGAATTCGACGTAGCTAAGCGAGATGCTTTTCATTTAGAGGCATAGGCATAATCTGATCATTACAAATATTATTATGGTCTGATCGTTGTGACAAATGTTTCCGATAAACACAATATTCAGTCAGAGATTATCTCCGGGATTGGGGTCCACCGATTCCCCTATCCCGTTTCATCCCATTCTTGGCCGTCTCAGAGCTATCCGCGTATTCATCCCTACATCACATCCCCAAAACACAAAATAGAGAGATTTTAAGTTTGCCGATACAAACACACTCATAACAATACGAGATGTAACAATAGACGTACCTTCTCGCGTCATCTCCCAGCGGTGAACCATCAGTCAGCCCAGTCTCAACTACCGGCCGAGCGTCACCCAATTCGGACCGGACCGAGAAGCTCCGCGTGACAATTCTTCCGTGGAGCGCTTACACCGATGGAAGAATATTCCCCGAGCTTTAGGTCCGCCTTGTTTCAGCGCCCGCTGAAACTATTAAGGACCTGTCAGTACCTACACCGAATGCCGAGGATGCCGTAGCTATAAGATCACCACATTGTCTTTTTTGTTTCAAACATGATGATCTTTATCCTCTCCCATAAACTCTATCGACAATGTGGAAACTCCTCGTCAGCGGCTTTGTCGCCGTCGCGTCCCTCAGCGGCGTGAACGCTGCTTACCCGAACCCTGGTCCCGTCACCGGCGATACTCGTGTTCACGATCCTTCGGTTGTCAAGACTCCCAGCGGGGGATACTTGTTGGCTCATACGGGAGATAACGTCTCGCTCAAGACATCTTCTGATCGAACGGCTTGGAAGGATGCAGGTGCTGTTTTCCCCAATGGTGCGCCTTGGACTACGCAGTATACCAAGGGCGATAAGAACCTCTGGGCCCCTGATATCTCATACCACAACGGCCAGTACTATCTGTACTACTCCGCCTCTTCCTTTGGCCAGCGCACTTCTGCCATTTTCCTCGCTACCAGCAAGACCGGCGCCTCCGGCTCATGGACCAACCAAGGCGTCGTCATCGAGTCCAACAACAACAACGACTACAACGCCATCGACGGTAATCTCTTCGTCGACTCGGATGGAAAATGGTGGCTCTCCTTCGGCTCCTTCTGGTCCGGCATCAAGCTCATCCAACTCGACCCCAGCACCGGCAAGCGCACTGGATCAAGCATGTACTCCCTCGCCAAGCGCGACGCCTCTGTCGAAGGCGCCGTCGAGGCTCCTTTCATCACCAAGCGCGGAAGCACTTACTACCTCTGGGTGTCGTTCGACAAGTGCTGTCAGGGCGCGGCGAGCACATACCGTGTCATGGTTGGACGATCGAGCAGCATTACTGGGCCTTATGTTGACAAGGCTGGCAAGCAGATGATGTCTGGTGGCGGAACGGAGATCATGGCTAGTCATGGGTCTATTCACGGACCAGGACATAATGCTGTTTTCGCCGATAGTGATGCGGATGTTCTTGTTTATCATTACTACGATAACGCTGGTACGGCGCTTTTGGGTATTAACTTGCTCAAATATGACAATGGCTGGCCTGTCGCTTACTAGAGACCTGAGTCGGGATGGTTGGCCTGCTGAGGCAGTGAGCTGGAATCGATTGTCTGTACATGAATTGCATTTGTAAATATTTCACCTTTTATATATACTGCATGGCCATCTGCCACGAAAAAACACGAATTTGCAGCAAGCAAATACCTCCCATGATAGTGCATGGACCCTTGTGTTAATAATGACCAATCTGTAATGGAGTAAGGCTGCATGTTGACAGAGGGCCATGACTCTAAGTGACTCTGTCATCGGCCTTCCTCAAGCCAGCTCCGTTCCCCGGACTCCCCTTGGACATTAGGGATTAACAGGAACCAAGCCGAGGGATCGTCCCACCGCATGACCAAAACGTGGTTCAGTCGCCCCACGATCTCGGCAGGTAGCATTGGAAGCTTATACGAGGCCAGCTAATTACCCAATGACTCGAGCGCTTAAGCACCCCGCAATGCCGATCCCCCAGAGTCAATGCGGGGGAAAGATGTCGATTTTGCGCACGAATAGAATTACAGCAATGGAAGGTTGGTTTACACCATGGAGAAGAAAGTCCGGTCCGTGACGGGCCGGAGAACTGGTAATTGAGTAATGATTCCAGGAAATGGTGGCTCTTTGGCGATCTTGGTGAAGATATATAGACCGTGCAAGTCGCCGTTCGCCACGATAGAATGAACAGCGAGACAGACCACACGAATCGTGTTCAGGTATCCCATAATGCGTCTTCTATCGTTCCCCAGTCACCTACTGGTGGCCTTCCTCACCCTCAAAGAGGCTTCTTCCCTTGCCCTCACAAAGCGCGATAGCCCCGTCCTCCCTGGTCTCTGGGCGGACCCCAACATCGCCATCGTCGACAAGACATACTACATCTTCCCCACCACCGACGGCTTCTCAGGCTGGGGCGGCAACGTCTTTTACTGGTGGAAATCATCAGATCTCGTATCATGGACAAGGAGCGAGAAGCCATTCCTTACTCTCAATGGTACGAGTGGTAACGTTCCTTGGGCTACGGGCAATGCTTGGGCCCCTGCTTTCGCAGCACGTGGGGGCAAGTACTATTTCTACCATAGTGGGAATAACCCCTCTGTGCAGGATGGACATAAGAGTATTGGTGCGGCGGTGGCTCATCATCCTGAGGGGCCGTGGAAGGCGCAGGATAAGCCTATGATCAAGGGAACTTCCGACGAGGAGATTGTCAGCAACCAGGCTATTGATCCCGCTGCTTTTGAAGACCCCGAGACAGGAAAGTGGTATATCTATTGGGGGAATGGTGTCCCTATTGTCGCAGAGCTAAACGACGACATGGTCTCTCTCAAAGCAGGCTGGCACAAAATCTCAGGCCTCGAGAACTTCCGCGAAGGCCTTTTCGTCAACTATCGTGATGGAACATATCATCTTACATACTCCATCGACGATACTGGCTCAGAGAACTATCGCGTCGGGTACGCTACGGCAGATAACCCCATTGGGCCTTGGACTTATCGCGGTGTTCTTCTGGAGAAGGATGAATCAAAGGGAATCCTTGCTACAGGGCATAACTCCATTATCAACATTCCTGGAACGGATGAGTGGTATATCGCGTATCATCGATTCCATATTCCGGATGGAAATGGGTACAATAGGGAGACTACGATCGATAAGGTACCCATTGACAAGGATACGGGATTGTTTGGAAAGGTTACGCCGACTTTGCAGAGTGTTAATCCTAGACCTTTGTAGGTAGAATTAATTGATGCCTAAAGCTTATGACGCCTCCATGAAGCATATCAAGCTAACACACTGAAAAATCCCATTTAACTTTAGCTTTTAGAAGGCAATATACGCATAGCCTTAACAAAGATAAGTCTCCTAATAAAAAACAGAATAATATGCTTTTATGATGACTTAATCAGTAACCTTATTAGCAGCAGCTGGGGTATACGTGGCCACTGACAGAGTCGCACGTGGCATAAATAAACACAGTCAAAATTACATTAAGTTCCCTCGAAGAGGGTTGTAGGTAGAATAACTGAGAATATTTTAAGTTTTGTTTGATACCGTTTCAGTGAATAGTGAAAGTCCCTCCTTGACCTAGCCCCTTGGGCCGTTCTTTCTCATATGGCCAAATGCGTTGTTGCGTCGAAATATGGAAACCTTGATTCATTCTCAACAGCCTAATCGTCCGCCACAAATCTCACCAATTAAAGACACCACCTAGCCACTTTCTATAACCACTCAGGCACGTAACCTTTTAAACTCAAAGATGAGATCATGAAGCCCGAGTGCCTTCAGGTCCATAGACCCATTGATCCTTACGACGTTGTCAGAAGGGCACCAGTGGAATGTTCAGGGAAAGTAACTCACATGAAGCACGGCAACATCGTCTTATGCCTTAACACTGAACACTAGACTGGCAGCAAGCGGTGTGGATAACTCCAGTACCACTAGCAATAGCGCAGAACTTGGGGTGAGATGCAGGGCACTGGTTGTTGGCAGGAGTCTCAACGCACTGCTGTTAAGCTGAGGCAGCTGAGGCCATGGCAAAGATAGCAAGGGCGGTTTTGATATTAAATTGTGTCTTGAAAAAGAATTTTGGAGTAGCTTTAGTTCTTGAGTAGCGATGAAGTAAGTCATCTAAGACGATTACGCCAGACTTTTATAGCACAGAGCGAGTCGCAATCAGATCATCCAAGTATGATTCTCTCGATACAACCTACAGCATTAATATGGACATCTCCAGTTTGAAACGACTGATATGAAAAATAGGCAGACTTGGCCGTTTAATTGTGACGTACCCCTCATCGAGAACCTGATTTTTATTCCCAGCGTTACATTACACCCCACGTCAGAATACATATCCAGGGTCAAAAACCGTCGGTCGTAGTATTCATGCCAGGGCAAACAACACAGGGACCATAATAAGGCGGCTGTATTCTTTTCCGGTGGCTGTATTAGCCTTACGCTGCCTACTCTATCAAGCATGCTATAAGTCCCGTCGGCGTTTCCAACAACGCCATTTGGCTGCAACGCCAGCCTTGTTTTTCCATATGCTGGTTAGACCCCCTTCCTTCTTTGGGAACCGACTGATACTCTGCTGCTTGAAGCTCAATGCATATAGACAGTGAACGCTCCTTAGTAAACAAGAGTCAGACTTATTCGCCAAGGTACGCCTCGACGAGACCCATAGTACTCGTACTATTCCTGTGAACCTTGAGGACCTTGAACCTGGAATCCGCTTCCTTGAGCAACTTCTCAAAATCTCCCCTAGTTCGTTCCTTGGACCCAGCAACCACAAACATACACATATCGCACTGTCGCGACAAATGTTCCTGATACTTGGAAACCTCATTCAGTTCGGGTAAGACTTCCTCGTTGATGAGAAGAGGAGTTCCAGGTTTGCACTTTTCAAGAGCCGGGACAAGACCTCGCAGGATCTTGATACAGTCCTCATTCCGCCAGTTATGAAGGCACTGACGCATGAAGAACGCGTTGGCGTCAGTGATAGGCTGATCCTTGAAGAAATCATGCTGCATGAACGAGACTCGGTCTGCAATTTCAGATGGCAACTTTGCTTTTCCATCTTCGAGAGCTTCAGGGCTTACGTCTTGAACGACAAAGGTCAGATCGGGAAACACGGCTGCCAGATCCATGGAAACATGACCACTTGCACCGCCAACATCAACGACCTTCCCAGGAGCTTCAAGCTTGTCCCAATGGAATCCATCGCGAAGTGCAGTGATTGACCGATCCATCTGAGTCAACGCAGCCATGGCCTTTGCAAAGTTGAGGCCCTTCTCCGGAACCTCTGCGTAGAACTGATACGGCGGCATGCCATGACACGTAGCAAACGGTGAATCAGCGTTTTCAGAACCGTTTAGATCATTTTGGACGAACTTAGCAGCGTCAGAGGCTGCTTTGAACATTTCGTCGAACTGCATCCAGAGTATAGCTTCCATGTCGCTGTCCCGTGCGATGAGAGCAGAGCTTGCAGTGTGAGTGAATATATCTGGCTCAACTTCCTCAAAGACGCGTTGGGTTGCAAGATGCTTCATCACCCTGCGACATCGACCTTCATCAATGCCAGCTTTAGATGCGAGGTCGGCAATACTAACTTTGCCGTCGAGAGGCACATGTCTGAAGAGTTTGAAATGAAGAGCGACTTGGTATGCTGCAAGAGTGTAGTGACTCATGAAAAAGGAGCGGTATTCATTTGCTGGGCCGTTGACAAGACGGACAAGGTCTTGCGCTGCATCGTTGAGCTGGATCCGGGTGGAGTGGATATCGGCATCGCCCCGAATGGCTTTGCTGTTCTGGTCAAAGGACGGTTCCTGCTGCTTGGTGTCCTGGAGGTGTTTCACGATAGTCTCTGTAGCCTGCTGAATAGTCTTTGCCAATTGCAAGAGGCTGGACTGGTTTGTTGAAGTCATTTTGAAATTTTAATCGTGATATACTAACGGTTCTCTAGGAGTCGATGCTAGATGGAGATGATTTTAACAGAATTTGATATATTCTCTGTTCATGCCAAGACTACTATAGCTATATATACCTGTTGTTCAGCTTCCCGTTTCCTCATTTCTCATTATCCTTCTGACAGACAACGCCAGCCGTCTGACGTGAGGGCTTTATTCACGGTGTGATAAGAAAATACCGAACGTGCATACCGACAATCCATTTACATCTCTCCATGCAGCCGCAATCACCATGTTTGCTACACAGCATCTCTAGTCTTTCGGGTCCCGAATAAGCGGCATGTCCCGTCACCCAATAACATCCACTCCCATCTGTCTCACTCTGCATAAGATCTACCATTCTATTGGCTGACACGCAATCGGCTTATCGAAAATCGGCGGTAGCTCAGCCGCAGCGACGCTCGTGCTCGCGAACATCGCGCTCTTGTCAAACGCGAGAAACCCTGTCCCTTCGTAGCACCCAACATACTCGGCGTCGATCTCGTCGCCCTTTATGATGCCGAGATCGACCCAGAGGAGGATTTCGCCGTCTTGCATTACGCCGCCGGGGCCGTATGCTGACATGAAGTTACGTCGCAGCTTGACGTGGCCTTTGTCCCATCGGCCCATGTGCTCCATCTTGGAGAGGTCGGTCCAGTACAGGATCTGGGCTTGGCGGATGTAGTCGAGGCCTGGAAATATGCCACCATTAGGCGTACCGTTGATACCATTGGTGCCATTGGCGCCATTGGTTGTACCGTTTGTTGCTCCAAGTGACTTCTCTCCCGCAAATGCGTGGCATGCCCTTGCTGACACCATTCCCTTCTCCATGCCTGCTGTTACAACATTGGTAACCCATTGCTTAGTAAGGCCATCAAAGTTCTCGTCCCAGTACTCGCGCTCCCTTTCCTTCATAGCGCTGTAGTCTTGCCCCTCAATAACAATGCAGAGGTTGTCCGGGAACTTGGTAATCTGGGCTCTTCCACGTCGGATCTTATCCGTCATAGGCTTTGGGGGCTGCCAAGCGTCCGAAGAAGAACTGAATGTGTCGCCTTCAAAGTCAGGCGTCATACGAGATCGATATGCTCCCCAATACCCAGTCTTCTCAGTCAGAGGCACAAGTTCTCCACAATGTCCAAAGCCAACTGGATCTTTTCCTGTGCATTCATGCATGGCTCTAGTTGCAGGAAGGCAAACCGACTCCCTCCAGAAGCCAGCGTCATCTGGAAGTGATGCCCAAAAGTCCTTTGTAGCGTCGCTCTCCCACCATGACTTGAAGGTTTGAGGTGAAGTCCAGTAAGTCATCCAAACCCTCGAGGGAATGTTGTTCTGTTCTAAGCGCTCGACTGGAACACTAGCATCCTTAATGAGATTGTCGAACTTTTCGATCCGCTCGAGCTTTTCGGTGCTTGGGGTGTCGGCATGGTATTGACACCCGAAGATACCCAGGGTAAAGTGGTGAGCGGCGGAGAAGCGAGGACGAAGCATACTGTTGACAACTAGTAGGATATCAATTGAATGAACGTAATCTATTCTGTCAAAAGGCCACTAGGAAGTAGTGAGTTTATATATTAGGAATGCCATATCACTGATTCGCTGCAATTACCACTCTTCTGTCAGTGCAAGTGATGCCTCAACGCTCCGGGTAACAGAATTCCAGATCTTCCCCAGACCATGGTCCTGGAAATTAAATACCCCAATGCAGATCCTCTTGTTTCACGATCGTGGGGAAGCCGTTGGATACTTGATATCCGGATAAGATATCGTACGCTAAAATAGTTCGAGAGGGGTGATCGATCATGACACTAGAGGTTTAGCTCCTGGAATAAGAGTGGGATATACAAAGTGCAGTAGCAGCGACAATAAATCACAAGGATCTCACGGCGTGAGTGCCATTCCCTGCTTCCCGAAGGACCAAGACAACGTGAGATGGCATCGGATAACGGTAACGTGATCACGGTGCGTTGGACTTCCTAGCTGCAGTATCATGAGCCTTGGCATCTGATTACAGTCATTATCCATTCGACGACTAGCCCCTCGCAATGTAACAAAATCTCAATTCCCAGTACTTACGGGCGAATCTATCAAATTTCTATGTACCGGATGCGCTATGCTGCGCTACTACGCTCTCTAACATTTCTACTGGCCCTTGCCAAGCAACACCAGATTGGCGACGTTCATAATAGCAATGATCAACCATATTACAACTGCGATAGAAGTCGTATACCATGCATTTCGCATCTTCACATCATCCCCATCATTCCTCTGCCCCGTCATCAACGCCGGCTGTCCTTCAACTTGCAGTCGCGCAGGACCAGATCTAACAGTCATGAACTTATTCCTGCTCGTGAAGTAAATGAGAGGCGCTGTGACAAAGGGAAGGACGATACTCAACGCTACCTGAGAACCGTTTAGGGCAGCATTTAGTCCAGACCGGCCGACTGCGCCAGCAATAATGATACTAGGCGTGATACTGATGCTTCTTGTCATTAGCCGGCGTAACCATGGACGCATCTTGACGTTTAGGGCACCCTCGCTGACCATTTGGCCGGCAATGGTACAGACAATACCCGCTGTGATTCCGGACAGCAGCAAAGCGAGTGCAAACAGTATTCCTGCTGCAGGAGAGATTGACGACGCAAGTAAATCGTGTATGCTGAAGATATCGGCGTCAACGGCGTCTGGGTTCTGGTATAAAGAGGCACCGGCAACGATGAGGATAGCGGAGTTAACAAAGAGGGCAAAGGTAAAGAGCGCGATGGCGAGTTCGGCGATAGATGTCTTGAGTGAGGACTGGATAGCTTCGAGCGACGGAATGTAGTAAGTCTTTTCCGAGACTTGGTTAACAGATGTACTACTTGGGGATGGCCGTGGAGGGACGAGTCCTCGTTTGACATCGTATTCGCGTAGTCGGGGCTGGACAATGCCTGAGCCTAGGTAGAGGCTGTGCGGCATGACTGTCGCGCCCAGGATACCGCATGCTTGATACAACCTAGACTGTTCAGAATACCTCTACTACATAAACTTTGGGGAGAAACTTACCCTTGCTGCTCTACAATGCTTTTTGAAGGTAAATAACCTTTGAACACCTCCCCGACTGAAGTGTTTTTTATCAACGACAACTGGATACAGAAGCATATCACAACTCCCATAACCAGGCAGAGAATAAAGTACTCAAATATCCTCAGACCTCGCATGGATTTGTCAGGGTTGTAGAAGAGTAGAATCACCATTACATCTGCGATAGAGATGGCACATCCTGCGACGAGAGGGACTTTGGGGAAGAGAAGGTTCAGTGCAATTGCAAAGCCTATTACCTGGGATCCTGGTATTAGTACACCTGACCGAAGGAGTACTACAAAGACGGCATACCTCGGCGATGTCGGTCGCGATGATAGCAATTTCTGCAAAGATGTACAGTATGATGTTAAGCCATCTCGGCAGAAATGCTCGACAAGCCTCAGCTAGGTTTAGTCCACTGACAGTGCCGAGCTTGATAGCGAGACTTTGGAGAAAGATTGCAAAGAGGTTAGACAACAGAACAATGAAGAGTAACTTGAAGCGGTAAGATGCACCGGCGGCGATGTCGGTTGAGTAGTTTCCAGGATCAACTAGTAGAAGGGTATTTGTTACTTATGGCCATACAATGAAGATGGGTACATAATAAGCAAGACCTACTATAAGCGACAGCTATTATGAAGCCAGGACCGATGAAGGATAAGAATTTCACCAATGTCTTCTTGCATCGTTGAAAGCGCGATAGCCAGGCGCCAGAATCTCTTCTGGGAGTCGGAGGACATTGCGGTTCTGTAGGTAATATTGCAAGGCCATTTACTTGCGTTTGCCTATTTTCAACGCTCTGCTCATCCTGGTTGGCTGAAGACATGATGGTGGCCTTGGCGGTCTTGGTATCAGGCTAGGATCGGAAAGTCGCTTTCTCAGGAGTGAAAAAATGGAAACACGCTATACTAGAATGAGATCACGTGGCGTGTGAGACAATATGAGGTGACGCGACTTTGGTGATGAACCCTGCTGAGAACATGAAAGGTTCGAGGTATGATTGTGATGAGCAGTAATACGGTCCTCACGATTGGGCTTGACAGTTGTTCTGATCATGGAGAATCATGGTGATATCAGTACATATTCATTGTAAGCAGATGTATCATGTTTGAAGACATTCTGTCAAGATCGCCAGACTCATCCTGGTCCACAAATTATCCTCCATTCTATTCTTAATAACGTTTTAAGAATATCATTGAATCAATCAGGCATTATCTTATCACTGTGAATCGAGCTGCTGAGATTCATCGTGGTGATTGGAGAAGGCGGAAAGGATAATTCCGCTTCCGAATCACCCAGATTTCGGCGCGAGTCGGCTGAGCGGCAACGGTTCACCATCTCCCGCATCCGTATCCGAACAGTGCGGATAGCGTACGCTGCGAGAAGCGGCAGAAGCCACCGAACAAGTCAGCGGGGTATCGTTATAACTCCTCGATTCTCAAATTCGTCTTTTCTCATCATATTGCTTTACTGTATCTCTCTCTGATACCTAATCACAGTAGCCAGACTGTGAACAATAAATATTCACCCCTTGAGAATTGGTCTTCGTCGGAAACATGACGTCACAGCTCTGGTCCTCAACTCCATGGGTCGATTCTGGTGATACATGGCATAAACGCCGTGTTCCATACGTACAAAATGCAACCCGCCTACATACTCTCGACATTTGGCAGCCAAAATCTCTCCAAGGATCTTCACTCCCAACAGCAGACGTGCTGCCTCAAGGCAAAGGCCCTTGGGTTATCTACATCCACGGCGGGGCATGGCGAGATCCACTCGTTGACTCGTCCTCCTTCGAAGCAACTGCCCTGAAGCTTCTGAGCGACAAAGACACACCCATCGCAGGCGTCGCATCAGTTAATTATCCTCTTTCAGGCCATCCCAATCATCCTACGCATCCCGCACCACCTCGCAATTCCTCGGAGGCTGTTGATGTTGCTCGACAAGCTAAGCATCCTGATCACATAATCGCTCTACTCATGGCTATCTCGTTTCTGCAAAATGATCTTGGAGTAGCTTATGATTATGTACTGTCAGGTCACAGCTGCGGCGCCACCATGACGTTCCAGACATTGATGAATCCTGATCACTGGCTGGGTACTGCAAAGGGAATCTCAGTTCCAAATGTGAAGAAACCTAGGGTCATAGCTCCTCTGAACGGGCTATACGATCTCGCTGCCTTTATCAATAACCCACCAGAATCTCACAAACAACTCCAACCACTGTACAGTAACTTTACGAAGAATGCGTTTGGCGATGACGAGGCAGTATGGAAGGCTATCTGTCCTACGAGTGTCACAGACTGGAGCGCAGAGTGGCCTGAAGGTAAAGTCGTCGTCATCGCCCAGAGCAAAGAAGACTGTCTTGTCCCATATGCCCAGACTGAGCTTATGAAGGACCACCTGAGAGTGACTTCTACGCTTGAGATTATTGAGATGAAAGCTAGCGGTGATCACAATGATCTTTGGAAGCAAGCTGATGAGATAGTAGATATCATAAAGTGCGCGGTTGGATATCTAACCAAGCTCTGATTCTTTAAGCACTTTGAAAATTACAACTCAGTTTAGGTCAAATTAATAAATCCAATAGGGACCAAGTCTAATGAGTATTATGTAACCCAATATCCGGCATTTCGCTGCCGTCCTTCCACGATGTCATCACCAACTCGACTTCTTCATCGTTAAGCTTGCCTTCTCCCTTAAGTATGGAGTTCCTGATATACATCTTAAGTCTCATGTCCATTGTATACTTTGCCCTCTTTAAAGACCTTTCGATACTCCTTTTCAATCCCTGCAGGCTCTTGTATTCTTCGGAATTGAACCGAGACCTGTGTACAGAAGGCATGTGAGGATAAAATCTGTTTATATAAAGATATCGTTTATGCTGATAAGCCCGTGTCTGTTCCTTAAATTCAATCGTAGCAGCATCGGCGATATCGGATGGGACGTAGAGGCCAAAAATAGGCATGCGTTTGACTTCCTTGGACATTGGCAGTTGGCGGCCATGCGAGTCTCTCGGATATACTGGCGTTTGAGTGCTAACACATGCAAACGTCGCTTTCTTTTGCTCTCTTGCCATTTTCCTGCATATCTTTGCTATAGCAAGGTTGTTGGCCGGAATAAATGCATACCCACGTGGGATTTTGGAAATGTCTTGTACCGCAGATGGATGGTTTATGATCTATGCGTATTAACACCGGAAAGGGATTCCATTGATAATAAGTGAGGGTAACTGACCTTCTCACGTTTGTCTCTGACCATCATTGGCACTGGCCTTTCAGCGCACGCAACGGGACCGGATGTCTCCAAAAACCTCCGTTGGAGATTGCATATTGAAGTCTGGGCTTGAGGTCGCTTATAGACGAAAAGCCTTTGGATAGAGCGGGTAGGATTAAAGAAGGCAGACATATTGCTTGGAGAAGGGTTAATGGAAAATCTTGAAAGTGGAGTGATTGGTTGCGATCCCTAATCTGGGAGAAGTTGTGGAGAAACTTTCTTCCAACCAAACGGAGCTAGCCATCAGGGTCTGTGCTGAAGTCTTTGGTCATTCCTATTGGTCAATTTCCCTTGCGTGACCTGGTTGATTCACATTTGCAGGTTTGCAGGGTAAGTGATTTTTATTTCTTCAGCTGCCTTCTTAAATCGCTATGCTGATTATAAGCTGACTTGTTTATGGACGTCTGATTTGCAATTATTTTCAAATCTCGTGCTTGCTCTTCGTAAGAGTTGACGCGATAACGGCTGCACCCACACCGCTTCCAGGCGACAGCATAAACTCAACACTATCCTTGCCAGTAGACGGCAACTTCTGCCAACCAAGAATCTCACCCAGAGCCTCAGATAGTTCTCGCTTAAAATGAGGATGCTTCTCAAACAAAGATCCTTCAACACCCACGTGACATGTCTTGAGATTTCTCTTCAAGCATATCGCTGCTACACCTGTTGATGAGAGACGCGCTGCGCGGGTTGTGATTAGTGTTGCAACCTTTCTCATGAACTCGAGCTCTTCTAAGCTTGGAGATACCCCAAGCTTCGCGACAGACAAGTCATGTGACGTCTTGAAATCTTTTGACGTGTCCCTAGACCCATTGTTAGTGAGTGATCTTATGTTTGAAGAATGGTTGATATACTCTTCAATCGCCGACAAAAACGACGAGTCCATAAAATACGGCTCCTGCATCTTCTCCAAACTCTGTCCCTCCCAAAACGTATCATCCCTCTTCTTAACATCAAGCATAATCAACCGAAACAACTCCCCCAGATACAGCCCCGCCACCATCTTCTCAAACGCCTGCTGGCCCTTCCTCGGCGACGCATCATCAATAGCGATGTCAAAAGACGTTAGCGGTAACACAACATGCTCGTTGTCAAAAGCACCCCATTCGCAATTAATCGCCATGAGTGCTTCGGCGGGAAGACCCTCCATGTCGAGCTTGGGGATGCATTGACATCTCTCGAAGTAGGCACCGTTGCAGCCTGTGCCGAAAACGCAGCCGATGGCTGTCTCGGAGTTGATGTATGCTGAGGCCATCATCGTGGCGGTTGTGTCGTTTGTCACGACTCGGACCTTGAGGGGGAGTTTCTGACTCTGTTAGCTGGAGTATCACTATCAATACGTAATGCATACCCTTTTCGCGATAGCATGCCTCAACGACGCCGCTACATCGCGACCTTCACAATCAGCAACATCAAACCCCTTCGTCCACCTCTGAAGAATCCCTTCATCAATAGTTCGCTGCGTTGTAGGAAACGAAAAGATGAAGCTCAAGTCGGTGTTTGTTCCAGCCTCAAAATCAGCTGTTTTAAGGAATTCCTCGAGATGTCCAGCGACAAAATCCCAAAGCCTTTCAGCAGGTCCTGTTCTCAATTGTTTGGGGAGCTTGTGCGTGACTTGGTTGACTTTGAAGCCTGACTTTTCTTCGGAGAGTTCGACGGAGAAGACTCTGAGGTTTGTGCCGCCGAGATCTAGCACGAGATATTTTCCTGTTTCGTTGCCGGTTGGTTGTTGCATCACCCAAGTTGGGTTCATTGGCTATTTACGATTAGCTGGCTTGCCACAAAGGTATTGAGATAGCACTTACAATGCTGCCTCCCTTGACACTCAATCCTGCATAAGTCTTAGCTTCTGTTCGTCATGTGACTAGCCCTGTCTGTACCTTTATCTAACTCATCGATGAAGTGGTTGGTGATATGCTTGAGCTTTGCGGTATCAACCGTGAAGTCCCTCTCAAGCTCTTGGAGATATGTTTGAAGATTCGCCATAGTTACGTCAATTGACTTTCAGACAGTAATTTTACTGAAGAGATGGCACGCCAGCACAAGGTTTCTCATAAACTTATATACAATTATCTGCGCCTGCTAATCCATCAATCGATCGAAACCCCGTTGTCGGGCCGGAGCAATTGCAACAGTCAATTCATATCCAACAGTGATCTTGTGATGACGCTAGATCCACTTTAGGATTCACCAACGTTCTGTAACTTGCTTTATCTAACTCTAGTCGCTTCGTTGTGGTTCCACGGGCCCGATCCGATGGCTCTGGTGCAAAAGCTCCGGTTATCTTAATACCCTAGCTAGGGGAGGAAAGAAAACTCAGGATCTGAATCCTAAATAACAAAAAGATCTAGGTAACTTGGGACAAGTTTAAGGTATCTTTATCAGGTTTAGGATATTTTTTACTCAGTTTATTTTTAATATCTTTTATTCAGGTCTTGGTTTTATACTTTTATTGCCCCTCGAGGCCTAGGCCATTACCTCATAATCTCATCAGAGGTAAAAATCGTGCTTGAGTATCCTTGCTAGTGAGCTAACTTCGGCAAAATCCTTATTGGTCCATCTTGTGAGACTTGAGAGATAAACTATTATTGATGTGGTAATGACTGTGTTTTACCTCTGTCTGATCTCATCTTTCTGTCTCAGCATTCTGATCAAACCGTACTTGAACTGAATAAGAATAGCACACTCAACTAAATGGTGATCAGTGGGGCTTCGACATACAAATCACCAAACCTCTCTCCCAGGAGCTTAGGCAGCTTGCCCAAGCCTGACAATGCCTTTCCCCACCCAAAAGTCTCAAACCAAGAATCGACAAAAGTCTGTTGGACGTCACCTCCATCACCGTCATTGTTCCACTCTGGTGAAGACCACTTGTTATGTACATCATCCCACTGCTCGGGACCATCTTTGGGCTTACTGGGATTCCAGTCTTCTTCAGGCGACTCCGTTTCCGGAAACAGCTTCTCCGCTTTGAGGACTCTCTCACCTTGGGCAAGGATGTTGAAAGCTTTGAGGGTATCTTCAGACATCTTGGGTGGCGGGCCTTGCATGAGGACACCCATCATGAGCTTCAAGCTACCGGAGTTATTGTCGAGCAAATCGTCGATATTGTTGCCTTGACTGCTCTTGGTAGGATCCTGGCTCGCATCGTCTGTTCCGTGTTGTTAGTAAACTATCAAAGGGAAGTGCTATTGAAACCTACACTTGGCCCAAAGACCTGTTGGAACCTGCTTGTACTCTTGAGTCATGTCCCATTTCCCATGGGCGACACCATCTTGAACGATCTCAATCTTCATCTCTGATTTGGTCATTGCTTCTTTGAGGTGCATAGGCCGAGCGTAGATGGGAGGGCCCTTGGATGAGACTGAATTGACTACGTTTTTGTTCTCGTCGACTTGCTTGGCATCTTGGACAGCCATCTTGCATCCAACGACGAACGAGAAGGATCCTCCGCGAACGACCCAATCGGCATTCTGTTCTCGATCAGTGGAAGAACTATTGTTCAGAAGTCCCGAAGTGGCAAGGAACGTGTGTCCTTGATTGGGAACTCCAGGCAAAATGTTCTCTTCGCCCTCGGCGATCAGAGCGCGTTTCTCTTCTGTCGACAGGCTCTTCGCCTGTTGACTGCTAGCCTGAAGAACCAGATGGAAGAATTCCTCGATATTAGCCTCCTTCTCAACGCTTTTATCCGCACCAAAGTTGATGTCAAACTTGGCCACCTTGATGTCAACGTGCACCCGACCAGCAAGCGGCGGTCCCCACATAGACAAGTCTGCCCCGATCTCAACGGAGATATGTGTGTGAATAAACAAGACGTCGATGTTGAAGCGAACGCCAACGCAGATGCCTGCATTGGACGTGAAGTGGAAAGGCTTGTAGTTGATAAGGAAGTTGGCAAAAGCGTCAAACCAAGCTTCAATAGGGCCAGCGCTAAAAGCTGCATGCAATCTTCCGCCGCCCATACAAACTTTAGGTGTTATCGCGAAGTAGGCCTCACCAGATAAGCTGAGATGGCTACCTAGAGACCAACTGATGCCCAAGCGCGGTGGATTCGGCCAATCGTCTGGGATTCTGAAGGCTTGATGATAACCACCCAGAGTGAAGACGAAGTTGCCGACGAGAGACTTGTCAGCATGCGTGGCGTCAAACCAATAGTATAACGCGAAACCTCCCGTGAGATGACAGTTGGGGTCCAGAATGAAGGACTTGGGCGATAGTTGACCTTCCACTTTCATGGTTCCGTAGTCAAAGTCAACCGTTACACCAATGCCAAGCTCAACGTGAGCAAATTTGACGGGAGACTTGGCATTGGGAATGTCAACGAGAGCAACAGCGTATATACCTAGTTTGACAGACTGGCCAAACATGACCACCACAACAGCATCGAGGGAGATCATCTGAAAGGCATCGATCTTCATGCCCGCAGCTGCCCAGTACGTATCGTCCCGCGGCGTGAACCACCCTCCGGCTTCGGACCGAGGATCCGTAAGCTTCTCAAGAGTCTTGAGTGCGTCGCCGGCAGTTCCATTGAGTTGAGACTGATCAATGAAAGGAAACTCGGTGATCTCCGCGACTTTGGGGACACGAATCTCAGAGTTGTACCCGAAACCGCCGGTCACACCGGATATTTCTGCAAACTCCAACGTTACGAGCGGCCCATCTAATCTGGCAAACACAAAAACCGAGACGAAAGATTTCTGGTTTTCAGGGTTGGCTTTGCCGTAGAAACCAGCTGCTTGGAGTTGGTACGGAACCCAGCCGACGATGAGACCGCCAGCGTAGTAATTCAGCCCGGGTATGTTTCCATGCCGAACGATACCAGCGATCGTGAGAGGAGTCTTTTCGAAAGCCACTGCGAAGCCTTCTAGGCTGAACTTGGGGAATTCTATCTTGGAAAGATCGAGAGACGTGAGTTTGAGATTGATAGTGAATCCCAAGAGGGAAAAGCCAATTGGGCCGAGTTCAAATGTCGCATCGAAGCCAATACGGAGGATTTGGTCCGTATATTTGAGGGAAATGTTGTTGATGGATAGTGGCCCGGTCTTCTTCTTGAAAGGTGCCGAGGCGCTCCCTCCATCAGAGTCGTCCTTTGGTGGCTTCTCTGATTCACTATCACCCTCTTCCAGTCCCATGAGTGCAAAGTTTGACTTCTTATCAGGAGCATCCGCCTTCTTTTTGAAGTCATAGTCAAGTATGCAGGTAGACTTGCCCTCGGAGTCTTTGATGATGACTCCAAAATGGGATCCAGCGCTCATAAGAAGATCACTGTCATCCTTTTCCTTGAACTTATCTTTGGTTGTCAGCGGCATAGATTCTTGAAGACTCTTAATGTCGAGACGAGTGAGACCAGGTTCTCGCTTGGGATTCTTGTTGGTTTTGTCTTGGATCCACATGAAATACATTTCTTCAAACGGCTGCGTGAGATTTCCCACCAAAGGGATCTCAATCGTCGGAACAGCTGTTAGAGAAGCTTTGAAGAAGCGCTTCGAGGGGACTTTTGACTCCCAGTCTAGTTGGTGGAGTTGAACAAAGGCGAATTTTATCTTGCCCAACGTCAAAGTTGCAACGAACTGGAATGAACCCTTCTTTTTGGCACCCGCAGCTTGCACATCGAATGCCTTTTTTGGTTCGTCTTTCAGTACCTTTTCCAGAACCTCGATATGGATAGCGCTGTCCTTCTCGTTGCCAAACGCCATGTTATCAAGAAAGCCGGGTAGTTCCAGACTATCGTCGCCAAGAATACCCTTGATGACATCTGAAACACTCGCATTCTCCTCGGCTGACTTCAAGTCTGCCGTGAATGTGAAGGATCCCGATGGTTGATAATGAAACTTCAGGTCAAGTTCAAGACCAGCTGCTAAGAGAACACCCTCGAGTTCAAAAGAGGAACCGACAGATTTGCCCTTGTCATCACCGTCCTTGACGGGCTCGTAGTGGTAGGCGAGATTAAGGCTCTTGACCTCAATAGACTCGATCAACGGCATGACATGATCAGCAGTCGACGTGCCAGTCGACGCACCCTTCGGCTTGCAGAATAGCTCATACAAAGACGATGCGTAAAGTGAGTTCAGTGAAGCTTTGAGCTCCCATTTTCCTGTTCCGCTACTGTAATCAACCCCACCCTTGAGAATTGCAGTCTCCTTGTGCACAGACGTTGGTGCGGGTTGAAGTCGTGCCAAGAAAGCGACTGTGAGTGTGAAATCCTTCTTGCCTTCCCAAGTAAACCCAGCGTCGATACTGAGGAGGCCAAGATCAAGCTGTGGAATAGGTGGTGGATCATCAGACTCAAAGGCGAGTGATTCGATTGTACCACCTAGTCTAACGCCACTGCGACTGAGTGTGACATATGCTCTACTGATCTGAGTCGGAACTGTGCTTGGAACATTCTCAATTTCGACACCTGGAATCATCTTGATGAGGTTAAGTGTCTTCGCGGGGGTCTCCGTCAACGGGTAGAGATCCGTGGTGGTTTCATACTCTGGTTGCATGTCGCGAATAACCGAGTCATCATACCCTATGTGAATCTATTAGCAAGGCTCTTGTGAACATGAAAAAGCTACTCACAGTTCCAGAGTTCACCCTTGATGCTCCCCCACTTCGGCCCATCGGCCATCCAGGCATATGATACGAGAAAAGTAGGCGTAGCATGCTTCCCCATCCCTGTTGTTTCAGTACCAAATTTTGCCGCAACCTCAATATCAAAAGAAAAGCTCTTCAACTTGGTGTTACGTCCCTTGTCATCACAGCTGAGCCCAATCTTGATTTGTCGAAGGTATATCCCGCTCTGCTCAAACATATCGCCATCACCAAGGAAATCACTGATGAAATCCAGGTTCAGACCTGGAACCAAACCCATCAACCATTTCAAGATGCCTCCAAAGGCGTCTTTGGTATTGAGCTGGACGGTGATGTTGTAGCTTCCATGGTAGAAACTGACAGAAGCGAGTACAGGCACATCGGACTTTCCGTCTGGCGGCTTGATGGTACATTTGGCTTGGAATATGACATTGCCTTGAGCCACTGGTTGATTGCCGTCGTCGGTGTCAGCTAGAACAACTGCTTTCTTGCAGATGACATCGAGGCTGTCAAACGTGAATCCTTTCAGGGTTGAGGTAATTGCCTTGTCGAAGGTATCAACATCGGCGGCATCAAGACTGAATTGAAGACGAATAGATGTCTGCAAAGACCTTGAAGGGCGAATCCAAAGACCATTCCGTTTCCGAGCTGCAGACGCATCTTGTACTGCAAGGGTAGTCTTCCAGTCTGCAACGAGAGCAGGTGGTGTCCTGGAAGATTTCGAGAAGTCAAAGAGATCCTTCACAGTAGAATGCAAGTCTTGTTTAGTCTTATCGGGATCCAATCCAAAGTAGAGTGTTTTGCCGTCTGGTTCCAGGCCAGGTGCTGGAATTCGAGGAAGCGATTCGGAGGCTTCAGTGCCGAAGGTTTCAGCGGGAGGTGGGAAAGAATACTTCAAAGCTTTCTCTTTGGAGCTAAAAGTGATGTCCCATGGGGATTTATACTGAAAGCTGAAGGCATCGATGACCCATGGTCCCTTACTGGGTTCAGGATCTGGCTTGAGTGTCAAGCTGAAAAGACCTTGGCTATCAAGGTGACCCATCCAGGTTGCCAACCCATCACTTGCGTCCAGCTGGATATCTATAGCGTCTGTGCCAGATGGAACGGACTTGAGTATGATAAAATTGCCAGACAACTGATTGACGAAATTGTCCACGTTGGATCCTTTATCCAGGATCTGAGCATCATCACCGCCAGGGTCAGGGGCGTTGGACCCGTAGAACTTGTACTTCCCATCTGCGATGAAGCCTCCAGTAGCCGATATGGGCTTCCATAGAGTTTTAGACGGATCGCCAGCTCGTGGAATACCCTGTCGTGAGATGAGGTCTTGAATACGTGACCCCATATTGAAATTCCACTTGGCTTCAGAGAGTTTAAGAACAGTGGGTTTGAGGCGAGGACGGGCAATGATAATTGGGGTGCTGAACAGAGCTAGTTCATGCAAGTGGAGAGTGAGCGAGATGTCGAGGTCGCGAAAAGCTGGGGACCAGCGAGATACCCGTAAACTCCATGGGAGATCACTTCCGGCCTTCTGTGCAGGTTCCCCAGCGGTTACTCTCGGATGGCAATAAGGTCAGTCAATTTACCCAGCAAGTGGCTAGCTGAGAAGATGTCAATCTTGTCTCCCTTGGTCTTCATTCCCACTCCGTGCAAAGGACGATGAGCACGGCTTCATGTGAAATAATGATGACTCAAAAACGACATCCCTTTGGTGGCTATCACATCATTACTTGACTGAGCTGCGTCGTACGATACGTAGAGGTTGCATAATGATAGGACGGCACGTCGCGGTCAATAAGACTGGGCATGTTCTCTATGACATTTTAGGATGTTGAGAGTCTTTTCAGCTTGCTTTTGGTGTCATCAATTCCCCCTTTTGAGAAAGACTATTTCCAGCTGCAGCTCGTCATATTCCGACAGCGCCTACAAAGGGACGCGCATATCCAAACCTGGACTCTCGCAGGCTGTTGTACCGGCCCGTACCGTAGTGACGAAGTCGCTGACATGGATGCTGCGGGATCGACAGCGGGGTTTGTTATGCAAACCCCCCAACACAGTCACTGTGACAGTCACTAAGACGTGCATAATCTCAGCTGTAGGCCTGAGCTTGGCCTGGGGTTCAAGAAAACATCAGATCTAAGTTTAGGGAAAAAGAATAACCTCCGCAAAAAGTATCCTAAACTCATCTTACGCTTGTATTGAGTTACCTAAGTCTTTTTGTCACTTAGGATCGATGTCCCGAGTTTTCTTTCTTCCTCTAGCTTGGCACATTGACTGGCTTACAGGGGACTCTGGGATCACCGATTGGACTTGAGCGGATGATTGACTCGACCAGGACTGATGGATAGTTATCAGTCCGCACTTACAGTGGTTCCTTCAGCTTTACACGAGCAAACTCCAACACTCAAATTACTGCGAAAAGCTTGCCGTCGTTATGGATACTGATTCAGACCCATTGCTCGTGCCTCTGCAACTGCAAGCCTTCGTCCTCAACCCATCAGTCTGCAACACAGATTCTCAAGACGACCATAACGCACGAATTGTGCCCATCACCCAGCCAAACTACACTTTTCTACGCCTTGACAATTTCCTCATCCAAAGCGATGTTCTCAATCACGCAGATCTTCACTGCTCAGCCCCAGCAGAAGCGAACCCTCGTCTAACTGACCTGGGCGCTCGACCTCCAACGCCTCGTAGAGACCGGCATGGAGTTTACCTCCACTGGATCCTTCCCCAGACCTATCGATCTGGAGTAGCGTCTGCCGATTCTGTCTCCAAGGAGCGCAGAGAGGATGAACGTCTTAGGCGTGGGCTGGCTCCAGGTAAATCCATCTCGGATCCTAGGGCAGAACCAACCAAATCCCCAGAGTTTCTTCAACCGCCGACACGATGGATCGTTGTTCGGAAGTTGGACTTGGACAGTATTAGTCCTGCCGAAGCGAAGCCGTTCTTTAAAGAGTATCAAGCTTGGGTCATTGAGAGTGACTACCAATGGGCGTTGGAGTGTATCCCGCCTGACTATGACCTCCAAGTCGATGTCTCCCCTTTCATCCTTGGTGTCAAATCTGGCGATGATACCAATATCGAGCAACAGGCCGAAGTCTTCATCGGTCGCAAGACACCTCTGGAAGACTGGTCTGAATGCGCCTCTGCTCATCGTGTAGACATCAGTCTCCTTCGAAGCAGTAACCAGCTCTTTGCAGACTTCCAGCTTCACAACTCCAACGTCTTTAGCACATTGGATAACTTTCAGTACAGTGATGGTTCCTCAGAGAAGCCACAGTTCTTGCAAAAGGCCAGCGCTAGCTACTACCTTCTCGGTTGGCATCGAGATGAGCTGAAAGACCCTCTCTGGCGGGATGATGTTACTCGTGAGCAGAGACTTCAGGGTATCTTTATGGCTCTTCAGCAAAGTGGGATTGGAGATGTTACCAAGTCGTGGCTGGGATCCAAAGACCCTGCAAGAATTTGTCTTCATGGAGCGTTGTATGATGTCCACTGGGATCATGAGAACAAGCCCGCCACCGTTCCAGCAGATGCATTCAGCAAGACACTGAGAAGCAATGAGCTTCCAGCTGTATCTGTCGGCACAACGCCCATTGATGCTCTCGTCACATACTGCTCTTCTAGGAGTGATAAGGAGCAGAATCAAATCATAAAGCAGCTCGAAGAAGACATCCTTCTGATCGACTCTCTACTACATGCTAGAGACGATGGTGTCGAAGGTCAACGAGAAGCTAAAGATATCTCTTACAATTGGAGCTTCAATCGTTCCAAGGGAGGTATTCACTACTTCATCGCTGGGGAAGAGGAACAAGGACAGCCAACGAAGTCTGAACCAGGATCAATTGACGCTCTGCGAACATTGAACGAACATCAATCTTTGCTTGACGCGTGTCGCAAAGGAGCGGAGCAGTATCGCTGGGACATGTTCTCCCTCTGGTGGAAGTATGTCACAGACGTCACCAACAAGGATGACGATGATGTGAATTGTCAGTATCAGGCCAAAGTCAAGACAATATCCGACAGGCTTGGTGAACTCAGCGTGCGTATGGATATCCTCGACGCCAAAATCACGGTGATGAAGGAAGAGGGTCAGGCGGAAGGAGGGACTCTTCAAGGTGTCAAGAATGGAACTGAACCGTTCTTTTACCGCGCCCGAGATCCTACAGTGCTGCTTGGTGGTGTTGACTCTGGCTGGCCTATCGACTTTAACGATAGTGTCAATGCTCGCATTCCTCCCCAGACAGTGTCCCCATCTACCACCATCCCTTCAAATTTATCTGACCTGGCTGCTCTCATTGCTTCCAAGTTTCCGGACCAACGAGCTTTGAAGAATGCTGGTCGACTATGCTCCGAGCTTTGGACACTGTTGCCCAGTAACACGGAAAAAGCTGGGGACCTCCCAGTAGGCCAGGTGTACCCTCAATTCCATGACAAGCTGTCCCCTACCAGTGACAATACTCTATGGAGAGATCGCTGGGAGGATAGTCAGCCATGGTTTCCCCTCTATGCAGAGTGGGAAATTGAATACACTCATGTCCCGTTTGAGTTCTGGCAGTTAGACCAACAAGCGTCTAGAGTGTCTGATAGCAAGAAGACGCGATATGGTGTACCCGCTGATGATGGAACACCGCTCTGGGAGAAGATGAAGTTGGGGAAACCACAGCCAATTGATAATGTCCGCGTCTTATCTGGCCGTGTTCTCATCTTACCCCAGCCAAGCTTCTCACTCAACGCCAAGGTCAGGCAGCTCTTCGCTGATACCCCTCCTCAGATTCTCAAAGAATCCATTCCACCAGAGAAACAAACTCGGTTGATTGATAACATCAATCGATTGTCATTCTTGTCGGCTCCACTCGCGGGTTTGACTGAGGGTCTACTCACCCTTTCTCAAGGAACGCACATCAAGCCTGAGAACAAGTTCGTCAAGGACGGACAGCAGCTTAGTTCCGCAATTACGGCTGCTACGTATCCTTTGGCTGGATTCTCTGCAGAGACTATTGAGAAGATTCAGAATAATTCTGCACTTACGCCTTATGCCTCAATGTCGGACTTTAGTGTCGCGGACTTTTGCCCATTCAAGCCTGCTACACATGGTCAGTTCAGGTACGTATCATTTCCTTCACATTGACATGTACTAATTGGATAAAACTCAGGTTTACCAAGTTTAATGTCATAGATAAGTTCGGCCAGGCCCTTGTTGCCATTGATCCCAAGCCCAGGGTCGGTGGTCCAGAGCCTTTGTATCCTTGCATTAGCGACTATTATGAGCCTCAGCCTGTCACTCTCAAGGATGAAACCAAGGTTGCAAATACTGTGATGAAGAATTCTGGGCTGAAGTGTGAGTTCATCCAATTGCCACCTCAGATCAACCAGAACTCTCGTCTCAACGCATCCTTTGTGGTTTACGCTGGCGACGAAGATGTCGCCAAGTCTAAGCCCTACTGGCGCCCTGCGACTGAGTGGGAGAATCCTATCTGGGGCTGGGTAGTCTTGAACTATGCCGACCAAGGCATCCAATTATTCCTACCGAACGGCGCGTTTTATCGCGAGATTCGTTTTGGAGGTCCTGGTGGCGTCATCACAGAGCCAAAGTGGTTGCCGTTCAAGCGAGATGATGCTCTCCCCCCGCTTGAGAATGTTGCCCAACTTGATGCGCTTATTAAGCGCATGGGAGAGGATCCTGACTATGCTCGCGGGCTCTGGGACATGCTATCCATGACCGTGGATAATATGGCTCCCGCGCCTAGTGCCTACGCGGAATTTCTGAGCTCCATCGTTGGTAGACCTATGGCCTTGGCCAACATGGGCTGGTCCTTGGAACTTGAGGGTGCGCCGTTAGCGAATCAAAGTACGAGGACCAGTAACAGTACCAAGGAACCGCTGATGCATCTTATCTCCAAGGATGATGATGAGAAGAACGCATACAAGTTTCAGTTGAAGCTTGGTGACTTCTTCAGGGAGTATGATGGCTTGGTAGGTTACTTTGATGCCAACAAGAACCCAGATCCGGCCAATAATAGAGGAGATGAGCTGCTGCTGGACGAAGTCAAGACTTACTTCTCCGAAGGGTCCAAGGCAACCAATTTGACAGCCATTTCAAAAGCCAATTACCCCAAGTTCAACCCCTTCTGGATCGAACAGTTCCACGACTCCAAGCCTGTTGAACCCGAAGTCTACGCTGATAAGCGCACTAAGGAGCTTCAAATCTTCGGCGCCATTTTTGATCCCTTCACTCCCATCCACGGCTACTCTTCCATCCTTCCGCCACGAAGCCTTCAGCTTCCTTCTTGGACCTGGCAGGATGCCATGCAAAACATGACCGCCTTCTTCCACGCGGGTCCTCTGACACTCACCCAAGATGTAGGGGACTATGACTCAAATAATCCTTTGACTACTGAGACAGTTAAGAAGAGACCTGCGCGGAATGCAGCGCTGCCGGCGCTTGATGAAGGGGAGTGGAGTTGGCTGCAGCCGTTTGTGGATGAGAAGGGCGGAAGTGGGCTACCCCTTTACAATGCTTATGGCATTGAGGTGAAGGGGAATCCACTCACCCCAGGGTTTGAGAAGGGTCCGTATACGGCTGTCGAGGGTTTCTTGCAGCTTAGACAGCCTTTGTTGAAGGACAAGCCGGAAAAGCCAGCTTAGTCGCGCATGGTTAACGTTGTGCAGTGGATACTGGTGTACAAGCAAGGTAGAAAGTCAGGTCTCTTTCCAAACACGCTCTTTAGTTTCTAAGTATTGATGAGAAATCTCATCCGTGTTCATAAACTCAGTGAACGTCTTACTTAACTTCGTAGAAATATCCTAAACTTATGCTGCCTTACCTAAGTCTTTTTATCATTTTAGAGGGGATATTGTAGCTGAGTTACTTTGTGGTGATGTCTACTGCAAAGTGATGCATGTCTCAAACCCCACGCTTGACTGTACCAAATAATCTCCTTAATCATTGCGGGTGACCAGAACAAAGGCTCACACAGACGTTCGTAGGACGGCACGATTAGATTCTGACTGGACTAAAGGAGTGGCATTTGTTCGTCGCTACAGAACACGAAGCACTACAAAGCATCCCCACATCCGTTAAGATGTAACTAAATCAACATGTCCCGAAAATACAAGCAATCCAACTATCACCAAACCACCTCACTCATCGTCCTCCTCCCAAGAGTCAATGACATGGGTGAGCTCACTCTTCTCAGTACTCTCAGCCTCATAGAAGAGGTGATTAGCTCCAGCAGCCACAGTGACAGAGAGCTGACTGTCAGGCTTGATTTTATCAGCGTCAGTCACAGTCTGCTCATGGCCCCATTTAGTCCCTCCAACCTTCTTGGTGACCCTGGTGATGGTGCTGTTGTCTGCGTCGACGAAGTAGAGGAATACCTTGGCATCGGTGACGGCGACAGCGAGGGTGCTCTTTGCTTTGACCCCCTTTGCAGCGTCGATGGGACCGTCTAGACGAAGTCCAGATTAGTATACAGTGATGGAATGGGGGGCAAAGGGGTCTTACCAGAGCCGCCGGCGATGTACTGCCTGAGCTTGTTGCCCTCTACACCCTGGTAGATGACGTACTGCTTCTTAGTGCCAGCATCCCAGTAGGCAGCGAGGGCTGAGCCAGGAAGAATAGTATTAGTGCTGAAGGCCTTGTCGTGAGTTGGACCGATGACGGCTTCAAAGATACTAAGAGCGTTGTCCGCCTTTGGGTTCTTCCTATGCAATGGTAAATAATCTATATGTATTGGCTTTTAGGCGAGGTACATACTTGAGATAGTAGATCCAGGTGTTCACATTAGACGAGCAGGCAGCAATCTTGTAGTTATCGCTATAAGCGCTCGTAACAACCTTGTACACCGGGCTGATGAGGGAAATGTCAACAGCGTCAGCGTCCTTGGGGCAGTCACAGTTCTTGGAGTCAACAGGCTGGCCGCACTGGCAGGTGGACTTCTTCTCAGCGCCCTTCTTCTCAGTCACGCCAAAGACAAGCTCTTTGTTGTAGTGTTTGGTGCTGGCTAGGTGGGACTGGTAGAGGACAAAGCCGTCATGGGCGTTAGCATCGGGGTCAAAGGTGTTGAGCTTGATGTCGCTGGTGTCCTGTTCATTGCGGAACTGGAAGCCGATGTTCTTGTTCTCTAGGTTGTAGAAGAGATGGATCTTGGTACCGACGGCACCGGCTTCGTCCTGGATGGCAGTGACAGCGACCATTGTGATTGTAGAATAGTGGGTATTTAAGATGTGAAAGTTGTTAGGGGGCTAAGGATGTGGATTGATGATGTGTTTGAATTTCTTGATCAAAGGGTTATCACGAGGTATTTATCTTCAAATATCAGCAGAAATCTCCCTCACTTCATGTCCTGTCTTCATGATTTTCCCCCGAATTGAGTCTCAATTTTTTCAGCAAGCCATGAAAGCATCGCCACTACGTTTCTTCAACCCAAGTTACATCACGATGCCCTCCATGGATGGCAAACAACAGAGACAGGGCCCAGCCCGTCACATTCTTCAACCGCTGCCTCTAGTCATGTCCGAACCAATCTGAATCTAGAAAATCAAAGTCAAGCAGTGATTATCACCAGCGGCGTCTCCACCTCGAGCTGAACTTTCCAAAAAGGACAATATCAGCACAGTTGCAGCAATATTTTATTTTGCGTCATCACAACATTGGCAAGTGGTGCTCAGGCCATTCGCCAACCCTTAATCGGTAGGAGGATATACACGGCGCTCCAAGTTTCCAGCTGAAGCCCAAAGTTCCAAAATCGTCGCGACGAGCTCGTATCCGCAATGGGCCACATGCAGATTGATAAATGATACGTGAGCATTGCGGGGTGCCGATCATCAATATCACACCAAATATGCCGTTCTGTGCCGCTTTTATTAACACGCCCACTTGCTCCGCACCGGGATGATGTGACACCGGGCCGTTGCGGCCACTACAGTTCTTCAGCTGGCGTCTTGCATGCACGGAAAGTAGTCAGTCAGAATTACCATGAGAAACATTGAGATACTTCTGCTTTGAAGGCTGCAGAGGCAATGCATTGCGTTCTCGTTTTGAACGATCTCGATTATCCTCGGCACGAGATGGATGGCAAGCTCTGGACGGGGTAAACTGCATCCCCCGTCATTTCATGTTTTTCCCGACCAGTCTCTGTTCCATTCTTGTCGTTGAGTATTGAACATTACAATCTTCACCATTTTGTCAATTTCTCCAGTCCATCGCCAAACATCCAACATCATGGTTATTTTCACTGGGGGCAAAAGCGTTGCCATCAATTCCCCTCGTCATCTCACCCTTCGTCATGCCAGGAATGCTGTCCAGTCAACCAAAGGGTCCGAAGCACTTGAGCCCGAGGTCCTAGAGATCGATTCTCTCGAGACCTCAGCTGATGAGCCCATCGAAGACCCGACTCCACCTTTGGAGGCAGGCCAGGCTCAACTTCACTCGTACTGGGCTCCAGGTCTAGAAGCTGGCAAAAAGCATGAGATTTCCGTGATTCAAGACATCAAGGCCCCGACTGATGAACGTACTCTTCGCCTCACTGCGAAGCAAAACTTCTATGTTGACGCTCCTCAATTCGTTCTGCCCGAGGGCTCTGTCTATTCTTTCTATCCTCCTCAAGGATACGCTGATGATCGTCGCATTCTGCCTCATATTGTTTTGAGCGACCCTCATCTTCCCTGGGAGAGAATAGGAAGTCCATCGGCTGAGCACAATGATGACACTCGCAACAAAGTCCCCTGGCTTGCGCTCTTCACTTTTAGCCATGATGAATTGCTTCTTCAACCTGGGGGGCTAGGCGAGAAGGAGACCAAACAAAGTCAAGCTGGGGCTGTTAAGATGACAGTCGGCGACTTCCTGAAGCTTGACAACATCGCAACACCTATTGTTGCTGATCCTAGCAAGGACGTCAAAGATCTCGGTGCAGAGTTCATCTTTGTCAAAGCTGATCTCTTCACAAGTCTCTTTTCTACCTTTGATGACAAGAACAACAGACAAGTTGGGAAACATCCCAACACGGATCAGTACAAGTATCTCTCTCACGTTCGCAAGATCAACACCAAAGGAATGGCCATCGCAGGCGTTGAAGACTTTGGCATCTTCTCCTGTGTCATCGGCAACCGCTGTGGTCCACTGAACAACCCAACAGCCGCCAACATCTCTGTCCATCTTGTCTCCATTGAGGGAGTCGAAGAGATGGAATGGCCAAAGTCAGGCCAAAGCCGTGTCGGGCTCTGTTCCCTGCATAACTGGACCTATACGGTTCTACCACCAGGACAGTTCAATGTCAGAGACGCTTTTGAGCATCTTGGTAGAGAACTCAATGTTCTTCGCCCTGCTGAAACGGTCTTCAAACCACTTCAGACCTCCGGAAGTAAAGTCTCCGTGCGACTTGGTGACAGGGTAAAAGACGGGTACTCCCTCGTTCAGTACCGGGTTCAGACCGGTGAAAAGACGGTGGCATTATACCGCGGCCCTTTCACGCCTGTTAGAGTCGATCTCAATGAACAGCTGAATAAGTGCTCCAATTCTGGCCAAGACTTTCAGATCCTCGATAAGAAGGTCGGCCTGATGGACATCAGCTACTCTATAGCATGGCAGATTGGTAGAACACTTGCCCTTGGCGACAAAGCTTATGTTGCTGCATTATCTCGTCTACGCTCCATTCTCCGCACCAAGACTATGAAGGCGTGCAAGATTGACGCTGTCACCGACGCAGGAACGGATCAAAGTTATCGGTCGCGAGATGATCTACTTAAAGATCTGCCAAAGACTATTGAACGTCTTCATCAGATACAGCTCGCAGTTCCTCCCACGTCTGTTGGCGATGGACCTCACTACTTTGCACCCGGAGGTGCCAAGAAGCGATGGTATCGTCCGGAACTATCTAAAAGGCAGTATCCCAAACTTGGCTTTTCTGCAAAGCCGATTCAGGAGAAATACCTAGAAGCAGCTGTAGAGATTGTTCTCAAGGAACTCTCCATGGGGAAAGATGGTCGTGTCTACGATGAAACTAATGACCCTGTCTCTACGGACTGGATGGTAGTCCTGGCTTGGATTCTAGATCGTATGTTCCTCGACAGAATTCCTGCGCATTATTTGATCTCAGATCCAAGCCATTTACCCCCCGAGAGTCTGCGCTTCTTTCACATTGATCCCAACTGGGTTGATGCGATGATTGACGGCGCTTTGAGCTTGGCGAACCACATGGGCCAGGACCTAGACAGAGTTGCCATCAAACACGGCATCAATCGTTACCTGGAGTACCAGTCACCTAAACTGACTCATCGTCCACAAGTCCCAACTTACGGCTTTTACCTCCGTTCTGATCTCGTCACTCTATACCCTGATCTGAGGGTCAACACCACTGGGGCTGATACTGGTCGTGCACCTTTGCTCCGCCATGAGATCATCGCAGACGGTGTCATGCTGGGGTTGTTCGATTGCATTCCTGGTCAAGACTTCAAAACCTTAAACTTTACTCAGCCTCCGCATCAGCAACGATTTTCTGCTGGTTGGTACCTCGAGGCCGACAAGTTGCAGATATCTATTGGAAGGGAGTTCACTGTTGATGCGAAGCACCAAGACTACTCTAAGCCTGAAGAACCTTGGCAAAGGGTCACTATGCTTCCGAGCTCAGAGGACAATTGGTTCACATGGAGCACTATCCCAAAGCCACTCGTGGGTGGAAAAGACGAAGGTGATCCAGATGCTGACCTGCGTATCCTTCGTCTTCCTTCCTTCGTTCAGAAACAAATGGATCTACTCAACGCAAACATGGGATCCTTCGATGACGGGGGAAACAAGCAGGATTACTTCCATGATACTGTTCCAAACTCTGCACTTCTTGCCATGCAGCTCAATGATCCCTACTATCAGCTGATCATCTCTTTGGACAAGGAAGAGGCATCAGGTCAAGCAACCTCATCACCGCTGTCTGGTCTGAGGACTGCAGCGACTGGGCCGGTGCAAGAACTCCGTAGCCTGCGGTTCATTACACCCACCACTGTTCCTCGCGTCCCACAACCAGATGATGTTGACCTCGATCCACTAGAATCAGACACCATTGTGTCCCTTCAAGCGTCATCCTTAGATACGGTTGCAGAGACATGGGAGCGCGATGAGAGCTTTGTGGTGAGGTCTCGTACTCTAGGACACCATCTCCCCCCTCACCATCGAGCACCGATCACAGAGCACCTCCATGTTGCTATGACATCTCAGATTCCCCATGGTGTTCCAGTCCAGCGGCTCGCCAGTACAAGGAGACTTGTGGCCCCTCAAGTGGGCATGCTCACGAGAACAACGAGTACCAGCTCCCAATCCTCTAATCTAGCTGGCCCACCTGTCTACACCTGCAATGCATACTCTCTCCAGCAAGACGTCATCATCCAAGACAAAGACTACCTCCCCCAAGACATCGTTTTCTCTGTCCTCGTCTCACGTAACAAATACAGCAGCTATCAGCTCACAGAATTCGACATAGCTATTGAACTCGGCACGTCAGCTGACAATAATTGTATCATGGAAACCTACGCAGGTCCCGGTGCACGCATGTTAAGCAACCTTCGATTCAATGTTTTGATGTCTTTTACTACTATGCCTGTTACAGAGAGGAAGTGTTTGCTGTTGCGGCTTATTCCGCGAAGTCACAAGAGATGGATCAGGATGCAGGATGTTCATGAGATGAGTTTCATGCTCACATTGGCCCAGCTCAATTCATTCGCTGGTGATGAGAGGTTTTCTTTTTACACATCTGCTTATTACAAGTTTGATCACGAGCATGACCCGATCACCGATTACTTTGAGGTCACACTTAAGAAGCATCATTAGTCTTTGTACCATTCAGTTACTACTGTAGAATGTTTCCCTTTAAATACTTTTCGAATATAACAGTGTCATTCTCTCAAATAAAAATCACGAACTGAACTCTGTGTTAAAATCCAGAGACACTTGATTACGCCAGTATCTTCAAATTACCATTTGCCTTCAAGTCTGACCTGCCATCCGAGCCGCCACCCTCCTCCAAGTCTGCAGGCATTGGAGGGGTTTCGTCGGGGCGGAACCTGTCCAGCATTTCAATATTGACATGAGTTATCAAGTGCTTGCAATTCTGGCATGGGGACCACATGTGTTTGTAGCCAATGTCGTCGTCCGGGTCTCGCTTCGGTTGACTTTCTGCGTAAATCTTCCTGAGCGAATACCCCTCCCACAAGTCCTCGTCAGTCATAAATGACGGGCTGAGGGCAAGACCTTGCACCCTTTCTTGGCCCTGCTTGCGGTGAGCACCACTAAAGTCATGTCAGATAGATGATCAAGGGTGCGATTCGCAATGCTTACTTACAGCATATGTATAAATGGGTAGGTTTCGGCGCAGTTTCCGAACTCTGTGTTACCGGGATATGTACCGAAACCAAAATCAAACACTTTCCCGTCTTTAGTCCACTTTGAATTCTTGATGTCGTTCCAGTTCCCGAGAAGGTCAAATCGAGCTCTCTGAAGGTGTTCTCTCCAGCCAGGAAGTTGCTTCCCACCGAAGTTTTGACCGCCCATGGAAGCACCGAGGGAGAATTCGACTTTGCTCTCCTCTCCCTCACCCCATGTGCATTGGAACATTGCCGGTGGTGGCCCATGACCTGGCTTTTCAACAAAGGCCATGGCCATGGCTGGTGGATCTGGAAAATCCTTTCTTTTTCTGGATCCCCCTATAGTGAAGCACCAGCGAGCATAAACGGCGGTGAGAGGGAGAAAGAAGTTGAACTTGCCAGAGTTCTGCTGAGCTGGTCCCATAAGAGAAAAGAAGAGACCAAGGAGGTCATAATGACACCAGTAGTTGAGCTTCTCCTCTTGCAGGCTAAGAGGATAATGATGACTCCAGGCGTCGCTGAAGTTAACTCTAATTTTAGGATCTTCTGGGCCATCTCCTGTGTTCCTTAGTCTGCGATATATATGCTGTCTCGGCTGAAAGTCCGGATCGGCTTTGGCGGTCCCATTCTTTCTGGGTTCAAAGTTTTCTTCTTCTACATCAGGCTTTATCTCTTTGAATTGGGTTTTATCCAGAGGGCTATATTTGTGAAGTTATCATCAGATAGGTACTCATCATAGGTGTTTTGTGATAGTTTTCGGTACGTATGAGGAGACTCTCACCATAGCGACAGTATTTGCTTGTAAGTCTTTTGCAACCTCTCCTTCTTCTCAGCGGCCTTCCCTATGGGGAAAGACTCTGGGTTATCAGCAACAGCCTTTAGGAATAGATAGATCTGGATTTGAGAGTCGCATTTGTCAGAAAACACTTCAGTTCCTCTTTTGTCACGGTTCTCACATCTTCAAGCTCATATGTATAAAGCTTGACTAGCTCTTTGCCGACAAACTTCATATGAGGCGCCATGGTTGCTTCGTATAAAGAAAGATTATTTTTAATAAAATAAGGGACATGAACACTCTACTTTATATGTTTAAACCGAGTTATTAAATACAGAGGAACACAGATAACACTGTGATGGGTCCCAAAGTTGAGAGAAGGGAACTGTCCGGATGTACCGTTTTGTACAGGTCTTACAATAGGGTGTGCAGAAAAGAGCGATGCTGATAAACGCGAGCTAGCGATGTAGGGCAGTGGATCAGGCTTACCACGAATGGGGATCAGCGCTTACGGCTGAGCTACCCTTACAGCACCCTTGCACCCTAGCAATGTGTGGTGACGTCTTGCTTGGGGCCGGGTGGTGTATAAGTATTCATCTCCGGTCGGCATCTAGCTGCATCCTTCAGGCAGCCTTTTGTGATCAATATTGTACACCTACACCTTCTTGCAGAACACGCCATTCCTTCACCCACGAATATCCATCATGACCAATCACACCAAAGTCATCGACGGCGTCGTCGTGACCAATACTGACGTAAGTCACTGCCTATTCTTCCCGTGTCAGCTCTCCCAAAAAGGTCTGACAGCTTGCCAGGTTCCCCCTCCCCGAGACTGGACCAATGTGTATGATGAGATTGGTGGCGACATGCGTTGGAATGACGATTTGGAAGAGATGATGAGAGACCGGGGCGTTGATGGAGATGTCCAGCCTTTCTACGGCACATGTTCCTATACTGGCGAGGCTCTCTATTTGATGCAGGTTGGCGGCCAGGACTTTTTCTTCTGGAATGCTCTCGATGATTCTATCTACCGTGTCAATGGGGACTTGACTCTCGAAAAGATTGTGGCAGGTCTTGATGAGCAAGGTCTGAATGCATTTGACCTTGAAGAGCTCTAAGATAGGGGGTATGCTCCATAGCAGCCATTAGTTCCATGTCGGAATTTCACTGAAAACCTCTAATTACTACGCTATTATGCCACGAAATACGAGGAGAGGAAGAACGTTGTAAAAATATCATCATTAAACCTGAATCGTGGTAAGAAGCCTGAGCTAACTCGGCGGGACCTCCTTGCTTCCCGTTGGACTCTCTACTGGAGAGTAAACAAAGTTTTCCTTCTTCCCTTTTGCAACCTGAATAAGATATTCGCAATTATCGCATGGCGGAATGAGATAAAGAGCACTCGATCCTTCGGAGGCTTTCTTGTGTATTTCCAGTGGCGAGTATGTTTCTTCCAAGACCTCGTTCTTTAGGAAGAAATTCTTAAGAGCCAAGCCATTGACATCTTCCCTCGCTTTTACATCTAAGGAGCGGCTGAGTTGTCGGTACAGTGTCAGCGCAGCTCAAAAGAAGAGACAGATAGTCTATTATAAACTTACCATATATGGAGAAATGGGTATGTTTCCCCGCAATTTCCAAAATGCGTTCCTGCGTCGCCCTTCACCGACCGGTTGGGTGAGTTGTTGAAATGCCAGGTTTCCTCCTTTTTCTTCCCCTCAACTTTGGTTTCCCTCGTCAGTGTGTGGATATTATTCCAACCGTACAGAAGATCAAATCGATATGTTCGGAGTCTTTCCTTCCATTTCTCTCCTGCTTTTTCAAATCCGGCGAGAGAGGATCCTAAAGCGAAACAGACACCGTCCTGGGCTGTCATCCATGTGCACTGAAAGACAGTAGGTACAGCACCAACACCTCTTGGCTTATCTGCCATTGCAGTAATACCTTCGGCCGTTGGAGGTTTCGGGTGCTTTTCTGTTTTCCCGTTCCCTCCAATTTTGGCACACCATCGGCCATACACTGCAGTCAGTGGAAGGAAGAAGTTATCTTTCTTAGCACCGTCCAGATCCTCTTTCAAAAGAGACAGAATGAAACCAAGAAGGTCATAATGGTTCCAGTAAGATACTCCATCGTCGGACGCAAGGCCTGAGATCCTCGCAGGATCTGGAGTGGTATGTTTCCAGTTGCCATCAAGGTTAACGTTGAATTTAGAGGTTGTGTCTAATTTCAGGTCTTCACCTGTTGGTGTCCGATAGATATGCTGTGAAGGATTGTACTTAGCGTCAGGCTTCTTGGTTTTGGATTAAGCGGCTTGAAGTTGTCTTCGAAATGTTCTTCCAAATCTGTTGGAACCTTCCTGTCCAAAGGGCTACATATCAAACTTTCATAAGCGAAACGACCTATTCTCTGAGCGACAGGTACTGACCAAAGGGAAAGAAATTGCCTGTAGACAGCAATTAATATTCTCTTAGTCTCCTCGTTTGAGTGCGCCGTACAGGCGTTATACAAAAAGTCATATATCTATCTCAACATGTCAGTAGGACTTCAGGTAGTGCTGCTTCGACATTGAGACCTTTTCAGTCTCCCATTTGTACATATCAACCAGCCTCTCCCCACAGAACTTGAGGTAGTTCGGATTCAAGACACTGGTCATTTTGCTGGTGATCGACGCTAAGTAAAAGACATTCGAAGTGCATTTAGAAAATGCAATAACAAGAATTTGGTGAAACACCTTGATAATAGGAGCACTAACATGTGCTCCCTCACTACTCCCGTCCGTAATGCATACTGATACTGGCCTTATGTACTAGTCTGGCCATACCATTTCGAGATTAGTCATTCACATGTGACATCACCAGCCTGAGCCGTGTATATAAATGTACCTCGATCATCTCCTTCCTCATCACATTCTCTACTTTAACAACTCAGCCATCACACTCTACTCCCCAGCTCTCATAAACCTTACACACACACCCGCCACTCCCACAACATGAGTCAATACACCACAATTTCAGATGGCGTAGTTGTGACCGACAACGGGGTACACCATGATTATTCCTTTCTTGCCGCGCCGTGACTAACCGTCAAACTCTAGATCCCACCCCCAGCGAACTGGACCAACTCTTACGAGGACATTGGAGGGGACATGCTTTGGGATCAAGGTGGTCAGATGGAAGATGAGGTACGAAGTCGTGGCATTGACGGAGATATCAGGCCTCACTATGGAATGGCACCCTACACGGGAGAAGCACTCTACCTTTTCGAGGTCGGTAGTGGAAAGTTCTTTTTCTTCAACGCCATAGATGGGTCGATGCTGGAGGTCAGGGGTCAGAGTGACCTGAAGAGCATTGTGGATATCCTTGAGGACGAGAACAGGGGCCTACCCGCACTTGACATTGAGGAAGTCTAGCTCCGTGATTGGGGAGTGAATGCAGAGTAAATTCCAATATCATCAGAAATAAACCAATCAGTCAATTCAATTGTCATGCATTGTGATTCGAGAAGGAGGGGGTAAGCCGCTCCAACAACATGGCTTCAACTACCTACCTTGGCTCTGTACCTCATCAACTCTTATCAGATTATGCAGTAAGATATCATATGCCAAGCAGTCAATAGTCCAGGCATGCTAGTCTCATTTTGTCCAAAAGGCCAATATTGTGGTAAGCAGCGGCACGGCACGTTCACAACGGCGGGCTGGCATCAATCCTCACTTATTGCCTCATCATGGAGCTTTGACCTCTTGCCCCAGCTGAGATCGTGATTTAGGAAGAGATCTGCCAATATTCCTTGGTTATCAATCATAAAAGTGGCATATTGGAGCGGGGTTCCAAGACACTTGAGCCCCAATTGGGAAATGATATAGGCTATTAATAGGCTTGTTGACAGCTGAACTAGTACGTGCGGCGCACTAAGAGCAAAAGGGCAGCGCCTGCAGATGCCGGCTTGACTGTTACCCGAGACTGCTGAAGTCGCTATGCTGCTTTTGGTTCCTTGCTTTCAGGCAATCAATTGCGGAGCATCAATGAGAGGCAAGTGAATTATGGAGCACTCGGCAGTAGCTGAGGTCTGACGTAGTCAGCTTATGATGGTCCTTCTCCGCGTGGCTTTGCATAGTAACCCCACAAGAAACAACAGTTGCTTATGCATAATATCGCGACTTGAAGCCGAGGTGATACTCTGGTGATTGTCAGGCTGTGACATTATTGAGGGAAATCGATTGTATAAGTCGGTCATTCTAAATATGAGCATCGGCATTGGGCTACAGAATGCTGTTATAATTGTCAAAATTTAGCATATCAGAGAGAAAAATGAGCAGGAACTGTCAAATGAAACAGGCAAAGGAAATCATGCGGCATTTAGGGAGTTCTATAGTTGCCTGTCGACTTTCCCTCATTGCCATGGCGAGGATCTCCTCGGCTGCCGCTTTGACTTACCAAGCGCTTTTGGGTTTGTTGCCTGTAGTTGGCAGCATTTCCAAAGTGCCTGTAGACACTCAATTGCCCGGTGCAGCTGTCGCGATGTGGTCAGTCGCCCACTTGCACTAAGCCCTGTGATAGCTACTGTAAGCTAAGAGGCTATTATAGCTCGAGCTAGCCAATTATTCCGTCCCGAGGCTTGGAGTGGTTTGACATTAAAGTCAGAATAAATATCAATACTGTTTCCTTTCGGTAATATATAGTATTTAGTCATTAATACCACTAGTTGACTAAGATTGCTAAGATACATCAACAGTCCCAGAAAGCCCTTAGCTTTTCCATATATGTTCACTCTCCAAGGAGGAACAGTTCCAATCACAAGCTTAAGCATTGAGTTCGCTATTCAGGGTTCCGTTAAGGCGCCCTCACAGACCCTTACGATACTTATTCTCTGCAGCGATAATCTTCTGCGCAGCTGTCTCCGCAATACCATACACGGCCGTCTGAATATGGCCCGACAACTGGACAGGAATAATACTGGCATCGACCACACGAAGGTTCTTCGTGCCGTACACCTTCAAGTTCGCGTCGACAACACCGCCATCCTTCTTAGGAAGTATCGCACAGGTACCGACAGGGTGATAGAAACTGTTGACTGTCTTGACGACCCAATCACGCAATTGCGCATCTGTCCTCTTCCCCAAGCCCGGTTCAAACTCTGCAGCCCATACGGATCGCAAAGGTTCGGTCTCGGCGACTTTGCGAGCAAATCTAGCACCCTCGATGAGTGCTTGTATATCGTACTCGTTGTTGAGATAGTTCAGGTCGATGATCGGCTTGCCCTTTACATCCTTCCCGTTGATATGAACACTACCGCGACTCATGGGATGCATGATGGAGGAGAAGATAGTAATGAAGTTAGGGGAAGTACCAGGATATCCCTGGGTACCTATATAGTTGGCTTCTAGGAGGAGCTCCAGCTGCGGAATAGAAGGGTCGCTTAGATATTCAAGCTTCTTTTTGTCCACGGCAGTGCCATTGATAGCAAAGCCGTCCTTTGCAAGTTGATTCATCTTTTTTTGTACGTCATCGCTGACTTGGGCCCAGTTGAGAAACGCATAGGCGCTGCTAGTATAATCATACCATGATACCTTATTCTCAAGCCATAAGTTGAACTGTTCCTTCGCCAACGCGCCCTCGGGGTTGAAGATCATCGGGTCGAAGGACTCGTAACCTTCCTTCAGGATGTATGTATTGGAGGTTCGAAGGTGGTCTTGGTAGTTCTCGCCGACGCCTCGAAGGTCGAGCAATTGTTTTATTCCCGCTTTAGCAAGAACCTCGGCTTGTCCAATTCCAGACATCTCGAGCAGTCCCGGACTCTGAATAGAACCTGCCGAAAGGATAACCTCCCTGCGGGCATTGATCGTAGAGCCATCTTGGAGAGCGACACCAGTAGCAACCAAATCCTTACTCTTGTTGGGGGAAAAGATAACTTTGGCGACGTGGGAATTCGTCTTGACTTCCAGGTTAGGCCCGGCCTTTGGCAGGTAGCTGTTGGCACTGTATGACCGGGTGTAGTTGGTCACGTCAATGTTGGTGGGTTGGAACATGACTCCGACAGGGTTTCCACCGAGAGATCCTCCGTCATTAATTGGGACGCCCAGCTTATTGACCGTAGACTGCCATGACTTCAAAACATCCGGGACGATGCGATTGTAGGTAGAGCTGATGGGGCCAGAGCGACCATGGACGTCGCCATCGTTGCCTGTGAAGTTCTCCGACTTCTTCATACCATCAATCATGGTATCCCAGTTCCAGCCTGGACTTCTGAGCTCACTCCACGCGTCATATTCAGCGGACGCAGCTCGGTCATAGCATAGGAAGTTCATAGCGGATGAACCGCCGAGAACCTTGTCGCGGTTGACGCTAATTGACCGTCCGTTGAAATGCATTTGAGTTCTCTTTATGCGTCAGACGTGATCATCAGATAGGCTGAAAAGCTTATCTTAGGCAATTGTGTTAGGTAGCCGGTATACTGCCTGAACTGATTTGATAAGAGTGTTATTTTGAGTTGATAGAAACCGCCACTGATGCTTACAGCACGCGCCTCACACGACCGTCCGTTGAGGCCAGGCTGGGCGATAGAACTAAAGTTCCAATCGAGCGACGATCCCAAGATTGAACCGCGCATCCCCGGTACGTTGATGCGTACATCGTCCAGAGCTTTTGGGCCTGCTTCTAGAAGAAGGATCTTAGACTTAGGAAGGCCTAGGCTCAGGCGGGTGGCGAGGGCTCCTCCAGCGGTGCCGCCTCCTACAATGATCTGGGCAGCGATGATATTAGCGATGCTTGGGTAAATTTCCTAATGAGGAAGAGATTACATAGTCATAAGTCTCGGTAGCAGCGACGGTTGTCACAAGGCCTGGTATAATCCAGGTGCAGAGCTGCATCTTTAGTCTCAACAGTACAATTGAGCTTGAGAAGTAAAGAGACTCAGACTCGCTGCCGCGACATCTTGACTCTCCTCAGCCATTTTGTACCTATAGACCCTTGCTGCATTGCCAGAGTCCCTAAATTACCCCATGTTGCTTAACCCCGCCGGATATCTGAGCTGCCTAATTTACCATCACAATCATACCCTAGGACCCCTTCTGGACCGAATATACAGAACTTATGCCCAGATCTAGTAAAGCCCGGTGAGACTTCCAGTAACAATAATACATCTTCAAAGACATATAATAGGCATAAACTTTTGTTTCGTAGATAGTGCTATTCGTAGCTTATGCGTGCTAAAGTCTGACCTTACGACTGTTATTCGCGGCAATTTAAACGGTCGGTCAAAATCCAGAAACGTCTGTCTGTTCCGCCTTATTCGTCCCAAAACGCAGGCAAACAACGCGAGGTTTATAGATTTCATCCTCTGTTAAGACCAAGGGTAATAGTAAGTCCTAAAGTATATCGCAAATAGAGTTAATATTCCTTGTTACCCCCTTACACCACCACCGTTTAAACAACCTAATCGAGCAGTGAAAATTAGGTTTCTTTAATCCAAGCGAATCACATTGTAATTGTAAGCAATCGGTTAGACCCCGTGGGACCCCTGGTACACCGCTGTTGCAAGTCAACGACAATAGGCTAATTATGCCCCGGCCGCAGTCCCTGTCTCGACGAGGGATTAAACGCCGCAAGGAAGAGACGAGGAAAGGAAAGCGCAACAAGCAACAGTGAGCCGGGGCTAGAGGCATAAAAGATAGCTGTTATCAGATTCAAGGAGCTTCATCAAGCAACATCAAGCAACTCGAGAGGAGCAAGAGCAGTGGGAGACTTCGAGCAAGGCTTGACCTATCAGATTAGATACTAAATTCGATATAGATAGCTATCAGAATCTGGACAGTACTATATAAAACTGTAGTCATAACCTTCATTTATAGTTCATAATTATACCTCTGTAGCTATATAAGATTATTTCGTATATCTTCAAACATCTATAGTTACACTCCACCAGTAACAGTCTTTTCCCATAGCTCCTCTATAAACTCTCGACCAGCAGTCCCCATTGGCCATGCTACTCTTCGTAGCGTCCCCTTTGCTTGTGACCATGTCGCGATTCCTAAACTCGTTGCTTCCCGTTTCAAAGCCTCCTCGAAGAACTGCCTGTCCGACAACAATCCTCTGTCTTGCTCATTTTCCTTGAGAGCGCGCAGGCAAGCTATAAGCCCTACCAACGTCTGCCAGAACATAAACGCCTCGTTCCTTGGTGTATCCTTTGAGGAAAGTACCTTGGCGACATCGTGTTGGAGCAATGTAACGGCGTATTTGTGGATGCGTTTGTCGACATACTCCAGCGCCCCGAGAACATCCTGCATATAGAAGATAGAGGCGACAGTCAATCCGCACCACGGTCCGACGAATGATGATAGATTCGTATCAGGATTCTCCTCTTTCTTTCCGGGCACGGAAATAGATTCGATATGTACTGTGACAAATTCGCCCAGTACCCTTGACGCAGGGCCTCTGCGCCAGAAACCTTCAAACTTTGCGTCCGCCGTTTCTATCCCTGTGTTTTTAAACATACGGTCCTGCGCAGCCGTAAAGTCCCGTAGAGAGTTGATAATTACTTGTCCGTCTGCGTTGCTAAGCCGTGCTCCCTGCGGCAGCGGGCTGAAAAAGAATGGAAATAGACGGATTGCTTGGAGTTTGAAGCCGAGATTCTCCATGGCTTCGCTCATGTGCCATGTATGTGATAGCTTGAGAAGATTCCGACTAGGTACAGCACCGAGGCTGCTGCCATGGCCGCCAGTTCGACAAATGCCGCTGAGTAGACTCTTGAGGCCCGTAATGTAGACATACGACCTATGGTAAGATGTTAGAAAGAGGTACGGGGGGATGAAATGGATGTTTTCATAGAGCCTCACATGACGAAATAACGGTTAGCTAGTTCTCGATCGGTGGAACAGCAATCAGAACGTGTCGGATCACTTTTACCAGGTCGGGCAGTTTCAATCAGCGCCAGAATGCCACTGATATGAGTCTCAGCAGCAACGAGCTCTCCATGACATGCCTTATAGTCTCTATTAATAAAATCATTCTCAAGAAGAGCGTAGAGTAGGGTATCTCACCTCTGTGAAAGCCAAGGTGGCCATTTCTCTAATAATCGCAGCTTCAAGTTTATAGTCCCCCGACGCGATCCAACGATTGATAATACGCATCACTTCGATTTTGTGATATAAGAATGTGGACTCGAATGTAGCGAGGTCCCCGAATTGGAAGGAGAAATGCATTCCGGCCATGAGAATGGCGCTTCGGAGTGCGCATGGGTTATCTATCGTACGCGCGAGACTACTTTGGTGAGCGACAGATGTCGATATCGACAGGTATACTAACTATTCTGTACCAGGTATTTTTGATGTCGTCTTTGGTGTCCGGCTCGATTCAAACACTAAATGAGTCAGCACGTCCATGAGAATACAGCTGTTCATGGCAACTGACGGTATTGAAACAACTCATGAGATTTAAGCGGCATGGCAACAGCCAACTTGTTAAATCCCGTATCATGACTCAAATAGCTTAGTCGAGGAGGAACACTAGTCTTTTTTAGATATACCATCTCCTTTGGAGTCTGCTCGAGCTCCCAAGGCGTTTGATCCCACGGACGAGCCTCCTTCTGCTGTGCCCTCCGTTCCCTCAATGGGATTTTAGGAGGCGCATATACGCAGGCCCTCCGACCCTTGACGCAGTTGTGACTACGTTTTCCCCATTAGTGAACGGATCCCAGCTTACAGTGCGGGCCAAGGATTCAGGATCGGCCATACCATTGCGGTCGCTGCTCGTCACATCGTTTCCGGCGGGTCCGGCAGTTGGAGCAGCCTGTCCGACTGCGCGTGTGAAACTGTCGTACTCTAGAGTCCGACTCTGGCGTCGTTGATTTTTCTTTCTCTGAGCTTGTTGACATTTTCTTGGTTATTGAAGAGATGAGGATGATAATTGAGTCAGCCTGACAGGGCGTCGGTGATGGAGACGCGTGAGCACTAGACTAACCAGGTCTTTGAGGGGATTACTCAGCTGCCTAGTTGAGCCAATTAGAATATTTACGGAGGTAATTGGAGTTTTGGTCACGTTCACGCTGACTCCCGCGGGAAAGCTAACCTGGACCATGAAATTGTGTCTTTCTTGTCATCCAATGCGACTGTTCACTTCTTGAATCATTGGTTGGAACAGAAAATTTCTATTCTAGTCGCGGCGATACCCAGGGTGCCATATCTTCTATTTTTTGCTTGTCTTGTTTCAAACATGCCATTTGCTTACTTCTCATTGTCCAGATCTATCTGCAACTGCGTAGCAAGCAGTAGGTTAATTATCCATTTTGCTAAGGAACTACGCTCCGCTCGGCTTGACTTTGTAAACAGCATTCTCGACAGCAACAGACCCATCATCATCAATAAACCAACGCAGCTCACTGACAAAAGCGGAGCGCTCTACCCACTTCAAATCAGGATGGCTGGTCTCAATAATGGGAGATCCTAGCCATTCGTTCTCTCCAAATTCAAGAGTTCGGGCCTTTGGTCCCCCAGTAAAAACCTCCATCCATTTTTCATCAATCTGCAGAACACCCTTGAAGTGGATATAAATCCCGTGGCCTTCTTTTGATCGAAATTGAACCCGGACGTCCAGATGGCCGGTGTTTGTGTCAGGGTCACGCTGATAAGTAGTTAGCGTCTGTCTTGCCAAACTGCTTAGGGGCTTACCAGAATCCAATCAGCGCCGCCGGGGAGGAGCTCTGCCTCAAGACCACTGCCTTTGATGTGACCGTGCGTCAAGAAAGCAACAATGCGGTGATTGTTGCCCTTGGCTTCGGGGATGACGAGGGCTTTATCCGGGGATGTATACATCCTCATTGTAAAAACGTGTTCGAGTGAAGGAGTCATTGTTACGACTTGTGATTTCGGAGATTAGGATTCCTATTTGATGTTTGATGCGCAATGTATGCAGGTGAGCTGTAGTTGAGCTGTAAGTTGCTCTTTTATACTAGTTATCAACGCGGCAGTACTGACAATATATCGAGCTTATTACTGATTAGTGTATTTACTTCATCACACACATTTATTGAGCCCAACTTTGTTAAGCTGGTATCTGAGTAATGATCATCTGCCCGTCTCGTCGTGTACAATGGGGGAGAATGAAAGCTTGGTGATCCCCACTTCGTTGCATGTAACGAGTAATAAGCCGTGGTTTGCCATGCAAGTAAGACGCGGCTTGGTCGCTAAGCACCTGCACGTAATCAGGAAACAGCATAGAAGTATTTCTTAGATTATCTGTAGATTATTGCATCATTATTCTCTTGCTCGCCCGATTGACCTTTATCTCAATCCGTGGCGCTGGAATAAACGGAACTGATAAGATGAGATAAGATAACACTTATCTTATCGATCTGCGATTAGACGTAAAGAAGGCAGCTGAGTCGATCATTTCATTAGACCTCATGGTTCACACCGGGAACTTACAAAACAAAACTTTGGAAATCATTGCCGAGGCATAGTTTCATGTTGGTCATGTAAGCTTAGTAAACAGGGCCGCCATTGATGTTGTACCCATGCATGCATGTGTATCAGTAATCAGCTCCGAGCAACAAAGTGGAATCAGCTCGCCTTGTCGGCTTTACACATAATGCGAGCACCCACTATTCCCGTAACCAACAAAGGCGCAACCAAGGTGTGATTGGAGTTTTCTCGGCCTTCGCATGATTTGAAAGCAAATATGATCTGTTCAGGATAATGCATGTTAGTAATTAATCGATTGTCAATCAAGGAACGAAGACAGTCACGGCATATAAATACATACACTAACTGTTAAACCATCATTACCATGCATTGCAAATCGCAGTTACACTTCGACTTCGCAACGATTGTTCACTTCCACTACTGAGACGTCTACGCTAAAACAGAATGAGCGCACAGACCTCTAAGCTTTTCAAGCCAATTCAGGTTGGCGCTCTTGATCTACAGCATCGCATTGTCTTAGCGCCCTTGACCCGTGGCCGTGCTGATTCAGCTGGTGTTCCCGCCCCTTACGCCGCAGATTACTATTCCCAGCGCGCTACACGTACGTTCACACCGTGACTTCACCAATGGAGAGACCTATCACTAACTATGATGACTAGCTGGCGGTCTATTGATCACAGAGGGAACCTTCATCTCCTTTGAGGCATCTGGGCGTCCTTTCTCTCCCGGGATTTATTCCAAAGAGCAGATTGAGGCTTGGAAGCACGTCACCGATGCAGTTCATGCCAAAGGAGCTTTTATCCTTTGTCAGCTCTGGGCTCTTGGGTAGGATAGTCCCCATTTTCTACTGGCCTTTTCCCGCTGACAATACCTTAGACGTATTGCCGAACCTGATCTAGTCCCTGCCGTTCTCAGCCCCGGCTCACAACCATTTTTCGAAGATGATGATGTCACACGAAAGATCCCCGATAACTTTACTGTCATGAGTGAAGCTGATATTGATAATTTTGTGGGATACTATCGACAAGCAGCTTTGAACGCCATCGAGGCTGGTTTCGATGGCATAGAGATTCATGGCGCCAATGGATATGTAAGCATTCATATCCGGTGAGGAAAGCCCATGGCTGACAGATAACCTATAGCTCATTGATCAATTTGTGAGTATTTGCTGTCGCTGAGGAGGTACAATGTGCCTAACAGTACCGTAGCTCCAATCAACTAGCAACGACAGAACAGACCAATACGGCGGCAGCGTCGAAAACCGCATCCGCTTCCCTCTCCGTGTCGTCAACGCAGTAAGCGACGCCATTGGACCCGAGCGCGTTGGCGTCCGCATGTCGCCATTCACGCGCTTCCAAGGAATGCGCGAAGCTGAGCCACTATCACTCTTTGTTCCTTGGGCACAAGCTATTGTAGATACGCAACCCCGCATTGCGTACATCCATGCCATCGAGCCTCGAGCTGATGGTTCAGTGGACACGCCTGAGCATCTACGCAAGGCTGAGGATACTTTAGCGCCCATAAGGGAGGTAGCTTCTCGTGCTGGTGTGCAGTTTATTGTGGCCGGGGGATATACGCCTGAGAAGGCATTGCATCATACTAGCGAGACAGATGATTTGGTGGCATTTGGGCGTCACTTTATCCGTAAGCTTCCGGTTCATCTACGCTTCTTCCCTGTTTGCTAACATTTCTTGTGTAGCTAACCCTGATCTCCCTGCGAGAATAAAAAATGGCTGGTCTTTGACCAAGTACGATCGTTCCGTCTTTTATGAGGTGAACGAGGTTGGATATAGCGAGTAAGCTAGTACATCATCTACATACCTTAAGACCCATAACTAATCGATTCCGTGTAGCTATACGGTATACAATACAGAGACAGCCACTGTTTGAGAGTAGTAAAGAGTATATTTAGAGTAGACAATAGATTATTTTATGTTTGTTTAAATTAGTAAAAAGACAGAGAAGTCAAGTTACCATGGGCCTTTGCGGAAGAAATACGGCGTATTACTGTTTTATTTACTTAATTAGAGTCTGAGCACTCCTATATAGCCTCAAGATTACCTTCGAAGCGTTTAATATATATCTTAAAGCACAGCTTGTCCTCGAATAGTAATCGCAAACTGAGAACTTATACCATTTTGAACTTCGCTATCCTAACAAAACTTAAAAGGGCCATGGGGCTTGATGGCATAGAGATCCACGGGCTTTGTCAGTAGCGTGACTACATATTGACATAACCTTGTTGTTCAGGTTTCTAGTATCGCCCTTCCTTATAGTTTCATACAACCAGGAATTTACTCCTCCTAAAAGCATATCTTATAACTACTGCATATAGTAAACTTAATTAATTCGATGAACCCCAGCTGTATACAGACGTGGAGTAGAAGTATCATGACCAAGGTGGAGCGGCAGGCATTACGGGGTAGTCCAGAGCTGGCCTTCCACGAACAGGCAAAGGGTCCGTAGCTCTAAGTTTGTTCCAAGTCTTCGTGATCATGTCTAGGTACTCCGCAAATTCAGTACCCGGACCGCTATTGTCATCGCCAGCAAACTCTGAAGCCAGATAGACCAGTTCATCAAGGGTCACATCTCTATGATCCACGACGGAGATGCACAGGATGTAAGCCAGGATGTTCTTGTGCATGTCAACCACTCCCTTGTTAGCAAAGGTATACTTGTATGTATAAATGTCGACGCGGATGATCGCATTGCTAGATTATCCATGTTAGCATTCCCAGGGCATTTGTGAAAGCTGAACAGAGCTACCATACTGCTTTATGTAAATGAAAAACTTCTTGTCATAGCTTTCTCCGGCGGAAGAGTCACCGAGAATTGCCGAGAGGCCGGTCTTTACCACGGATTTGAAACCATCAAGGGCACGTTTGGTTCCAGTATCCGACGCGCCAAAGAAGGCGTCCACAGTATCCTCAACGCCTTTACCGGGCTGCAATCACAAGATTAGCAATTATGCCCACGTAAAGAGGGGTATTGAGTAGTAGACTCACAGTACTTCCAGCATCAACAGTGACATGACGCTCGAATCTCAGTGCTCTCTTTCCGGGAACACTGGTACGCGTTGCCGACTCACGGTTCAAGAACATCTGCTCCAGCTCGCGTTGGAAGGTGTCTAGACGCGCATCTGCGAGCTTCATCATGAGCTCTAGCTGTTCCTTTTTCTTCCTCTCGTTCTCATCGTCTACCGCATTTGGCTCAATCAAAGCGCTGATAGAATTGCCCATTTTAGCAACGTATGGTAAAACTAGATGCTAAGTTTGCAGAATGGTGAGAGAATTAGATGATTGAAATCGTGTCTCCAGATGAGGAGGGGAAATACGCCACTAAGACGCTAAAGTTGCTCGATGCGACGTTCAGCCAACCAGAAGATGCATTCGGGTGTCCTAGACTACCTATGAATTAGTTCCGATCTAACTAAAGTGACTATTCGAGACCGCGTATTCAGATTTGGTGCCATACCCGTCTATATCATTAATTACATGAGTGAGCTACATGACACTATTACAACAGCTATCAAGACGCATCTCGATACGGTTTACTCTATATTAGATGAATCTTCTGTTTTTCGACAAGCGGCAGAACGAGCTGGTGGGCCTCCTAGACACTCTGTTGTCTCCTCTTCGACATACTCCTCAGGCACTGCACTAACTGGGTAGACCTCAAAAGTCAGGCTACAGCCAAAATACACTATGTGGTGGCCAAAACTGTGGGTTGTTCTAGCTTCTCTATTCAGTCCATCAATAGAGGGGTGCATCTCGTGTCATATCACTAATCCACTGGCGTAAACCCAAGGTGGCTTGATTACTCGTCCCTCCTGTGAGTAAGCACCCCGATTCTTGGTGACATCACAAGCAACACTTGGCAAACGAGTACATAAACCCATTAAACGTCAGCTGTAAAAATTGATCAAGTGCCATTTCCCCATAAACCTAATCTCCAACCTTATCAAGATCCATCAAAATGGCAACTCAGCAAACCGCTAAGACACAATATGCCAAGTCACCCAAAGGTGTCACGTTTGCATACCGCCAAATAGGCAATGAGTCTGGCATCCCCCTTGTACTTTTGACCCATTTCCGAGGCACAATGGACAAATGGGATCCTCTCATTGTCAACACCCTCGTAAAGAGCCGCCGCATCATCACGGTCGATTATGCTGGTGTTGGTCTCAGCAGCGGCGAAGTAGCCACTTCAATCCGTCAATCCGCCGCCGATATAACACAGTTCATCGAACTGATCGGCGAAAAAGAGATTGATCTTCTCGGTTTCAGCATTGGAGGCTACGTCGCTCAGATGGTAGCCCTCAACGCGGATCCTAGTAAGGTCAAAGTCCGCAAATTGATCCTTGCAGGAACAGGTACTAGCTACGGACCTGATCTTGTGTACTCCCAGAATAAAGATGTTGGCTCTGTTGCAGGCGTCAAAGATGTAGACATCAATGTGTTCAAGACACTCTTCTTCCCCAAGAATACCGAGGGAGATGCTGCTGCTGAGGCCTGGTGGTCGAGGATTCACGAGCGGAGTGCAGCGTCGAGTGGTGAAGAGGCTTCTCTCTGGCTGAGCAGTGGGTATAAAGATGGTGGTAAAGGACTTATGGGGCAGGTTACACAGGGACATGACTTTACAGAGAGTCCGGAGAAAAGCAAGGGAGAAGACGGCGCTTACGAGCGGTTGGCCGATCTCAAGATCCCGGTTTTGGTTGCGAACGGAAGCGTGAGTAAATCCCCTATCACTTCAATCCTGAGCTATACTGATGGTTTGGTCTCAATAGAACGATTACATGATCCCCACACCAAACAGCTATCTCATCTACCAGAAGGTTCCGAATGGTCAGCTCATTCTTTATCCCAACAGCGGCCATGGCTTCCTCTTTCAGTACGCTCCGAGCTTTGTCAAACATGTAGAGACATTCCTCGAGGGTTAATACAAAGACGGTATGACTCTACTCTTCGAGGTTGCTTAGGATGAAAAGGACACCGCTTGGATATATAGATATTTATTGAGCTACCATCGCCATTCTCCCTTCACCTTTCAGATCTCATTCTTGTATTGCTTATCTCATTTTATCCAACGATCAATACGCCATCGTGTCACTATCCAGCTGAGGTGCCCCAATGCTATTCTTCCTGTATGATGGACATCTTCAACGACTTGCGGATATCGATTGGACGAACGGCGGGTGTTCTTCCAAGACACACAGTTGAGTTAACGAGACCTATCAGAACCAATTAGCTTTGAGATACGACGCAATGTGCACCCTTTCTCTTACACATGATAAGTCTCTCAACATCAATCTTGACCTTTGTCTCCCGTTTACTAGGCGTCTTCCACTGCTCCCCGGGCCCTTTTTCCTTAGGTGGCGGCGGCATGGCTCCCATCGCCATACCCATTAAACCAGCGGGACATGAGAACGAGGGAGGCTCGTCACTTTCCAGATCTTCCTCCACGAAATTTCCGTTACCTGGCATGTCAGGAGGTGTGGTAGGCCCAGAGCTCGTCTCTGAATCTGATGTTCGCTCAAACATGCTCATGTCGATGTAAGCTGTGACGAAGTCTTTGCCTGATGGGATTGTCACGCCGTAGCCGCGAAGACAAATTTCTATTTCGTCTGAATCGAAGAAGTCTCCGTCATACTCCGGATCAATGATGCGTAATTGTGGGTTCAAGCGTAGATCTCGAATCTGTTCGACCGACGGACCAAAAGGCCCCATGGAGAAGCCAGACATTTCGGATGGTCTGTACGCCTCATGCTCCAGTGACCTATTGCCAATCGGCAGATCACCAGCACCATACCCCTGCTCAGGAAAGAAAGTCCCAGCACCACCAATATTAGTAAACGGAAACTTCCAATTATTAAGCGTAGCCTCCTTCGACTTGCGTAGCGTCTCGCCAATACGACTACATATCTCTTCCCTCGTCTCAAAATGCATACAGAAGCCAAATACCTTACGATACCACGCAGGAGGCGCATGTCTCATAGACGCTAGGAGAAATGCTGCTTCCTGAGAGGCTCTGTGGTACCGGCGACCAAAGTTTAGCTCTTGGCTTGCGTATGACCGGGGGTTGGGGAGGGTAGAGTCCCATGTTGATCCGGGAAGTTGGTAGGTCATGTCGTAGAAGGGCGTTTGGGCGGTGGGAAGCTGGAAGTAGGAGGTTGTATCGAAGGAGTGTGGTGTCGAATCGGAATTGGACCTTTGCTGGGAGAGCATGGGATCGATTGGGTTGGTGGTGTAGTCTATCTGTCCGGTACCATCCATCATAGGAAAGTCGAAATCCTGGGCTTGCGGGATTGGTGGCGTGAGATCAGGTGAGACGACATCAACAGGAAGATCGCTGAGAAGATCATTCTGCTCTCCATCTTGGACGTCAGGCCTCTCATGCTCATCTACCTCTCGAGCGCTGGACAACAAGCTTATGGTGGTCTGCTTAATATGCTCGATGATCTGCGGATTATTCTTGACGGTATCTTGCTCAAGAATGACAGAAGTGAAGTTAATAAACTCCCTGCCCATATCCTCCTTGGACCGCTCTAGTTCTTCAACCTTCTGCTTCAGGACATCAATGGCAGACTCCTTACGCTGGCGATATGCGCGCTGAGCCATGCGATTCTGTATCCTTCGGCGCTAACACGACCAGTTAGAAGACAACTCAATGCTCGAAAGTTGTATCACTAATCATCCCGAGACGTCAAGTCACGGCGTACTCACGTTTGTCACAGATCCACCCTCCGGCACTTCAAGTGGTCTTCTTCCCCGTTTAGGCCCCGACCCCGTGTCTCCCGCATCAAGTGGCAGTACAGAGATACTATCCATTTCCGAGGTAGAAGAACTCATGACTTAATAAGAATACTCTGACAAGATGGTATGACGCAAGGTTCTATGGCACATGGGAGAAGCTGATCGGCGGGAGATATATTTCGCCCAGAGATCGAGTTGGGGAACTCGTCTCTGCGGCGTTACGGCCCGTCGAGGGTTCAAAGTACCAAACGCTGCTTTCAGCTGAAATGTTAGACCAATCATTTGCTCAAGTGGCACTGACTAAGTGATGACAGATCGGATTGATTGCTCCGCATCTCCACCAAGACGCCGGCGTGCAGCACAGACACCGGCATTGCCTTACAGTTGAGGATACTGTACGATTTGATAACTATAATTAGCTGTTTTCTTATCTGCTAGACCCTCTTGTTACAACACTGATGGATATTTTTCTCATCTTCTGAGCCTATCTTGCCAACATCGTGAACTAATATACACTCGGAATCCCATGCACGATGCTATTTCCTAGTGCAGAAAACTTAGATCGGCCCAACAGTCTCACGTCAGATTTTGGGATAAGGTATGGTATGGCGACATACCGGTCAAATGTGGCTTTTCGTGTTCAAGACGCCGGCGTCTCGCTTTCGGTTCGGTCTACGATAGCACTGCGGGCGTTGTTACACCACATTTCAGTCCAACGAACAAAGTCCAGTGAGCGTCAGGCCATAATCGCATAAGCTTAAACCCAGTTTTCGTAAATTAAGACTCATCTAAATAAATGATGGTCTGCCCTAGCAGGCTTTCATCATTACATCAAGTCTGGTCATGTTTGTAAATGTCGGGGTTCTCGTATTGAAGACGTCGGGTTATTCTAGCTTGGTCGGGATCTATCAGCCCTAAGATAACAGGGCTGGTTCCCTATTGGGGCGCTGTTGAGATGATCTGGCCGGGTCGATTTCAGCGTGCATTAGCGCCTGGGACACAGAACACTGGAGCCCGAATGCCGAAGATTGGGTACTTGGTCACCATGACCGTTCTTAACACCAAAACCATTTTCTTTCGACTATTTTGGGCAGTAATAGCCTAAACAGCGTCTATATGGAAATCGTAACACGTGCCTAGATCATGGCTAATGTCGGTTATCGATGAAAGCTTTATATAAAGAACCTGAAAGCAAGGATGCTATTCATAATACAAGCAGACTTAAATTGACAGAGAGTAGAAAGTCTTTCCATGTGGCTAGGTTAAGCTTATTGCCTGAGCAAACAGCGCCTCTACTTTCACAATAAGCTATGTCTAGTTGGGCATCTCCAGAACAGCCCTATATCTCATCTTGTTCTGCTCTACCAGCTCAAAGACCTCCTTGATGGTTGTTTCACCCTCATGCTTGAAGAGCTGAACCATGGGCTTGACGCCATGACGTCCAGAGAACTCAAGCATCTCGTCGTGGATATTACGCGATCCAACGAGGCTTGAAAAGACATGGTAGCCCTGGAAGAACATTGCTCCCGCACTACAAAATAGTCAGTATCGGTAAGTATATGTGGATGGGTGAACGTACGGCAAGCTAAGAGGCCCGTGAACCGGGGCCGCAAGAGGGACAATAGTTCCATCTCTCGCGAGGAACTCCTTAGTCATGACCCTGGAAACATTATTAGCCAAACCTCTCTGCATGGTACCAAAGTACTTACTTGTCCCAGTCAGGATACTTGGTTCCACAAATCACAAGAACTTCAATCGGCGCTGTAGCCGTATCGAACATACTCTCAATGAGATGGAACTCCTTGGCGCCCAGCTGTCGTGCCTCAGCCTCCTTGCTAGCGCTCGTGCTGTAAACAATAACATCGGCGCCCATCTTATCCGCATACTGAATAGCGAGATGGCCAAGACCACCGATGCCGAGAATGCCGACGCGCTTCTCCGCTGTCACTGTAGCCTTGAGAGCCGCGTACACAGTAGCTCCCGCGCACTGAAGAGGTGCAGCATGCTCACTGGCAAGACTATCAGGAATCTTGTGGAGGTATGTCTCCTTGCCGATATAATAAGTACCAAAGGTACCGTTATCGAAGTCTCCTTCACCGAAAATAACACGCTCATAGCAATAGATGTCCCTTCCAGACAAACAGTACTTGCAGTGACCGCAGGCATCACGGTGAAAGCCACCACCTGCCCTATCACCGATCTTGAATTGTGTCACCAGTGAGCCGACTGACTCGACAATGCCAATCCCCTCGTGGCCAAGAGCTACAGGGGCTCCTAGTTGGCAGAGCACGATGTCTGAATGGCATACGCCACTGTGAGTTAAGCGGACGAGAATGTCATGAGGACCAAGGTTGGGTAGCTTGACGGAAGAGGGGGAGAAACCGCCGTTGCCATCGCCTGCGCGGTAGATAGTATGTTCTGTGGGGGCCATTTTGATGCTATAAACGCGACAAATATAATTTTGCGACCTGAGGTAGTGCTTGAGAAGCCGATAGTATTATCTTGTGAGTGAGGATGGCATTGAAAGATATAGTCTATAATACCCACGCTCAGGATCAGGATAATCATTGTGATTTATAATAGTAAAAGGCTTTAGCAGACCGAGACTTCCGTATATCAGCTCTGAATACTACGCAGCTATTCTCTATGATTACTATCTCAACACATTTTTATTATCATCTTATGGCTTCTGCCTGTCGGGCATTCCTGCCATCGGTAGTGGTTACTAATCGTTCCCGGCCGCTGCAAGATACACCGGCCAATTATATCTCTCAGATGGCCATACTAATCACTGGTAGAAAATGAACGATTCAGAGGAACAGCGGCATTCGGTGTTGACATAAAGATCTAACAACTATAACAGCAAAATAGGACAAACATCAACGGCCTCCTTGATGCTAAGTTAATTCGAAAGACACAATGTTGAAATATGTGAGACGGATTTAACTGAAGTGCAAATGTAAGCGGAGTGGTCTTCTAAGGATCCCGACTAGCGTCGTAAGCTACCACGCCGCGGCGGGGTTGAGCTGCCGGCGTCTTGATTAGGTCAGGAAAGGTGAGGTAATACAGAAAAGGGGACGATCAGTAAGCAGACTGCAGAATGCAATGGGACAGTGAGGGTATCACGAGAGGCAGTAAGCAGCAACAGATTATAAAAATAGATGAAATAGCACCCTGTGTATATATATCTATCGGTATTAGAATTCAAATTTCATATCGCTTAACATCAAAAACTAAAACTTCACATTCTTGACTATTAAAAATGTCTTCCCCATTCAAGAACATTCTCATCGTCGGAGCCACTGGCTCTATTGGCTCCATCATGCTAGACGCCTTGGTCAAAGAGCCTTCCTTCACAGTCTCCGTCCTCCAGCGCTCATCGTCAAAGGGCAAGCTCCCATCAAACGTCAATGTCATCAAAATCGATGATTCATACCCCACTGAAGCTCTTGTCTCTGCCTTCACCAGCCAAGACGCCATCGTCAACTGCATGACCTCCCTAGCCGTCGCTGATCAACTTCGCTTCGTCGACGCCGCAGTCACTGCAAAGGTGAAACGCTACGTCGCTTCCGAGTACGGTCTTAACAACAACAACCCGGACGCAAGAGCCCTAAACTCCGTCTTTCGAGAGAAGGGCCAAGTGCAGGATTATCTTCGCTCCAAAGAATCTACTGGCCTAGAGTGGATGGCCATCGCTTGCGGTATGTGGCTCAAGTGGAGTGCTGTACACGATTTTCTGGGGATGCACATCAAGGACAAGAAGTTCGTCATCTGGGATGATGGAGAGGGATGGTTCAGCTGTACCACTGAGGCCAACACGGCTCTTGCTATGGTAAACGCCCTTACTAAGAAATGGGAAGAGACCAAGAACAGGATCGTTTGGCTGAGTGACTTTGCTATCACGCAAAACATGCTCCTTGAGACTATTGAGCGAGTCAGTGGGGAAAAGCTCACTGTTGAGAAGATTGATACTGAGAAGACGATTAAAGAGAGCCAGGCTGCGGTCGCAGCTGGGGACCCTTATGCTGTTTATAATCTGATCGAGACGGGTTTTGTCACGGGGCGGTTTGGGGGGCATCTTGAGAAGGAGGGGGAGATCATGAATGATTTGTTGGGTCTGCCGAAGCAAAACTTTGAGGAGGTTGTTCGTGCCGCTTTGAAGGCTGTTGAAGAGTCATGACCTGATGCGTGTAATTATATGAGCGACTATTGGTTGAACACTGTCCTTCTAATCATGGAAATGTGGTGTCTGACTAGTCATTTAAATCATGTTCCGGCTTTGACATAAAGTAGTAGTGGAATAAGCAGTAAGTTTAGTATTTCTTCTGATCGCTGTAAGGTCCAAAGGTGTTGGATGGTGACTTTGGTTGACTGATCACCAGACCCAGACTTTTGATTCTAATTGTATGATGTAGACTTTGGGATAATGTGACGACTGGAGATAAATAACAGATACACAGGTACTACATAATATTATTCTATAAAAGCATATCTCGTGAATCTAATGAGGCTGTATGAAAATACCCGGCTCATTCCGTGACAGCAACCCCGCCTCAAAATATCTCGCGTTCAAAAAGTCGTCATCCAACACGAGATCAAGCTCCTCGTACATCTGCGGGATAAACGAGCTCATTCCTTCGACGTTTTGAACCTCCATATTAACGTACTCCGACAACGATGGTTCCATTCTTGCGTCAGAGAACAACGTAGATCTGTCCAACTGGTCTTCGATCCAAGAGAGGCCCGAGATAGAGAGATTTTCATGCATATCCATTGATATCATATCAGAATTTGCTTGCGTCAGTTCGGCTTTCATCCGCGCTAGGATGGCAGAGAGGAGATGGGCTTGAGCCAAGACAGTGTTGTTCTGTGGATCAGAGTGGTCCATTGACTTGGCTGCATTGACGTATGCAGATGTAACCTGATTAAGCGTATTAATGGCTTCGGTCTTCGAGACTGATGACTCGTCGATATCCTGTCGCAATAGTTTTGGGACCATCATTGCTGAATAGGCGATCATCAGGTGGGCTGTATCCCAAAGGTAGTAGATGGTGTCCAACTCTCCCAATTCGATAGCCTGTCGCAGTACGCTTAATGCACTGCAGAAACAAACTCGAGCTGTGTGAGTTATCAGATCATGTGGCGTAGATCCATTTCCTAAGACGAGCAATCGATGTAGAAACACCGAGTTGAAGTAAAGACGCATGTAATCTCTAAAGAGGTAGATCAAAGGTGTTTGGAAAGGCTCCGGGTTGGGGACTGGATACTGTTAGGTATGGTCCTCCAGACTCTTGAAGGGCTAGTTATCTTACATGTAGCGAATTTACCCTGCCAATAGTCTCCCCATTCAGCGATCCTGTTGTTAAAGTCATCCATATCCTTCTGAAACGTCTCGAAATCGAGCGGTGATTGAGAAACACGAGAGTCGACACGAGTTCTCATCATGCTCTCATACAGCTTGCTGGCAATACATGTCAGCTCATGGCCACCAACTGCCTTGCCATCTCCCAGTAGATATGTCCATTCTGTCAGGCCCATCCACTGTCTAGAGGCTACATCCTCCAGAACCATGGTTGTTGATAGAGGTCGGTCAGTGAAGTAGCTTGATCTGGTGACTGTAAGCTAAGCCGCTCTGTGCCCATCCTGATTCAGAGGATCTTACGTCCGGTCAATGTTTCGCAACGCCAGCCATACGCGGTCTTTATCTCTCCTCTGCCGCACCTGCAGCTCTCCCGACTCGTGCGTTTCGTAAGATACGCTTCTGCGCGTCATGTTCCATTCTGCTGAAGCCGCCATGCGAAGTGCGAATCCGATCAGGGTGTAGCCCCTAGTGTCGTTTGCGTCTTTCCAGTGATACATACAGATGATGGCCCAGATGTTCTCGATTGCAGAATCACAGGCTAGGAGGGCTCTGCCTAGAAGAGACTCGGCATGATCTCTTATGTGCCTGTGGGACTCTGGTTGAAATATTCGTGATGATATGGTGAGAATCATGGTGAACAGCAGATTTGATCTAGATCTCGTGTATGAGAATGTATAAAGGTTGGGATCGAGTAGTCCAACGAGACAGTTGAAGTGCTTGAAGAACCTGCACAGATCAGCGAGTGAACACCTCATAAGCCATGCCATGCATACCCTTCATACAGATTCTGTGCGGATGGCCGACTAATGAGTCCCATATCGACAGGGTCATACTTTCTCGTCGGGTTAACTGCTTCTGGCAAACTCTGCTGGAGCATACCCAAAGGGCTTGAAGGCTCTCCCTCGGCAGGCCGATCTGGATTCAAAGCTGCACCGAGCGACAAACCCCGAGTGTCCTGATAATTCTTGACAAAAGAAGCCGGCGTAAACGGGGACTGGCCAGACCTGGAAGACGCGGAGACTGACTCGGGATCTCTATTCTGATATGAATTCCGGTTAGGTAGATCAGGGGCCTGGAAGGTTTGAGTATCTGAGGATCCCTCCTCTATCTCCTCTTCCGACGGACGTACTCGATCCTCCCTGCCGGAGATGTCAGCTAGCTCACTTCGTTACGTGACCTTGCCTACCTTCTCCCTGATACGTCTCTCCTCCAAAGGCCCCTGCGATGTGACTCAAATACACACTGCCTCCTCAGTCTCTGACACCGATCACACACAGCAGCTGCCGGATCTGAAGTAACACACTTCATCTTTGACCGTCGACATGGCGTGCAAGCGACTCCATGAGGTCTATACCCATTAGATCTCCAGTCATAACCCTTCAAGTACCACTTACCGTCGTTGCATTTGCTGTATAGTCTGATCAGCCATAGCCAAAAGTTTCTCGCGAAATATTTCATAATTCCAAAGCGAATTTTCGTATCTTGCTTGCTGACAAGTCAATATTAACTTATAAAGACATCCAAGCCGCTATCGATCTGCGGCGTAAGTTGCGGGCATTGCGGCGATTGTGCATCGCGCTAAGCCCTGCCACGCTCAGCTAAGCGGCATCTCCAGGTGATTAGTGAACAAAACCCGCTGAAAGTTATGCAATTTCACCGTGTTTGCTTCAGCGGAGTGATTTTGTGATTATTCCTCGCGACGTCATTATGTACGCCTGCCATGAATTTTGAGATTTGAGGGGATCGCGATCGTGGTGGTTGGATTTGTCAGTGGCCGAGACAGATGCACTCGCAACACCATCGCTGCGAAGTACTCGGGCGACTTATTGCATTGTGCCGCGGCCACAAGGCACTGGAACTTGGCAGTCGAGTCATTGTCAAGGCTGCCTTGGAAAGCGAAAAAATACCGCCGCATCAGTAATCAACTACCGTGAAAGCATCGAGATGAAGGGTGCAGAAGGATGGATCAAGAGAGCATTGCTTTACTGTGCAGATGCACTCTTTTTGATGCAGAGACAGTTCTTCATTGTCAATCATTCCGCCTTTCTATTGACACTTGGGACAAGGGTGGTGTACCAATCACAATATTGTTAGTGTTCTCTAGGAGGATTCATTGGTTAATTGGTCTGAGCCGACCGGTGTCTTAAAGTCGGCTACTCCACCAAGACGCCGATGATAAGGATCTACTTTATCTCTTATCTGTTATCTTACTTATCTTAGTGTTCATACTCAGGGCAGATCATGAGTGTCCAGTTGACTTATGAGACAGCCATGCAGCTTCATAAACAGCTTTAGCTTGGCAAGGTGGCAACCCGGAATTAGATATATGTAATTCCGATCCGCTTGTGATTATTGAGGAGAGAGTGTGTTTGACATGAGCCATGATTGAGTAAATATGGTTCTTTTCTCTAATGACTCGAGATGTATCCATCCGCCATTTTTGTGCCCCACGTTCCCAGTGATAACCAGTCCCTTTAAGTATAAACATTCTTTAAGCTTACAGAATAAACTCTTTGGCTCTATATATAGGATCAATGTTAGTATAATTACTATAAATCGCTGGAAGTTATATAATGTACATACTTACCCTATAAATGCTTTCTGAAGAATGTTGTTCTAAAGATAGATATGAACTAGTGTGATAATAGCTTAGCTTGGCTCTCCCCACATTAATAATCATCTCGCAGAAAGTTGCCCCAAGCGAAGGATTAGATATAGCCGGCATATTACCGACCGCATCAGTCTGTGGCTGCTTACTCGATAACGGTGATCGGGGAGATGCATCATTCCTTGGCGGAGATTATCATATTATTTCCCTCATGCCATCAAGACACCCAAGAAGGATTCAGAGTGGAAAGTTTTTGCGAGCAACATTGTGTCACATCTCTACGCTATTGAAATGCCATCTCTAGGTTGCGGAACCTGTCGAGGTTCGCGTTGTCTGACCCCTGCAAATGGCTTTCAGGCTGCTGACATGAATGATAGCTCGTAAGGTGCGCTGTGACCAGGCCTATCCGAAATGCAATCGATGCATCAAAGCAGGGCGCCACTGCAAGGGCTACGGCATGCAGTTGTCTTGGCCCCGTCGGAATGATACCCGACGGGCTATAGTTGGCCCAAGACCGCGCATCAAGGGTAGACAATCTGAGCATCGATTGGTGAACACAACCTTTAAAGACATTAGGCTGCACGATGTGGTATCTACATCGGATGAGACCTACGGAGTACATATGCTGGGGCTACCTGAAGTGTCCTTTGGTTCTTCTGATGCAAGCTCTCTTGAGACATTAGGGCCACTATCATTGCTCAAAGAGTCGGCAGTGGGACCCATAGCTCGACTCAGTCTAGCGGATCAGAGATCCTTCCAGTACTGTAAGTCTAGCCAACCATTGCATAACAGCGTGGCCCTCTCGAATAGCTTTCACTAACCCTAGCCAGTCATACAGACAGCTTCACACTCCATCACGTCCTTTGGTCATGATGCTCCAAGGGTCAGGGATCTATTAATCCAGATAGCCCTATCAGACATCTCACCCTCATCGACAGCAGTTCTCAAATCATCACTGGCTCTAGCATCATTCCATCGTGATGACCCACTTCAGACGACCGCCCAGTATAAAGTAGCCGCTCTGCGAAAACTAGCAGAGTCAACACAAGGTCGCATCAGTGTTACCGATTCAGCCTGCCACATAGCAGCTGGTATGATACTGAGCACGCTAGAGGTACGGCCCGTACCCTCTCGAAACAAGGACGCACTAACTCCTGCATTAGATACAGCAAAACTCCATGAAGTCAAGCCATTGGCTATGGTATGCTTGTGGCGCTGCTAAGATCGTCAAGACAGCTGGGCTAGATGTGGATAACCTCGATCACGATACGGCTGCTCTTGTAGGCTGGGTGCACTATTATAATACTTTATCTAGGTTCAGTTTGCGCCACTGGCAGCCACATGTCACTCTTGATGGTGGTGACGCCGCTGACTCATTCCACCCAGTTGTCTGCGGTAACGGACAGGTATGCACCCTCCACTGCCGAGCAGAGCTAGCTGACGGGATACGGATTGAAGCCTGAGAGTCTGACCGGAACGCCACATGAGATATTATACCTTCTGTCAGAAGCTTTCAACGCCGTCACAATGCCTTCCGACCCGCGTTATGAAACGAAAGTTCATAGAAGCCATCTGGAAATACTAGATTGGAAGCTCCGCAGCCTCGAGAAGAAAGTGTCGGACGACAACGCTCCAGCTGATACAACGCATCCAGAATTTGATCTCGTGGTCGAGCTGTACCGTCTAGCTACCTTGATCTATCTCAGACGAGCGTCTGCAGGAATTCTCCCACTAGATCAAAAGTTCACCACATGGGCCGGGCAGGCATTTGAGTTGCTCGAACAACTACCTGCCTGCCAATGGCCATTTCCATTGCTTATTTTTGGCTGCGAGGCAGAAAGTGATAGGCAAAGGACGATTATTCTGGATGTCATGGAGAAGACGACTAAGAACATGCAGTATAGGAATATTGCGACTGTTAAAAGTGTTATCGAAACGGTCTGGGTGCAAAAGGACTTGTATACGGAAGATATGAATTATGTGAGGAAGTTGGGTGTTATTCTGAGCTCGACTCATAAATCGGTACCAGCGTTTATATAAAACCAAAGGTATCCAATTAAAAACATCTAAGTTATGCCCTCCAACAGCAGTTGAACCACAGAACGCAGTGAGTTGACATGTAGATTATTACTTGCACGCCAATGCCACCAGGAGCTGAGGTCTGGGATGCCACTGTTTCCAATATTGTAAGCAGACTCGGGTTAGAAATCTACCCGAGTTAGCAAAGGACTGCATAGTCAGAATGGAGCTGAATAGACTTTGGGATTTATAATGAGTTTTCGGCTACATTTCATACTGATCACAGCGGTGAAGCCCACGATAAATGTGACTTTGGCGCCTGGGTTGTGGTAGGTTTCTGGTGCAGGGCAACTTTTTGCGAGGGCCCCCCACTATAAACCTCCACTAGCTCGCTGACCAAGAGGCGTGCGTATCACGGGCAGGGTCAATCCGAATTACAAAGCACCAATACTTTAATGATTGAAACAGTGTCTTGAGAATGATATATATAAGGGCTTGAAGTTCATCATAGATGTTAATTTTTCTACCAACCACAACAACTATCGCCAAACAATATTTACTTCAACCAACCTAAACATTAAACCAACATCACGATGCCTTCTTATCTCGTCACCGGAACATCCCGAGGCCTCGGTGTAAGCCCCTCAGACTCATCTTCCTCACAAGACCCTAACATCCCATAGTTCGAGTTCGTTCGTCAATTGTCGGCTGACTCGAACAACACCGTTATTGGATTCGTCCGTAACAAAAAGGCAACCGAAGAGAAGATTCAGCGTGAATTACCTGGACGATCCAACATTCACACTGTTCAGGGCGAGATTCAAAAGCTCGAGGATGTAAAGGTATGCAAATAAATTGCCTCTTCACCTAAATTCAAGCTGATAGCAGGAGTAGAACTTGGTCAAAGAGGTGGCCAAGATCGCGGGCGGTAGCCTTGACTACATCATCGCCAACGCTGCCCTCCAATCCGAATGGTCTGCCCATAACCCCATCGGAGTTCTGTACGTTCACTTCCATGCTATGACCATGTCAGTTGCTAAGAGTTCAGGGGCGAGGAACCCGAGAGACTCGAAGAAGATATGCTTGAGTCCTTCAAGATCAACACTCTTGGAAACATCCACCTGTTTAACCTAGCCCTCCCACTTATCCGCAAAGGCCAAGCCAAGAAGATCATATCCATCTCGTCGGGAATGGCCGATCCAGATTTCATCACAAATTTCTCCATCACCGATGGGGCCCCCTACACCATCAGCAAGGGCGCACTTAATATCGCCGTTGCCAAGTTCGATGCCCAGTATAGGAAGGAGGGTATCTTGTTCATGGCTGTTTCTCCCGGTCTTGTTGCGACTCAGGACACGTCAAACTGTAAGTTCATCACATCGTCTGCCCCCCTGCACCATATGCTATGTTTTTGCCTTTCTGGGGATAGGGGCAAGGCGTCTCTTGACCCTGTGTATACAATTACAAAAATGACATGCTGATACACGGCAGATACCGAAGAACAGCTTCAAGGAGTTCGAGACATGGTCGCCGCCTTTAAAGGCTATGCCCCTCATTGGGAGGGAGCAATTTCCCCCGAAGAGTCTGCCACTGCAGTTCTTTCTGTCATCGACAAGGCTAGCATTGAGGCTGGTAATGGTGGCTCTTTCGTGTCTCACTATGGAAATAAGCAATGGCTTTGAGCTGGAGGTATGTTAACATGGGGAAGATTGACGGCTCAGATGGGTTATGCTTTAGAGACTTGGGTCTACGGGGAGCCTTGTCTGCGCTCCGATGGGGACGCGCGGTTAGAATTCATCATAGTTCGCAATCCAAACCAAAAGCGGACGTTGAAGGACAACCATGGCTTGGATATGGATATATGTCGGATATTTTATTCAAATTTGAGCTCTTTTCTTAATCAAGCGCTGTTTGGATCTCTTCTACTAGTGGTATTCCCATTTGCCTCCAACCGCTGTATGAAAGGAAGCCAACAATTGGCCGGACTAGTTCACAAGACTTAGCTACTCAAGGGCTCTGAGCTAATGCCCAAGATGGTCTAGACTGCCCATTGCGTGGCAGCCTGCAATTAACGATGGATTAGGTGGCCTCAGGGGAAAAGTTGAACGACCCCAAGTGCACCAAACCTCGCTAGTGTTCCATGAGGGGTCGTATTTTATCCCCTCCCGGGCTCCCCCAGGTAGCTGGATTACCAGCTGAATACTCGTATAAGCAGCGGGTCCACGTGGATCAATGTTACAAAATCTGTCTCCAATCCGGGCGAACCCATCAGACGATTACCATCGATCGGGGATTGGGGCCTACGTATAGCACTCGTACGGGGTACTCCAGACCAGCATGCTGCTGTGGGGCGTGGTCTGATGCCGATCATTGAAGGTGGTGTTGCGATTATGGCTCCCACTATCTAATTTTACAGGGTCCCTCAGCTGCCGACTCACCAACACCAACACACTAGAGCCACAATCGACATGTGCAATCCGATCTCCACAGACCTAGATCCAATTGAATTGCCATTTATCTCCTCGCCAGCTGCTATAGCCGTAAGAAGAGTCTCGAGTGGAGAATAGTGTAGGATCACTACCACCTCAATGCTTAATCTCGAAATTGACCGGGAATTAGCCAGCGCCAGGGGAATCAACTGACCACACCACCGGGTACACGCATTTGACAAGGAACGGTGGGGCTGGGAGGCAGTAAGGCAGTACGCTGAACTTTGAAGCCGGCAGGCTTGCACACAAAGGCGGTGATATTACTATACCGCATTATAGATATAAGCACACAAGCTGCTGTTAGTAAAACTAGTAAAACATTAATGATTAGGATACAGCTTGGCAAACCCACTGCTTGAAGTTAGCCAATCTACCACGATGCAAGGAAACACTAAAGAGCCATCAAGTTCGTCATGAGCAGCCTTTCTGACTTTTCTCTTATGCCATTACTAAAGACCATAGATATAAATAGTCTCAGTAGTGCCTCTCAGAAGGCTGCTGAGGAATATCGGGCCTATCTGCAAAGTGTAGTCCAAAGATTCAAGGACGAAAACGATCAGGACCAACGGATTGCAGAGCTGAATAGAACTCTGGAGAAGGAAGTACGAAGACATGAGGATCAGACGACAGGGGTGGCAAACTCGGCAGGGGGGAGAGATCAGGTACGAAAGTCATGAACGGTTCTGTTGACTCGATAGGAAAGCTCTGATACATGTTAGTTGTTGGTTCTATGTAATTATTGCCCCGGTTACCTTTTGCAAAACGGCCTGCCGATATCTACAAAAAGGTGATAGCCTGCAACATTAAAGCTGGAACTTTAGCGAACTTCGAAACACTATAATAAGCCACGAACATATGAGCCTCCGTTGAAGAAATCGAATAGACGTAAGAACCAGATCCAATGGAGGAGGAAAATGCTTTGCTTTGTTTTGTTAGTCGACTTACATATGATATAGGCGACCAATTCTGAAGATCATGGAACCTACAACGCATGGCTTCATCCGGAACGCAGTAGATGCACTCCTGATACTTGAAGCCTGTCTTCAAGGGCGGTTGCTCCACACGTCGAGGGCACCGCTCCCTGAGGAAGCCCGATCAGTCGTCCACGATGGAGCAATCTTCGTTTACAAGGTGGAGTCCTCTGGGGTTTACGAATGGCGCGATCATCTTCAATGGCATGACGAGTTTGTGCTTGGCGACTTCCGAGTTTCGTGTCAAGCTGACCTAGACTCCGTGAGTCTGGTGGGCCGCTTGATCATACAGAGGATACTTCTGTATTGGAGTGGGCTGGAGCACCATGTCATTTCATATCTTCAGATGCACACCCTCCGCAGGGTTTTGTCTCAAGGCATGGAGACGCCCCATGACTTGGACTAGATTCAAATACGAGCCGGTATTGTCGAGCTGCAACCTCATCTTCTCTACAGTGTCGCATATAGCCCTTGGTATGGTTGGACCTTGGTATAGGGCTTAAGTGTTGAGGTACGGCAGAGTGGACTATTCCCAAAGAGGTAAAAGCTCACCTCGTGTTGGTTTGGCAAGTTGCCGAGGGTGGATGGGCAACTAATCCATTGGTCATTTTCGGCTGCTAATGTAGGCTTAGACTTAATGATCGACTACTGTTACATGGTAATAGTCTTAGCAATCAACAAACTCAAACAAAGTCTAGGGTGCTACAGTAACTTCAGCCCAAGTGGGATATTGTCCTGAATGCACAGAAGGGGCATGACATGAACTATCTTCGGAATCTTATAGCAAACCGCTCGTAATAGGTATCGCTCCATTCTCTAGACTTTAAAGAAACCTGGAACCTGAGTGGCAGCACACTGCCAGGGCTGACCGCCACGAGGATCTTTCGTTTCCTTGCGTGTCAACTCTGTAGACCATCTCGATCAGCCCATCATGACTACATGTCTGGTCACTCCTGGTAACTCCTGGTAGTATCACTCCCGGGATCGGCCCTGCCTCGGTACGTGTGACCATTTAAACAGAGAGGAACCGCTAGGTGACATGGGCAACTTGATCTCTATGAAACGTCAAAGCAAATGTCTTGACTAAAAGCAATGTATGTTTGGCCGCCGCCAGCTGCTGCCTTGCCAATGTCATTCTTCGTTCTAACGATTTATCCCTTTGACCCTCCTGCTTTCGCATCAGCTGAGGGTTGGGTATACTCGGCTTCTACGGAGGAGAACTAGGAGTGTTTCATCATGTTGAGCCCTCTGGATGCCATCGTCAGAGGAGTCTCCAATATCATGGTAAGTCATGCTAAATCCTAACCCTGACTTATCTTTATGACAAAAGAAGTCAAGATTTTCGGATACCGCCTCGACGCCAATTGCCCCCAGATAGGCGGATGGATGGTTCTGCGTCCGATAGTTATGCGCGTTCACGACCGCGTCCATGTTCTACAGAGACATCTCGAAACTATGCGTGAACGTATCCCTGGCCGGGGGGAGAAGGACGCTATAAACAAGATTGACCTCGTCTCAGCTGCTCTCGAAATTGTGATTAAGGTTAATACTTTCTTATCGACCATCCCGGAATTGCACGAGAATCATGTCTGTCGCGGTCTGACCACCCCCGGGAGCCATAGAACTGTTAAGAATGGGAGCAAGACATCTCCGCTTACAACAGATGTTGATGCTTCGAACAAAGGACCTGGTAGTCCCTTGACCAAAGGCCTTGGTACAAGCAGACACACACCACCTATCTCGCTCCACCATCGTCTCACGGATTCACATATCATAAGTTATTGCTCGAGGCCCAGAAACATGAAGGCGATCACAATAACTTGCAAGACTCCGACTCTAAAACCCAACTGGAGCAATGTTCAATGCATCCTACTGATAATATACTGACTCAGCCTCCAGGGCACCAGACCTTAGTCGCGGATCAGTCGTTCAGTGGGAGAGCGTGGATAACCCAATGTTACCTACAGGCTATAATAGAGCATCTTACCAATTACAATCCTCAATCTACCAGGGAGCACTTTATCGCTGCTTTCTTTATAATATAGGAACTATTCTGCATAACTGAAGAGTTATTAAACGCTCTAACAAAGAGGCTTATTAGTACCCAGAACAAAGAACTGCAATAAAGAAAGAGGATTTAGTTTAGAGTTTGTTATGCACTCGAGGTTTGGCTGGAGTTCTTTTAGGCACCCAATATGGGCCTGCATATCTTACTATCGCTAAAATTCTTTCTGAATAGCAAAGTCCGCAAAGTGTTACCGAAATCATCGGCATTTCTCCTCTATCCTTGCCAACATCGACATCTTCCAGCAGGATTGTTTATCAAACTCACCTTGAACACCGAACATCAAAGGGAACGGAGCATATCAACATAGAAGCAACGCTACCATAGATATTACGAATAGCTTTTTTTCTCATATCGTAGTAATCAGATATCTGTTATACAAATATATCATGACTATCTCGCTGCACAAATTACCTTCATGCAGATACAAGTATTCTTCGCTATCCAGCCATAAAAGATTCTTGCTAGCAGGTAGATGGCTTATAACACGGCAGACGCTCCTAACGTGGTAGCTATATACCGTCGCGCCAATGAAATCTCCTGCTAGGTCAAGGAGAGTGTCCTTGCCGAAGCTAAGCCTAAGAGCCGGGGTCAAGTTATAGAGAGATAGATCCTCACGGTGCAGCATCTCTTCCAGCTAAATAACTTTAATAGCCTTATAGCGGTTACCTTAGGCCTGGATAATACCTCTATACTAAGGCTCAACTGCCTTAGGATGCTATATTAGTACAGGCAAAGGAGTTATTTTGCTCCCTGCGGCGGATTGTGGATCTATCGGAGAACCTTAAGACCCTGCGAACTTTGTTCTCGACTTCCCCAACTCTATGGCTTCTCTTCTGAGGCCTATTTACGAGCCAACTAATTCATACAGCCAATTTACAAGCGGCCAAAAGGAGAATCGTCAGTGGAAAATAGTAGAGGGTTTCCTGTTATGCCAAAGTTTGATCATTAGCCTGACAGACACTGCATGATTTAGCTACTTATGCTAGGCGGACTAAGTGCCTAGTCTAGAACTCCTAAACCGCCTGACACATGGGCAAGAGTGGCACTTATAGATCCTAGGGTGATGTACTTGCAGATGGCACGCACTGAGGCGGGGAGGCGTTGGTGATAGATATCAGATCATGTCAGTTCATTTCACAGTATGTGATAAGACATAAAACCGAAAATATAGACAGAGACGGTCTCAAAAAGCATACCTCAACCACACAGTTCAGATCTAGACTCTAGTCACTGGCAGCATCTCCTATAAGCTGAATAGTCTACTAATATGCTAAGGAAGAATAAGAATATTTAAAAGGGTTATAACATTACCTCGTCTGGCTCTTTATACTAAGATTAAAGCCTCTTAAAAAGGTAATAAATCTAATAAAATAGCTAAGATGTATCTAAAACCTTGGCAGAAAAGATCCAGAGACTGAAAGATAAGTAGATCGGGATCGGTGGATTCGTCAGTCCTTTCTGCCATGAACGACGCCAGTATTGAGGCGGGCAATTAGGGGTCTTTCGTTTCGCACTATGGAAATAAGCAGTGGCTTTAAATAGGGAAATTATTATCGCCCTGGAGATTGGAAATTTGAACGGAGAGGGATCCGAACCTGGATAAGCATGCTACTATATAAATTTCTCCCCATAGGATAATTTGTTCTAAGACGAGCTTAAATAACGGCTATGATTGCAGCTTCATAAGATTATTGTTAATACGGGCTAAACATATTTTGAGTCAGGAACTAAACTAGCTAATTTCCGTTAAATTGACACGCAGTGGCCATCTTATCAATGAGAATCCACGAGGTGGATCGGTATGTAGTTAATTCGCCGTCTAGTGGTCCTATCTTGAACAAATCTTTATTCTGGGTAAGCCATTCTAGAATGCCTTGCGCAACGTTACCACTTCCATAACTAAAATAATCTTGGCTTTTAGGTATTGGTCCTTCCCTCGGGATAGATCCACAGACCCTTACGACCTAGCAGCTCCGAGTCAGTGCCAAGAGGGTCCAGACTACATGTTGACTAGCCATTCTAACCATTGAAGGCTAGATTGAACTTCGACCAACTCGAGCGACGGGGATGATGCAATTAAGGGAGATAAATACAAGGTAAAACCCCAGGCGGACTAAAACACGAGGCGAAGCGCAGCGATAAAGGCGCCTGCACTAGTCCTTGAGGATCAAGGAACCCGACAGGGGAAAAAGATGAGCTGTCACCGGCAGAAACGCGAGGCACGCCAGGCACGGTACTTGTCTCAAAGCTTGTCTGCCATCTCGGTGAGATGACCAGATGGGATTCGTCGATCGCGAATAGGGGCTGTAGCACGACGAGACGCCCACTTTCCGTGATTCTAAGAAATCTGTGCTGATGAAAGATGAGAGCCCACGGCTCACGAATTGATCGGGTCATCTAAGTACCTCGTTGATCCGTGAACATTCTGATGGTGCAAGTCAAGCTCGCTACGACGGTTGATAAAAGCCTCAATTTGCCTCAGCGACCAAAAATGGCGCGGAACACCTTCGCCACATCGATCGAGATTGCCGCCGGGCAGCTAAGGTGACCAATCTTACCAATCTCATGCCGATGATATGATTACGGTAACAGTGGGTGTTGCGGTCATGCCTCCAACTACCGTATCCAAGTTCGCATGGTCTGTTATGCCCCTGCAAACAACACGACCCATCAACAGGCACACATATCGCATGTCACTTTGTGGTCTTGGGCTGAGCCCATCCTCGGGATGTAAGAAAAGATCTAACGCTGTGGACGTATACAACTATACTCTCGCGTTAGACGTTTTCCTGCACCCCTTGAAACATGTAGAAGACGCGTTCGTATCTGAGTCATTGATGTCTCTGTCAGTCCAAGAATTAGGCTTTGGTCTGACAGCAACCCTGCACTATTACCCGCTGAACAGTGTCGTTATCGCAGCTCGGGGGCATTCGGGACCGCCCGACGCACGGTTGACAGGGGAAGTGACGCCACTACCAGATTGTAGGGCCGTAGAGTTTAGGATTGGTCACATGAAGGCAATGGTAATATGCTTCCAGTCATTACCTTAGCCAAGCTTCCGATTTCATGCCTGCTTTTACAACAGAGGGCAACAATAACAAGACGCTAAATAAGAGAGGATATCAGACCTTTGTCTTGAGAGAACCAAGACCCGGATTTTAGGTTCCAGCTTCAGCCCTTCGGGGTTGTTTAACCCGCCAAGATGCCTGACTCCACTGAGAACCCCAAAGGTTTGAAACAGCCCCCGCTTGAGAACCTCCATACTGTTACTAAGAGCTGTCAGAAAGTACAGAAGATCTAAATGCCAAGGCTAATGAGGAAGCCATGGAATACCTAAGTTACTTAGAGGCGGAAGTTCAGAGACTCAAGAACGAGGAGGAGAGAGATCAGTTGATTACGGAGCTGGTAGAGCGAAACGAGTTTTTGGAAAAGGAGATACAAAGATTACAGGAGCAAATTAAAAATTCGAGCGATGGGAAGAAATAAGGGACTGAGAAATGAGGAGCTATGAGAGATAATAAATTCTTCTGTCACTTGTAGATTTGGCCATAGGCTATAGTTATTGCGTTGATGCCTTGTAAAATATCTTTGGTCAAGTAAGCATACGATGGTTGGAGTTGCGCCGCACTTTTAGTACCGGGGATAGGAGAGAGAGGCCTTTCGCACAATGAGACCGGAACTGCAACCATGGTATCAAATGTTGTGTTGCAACGAAACGTTAATAAGCTCTCTTTTGTCAAACCGAAGAACCGTAGGATGGGGATCGTTCTATGCGGAAACATACTTCGTAAGCAAACCCATGCACATGATACTGCCAATCTCCTTGTCATCATTATTTCTATAACCCATGGCACGATCTAAAATGCAATCTATTCTGTACTGAGGGGACGAGGCCGCCTTGAAGAGGCCACGTAGTCCACAATTATACAGTTTCGGTTCACAAGAACGATCCTCCCACATCGACAAAGGGGATGATTGTAATTTGTGGTATTTTGAGTTTAAATTCAGGGACCTAGTGCTTATCCTCATGCGCCCTTATCACAGCTACCATGTCTAGGGGGTAATCTGGAACACGTCTAATGCGGGAATTGGAGTTTGACACCCAAAGGCACATCCCGTGCGGAACGGTTGATCACGCAGAGCATACTTATGCATCGGCCCGACATTCAGGACCAAGAAACCTCCTATTCGATATTCGTACCTTGTATTCTGCACAATCTCGGATACGAGGCCGGAGCGACACGTCCGAAAACCAGAATGCACCAGACGGGAGAACCCGCGAACTTAGCACTACACTTTTACGTCAAGCGTTAGCTTCATCCTGGGGCATTGAACTAAACCAACTTAGAATACGAGATGTCTTGGCTGAAGAGCAGCAGCGCCAGGCCATAGAGGTGCGCGTACCGGCTTTGGTGTGGATGGAGGCCTGAGCATTGAACTCCACACAGTGAGCTATTAAATACAATAGGCGCTGACCGCTCTAGGACTTGGGATTTACAAAGTAGGCTTGGCGTATGGTCTATGAAATGGAGGACTCGTTCGTACCTCAGAGTTTCCAATGTTTCTCACGGTCCGTACAACATCAGGGCCACCACGAAGAATGTCGTTCGCTTTTCGTTTGTTAATCTATTCAAACCGGACTACACTTAGAGAAACTAATATTACTCGTTTCTCCATTCGCGGATCGCCCTCTCGCAGCCAATCTTTCGTCCGTACCATTTACAGATTGGTCCTACTACTCCTTAACCTCGCAGATTGACTCCCTTCAGACAGACGAGAATTCGGTCAAGTTCATCAAGCTGGTTGTTCTGGTCGGGAGGAATATATGCTGTTGGAAATATGTTACAGGTGGTGGATGGCATTGACCTGTGGTACCCAAGTACCGCCCGAAGCCAGCAAGACTACTTCTCAAAGCATCCAAGTTCACAGAACCCTCACAACCAGTCCCAGACATATAGACAGACTAGACGAGAGGTTGATGCTGCGATCAGTGGAAATCAGACATGGTAAGTAATGTCTAATGTTAAGATTGGCTTTTGGGCCAACAGCATGGGTGACGAACCTAGCATACGCCCTTGGTATTGATTCTCCCTAGATTGAAGCACGAAGGATGCCACACACGATGATCATCTGTAACCGAAATCATGTGCAATGCGTCTAGAAGTACGCCGGAACGATTCGAAACGCACCCTCCGCCGAAATCACATCGATCATGATTACGGGACCGAACTCGTCTCGGTCACTTTCGGCATCGCGATCTCGGTAATTTGTGGTCAGCCGATCGCTATACACGAGCTAGGCATGCCACAATCCAATCAGTACCGAGATCCTCAGCCTACTCTAGAATACAAGTGCACTTCCTCGTCACAGCCGCGAGTGCGTCGACCGAACCTAGTTAGTTGCCCAATAACGATAGCCATCTGATACAACCATTATCGCAACTGCGCTCGTGAAGTTGGTATCTCGTGCCAGGCGTTGCTGGAACGAAGTTCGACATTGACCTCAACGATACAAGAGAGCCATTAGAATCCGAGACGTGGCGGGCCTGGTATTCGATAGGGGCCAGAACTATTATTACAGGTGGCAATATGCGGTCCCAGCATTTACGAGACCGGGCCCTATCGAAGACCAAGTTAAGTAGTGCTACCTACCGATTCCTACAACACATCTCACAGAGTGCAAGCTCAAGACCGCCTGAGACCAAGTCGCCTAGGCAATCTCCCTACTCAGAAGCTATTATCTGCTCTCAGTCAGAGACGCGAAGCTGCTCATTGCTCTCCAGCGTCTAGGAGAAGAAGGATACAGATTCGAGTTTTTCACAGTTTGAGGTCTGGCCAGTGTGTTGGACTCAAAGCACACATCGACGTATCCTACTATCGCTGGACCCTCTTCTGAAACCCGAGGTACGTGGATTTCTACCTATGCTGTCTGCATTCTTCCGTCCGCCATCTACGTGCTGCACGACACACTGTGACATACATCAGTCTTGTGTACCTCCCGCGGTCAAAAGGTACAACATATGTTAGCACCGAGCAATATATGGCTTGAACATGTCAGACAACCTTCCACAGGCTACAGAGACCAGGTATATATTACCCACATATGGTGCGGATATGTCGCCAGTCAGATCACCGTTGAACAAGATGCAACTTTATGAGTACTTCAACCAATGGATTTTACTTGTTGTAGATGCATGGTTCAAGAGTCTAGGGATACCGCCAAGGTGTAGTACCAGGGCTGTCTCAATGGGATATTAAGCGGAACAGATAGCGCGAGTCACGAATATTAGCACCAATGACAAGGTCACTTCTCTTCTATTTATAGCTCAAAAGCCTAGTCAACTAGCAAATTGTCAACTTACTATATAAACAGTTATCATTCATCGAAGTCTATCACTGCATGTTGTTTAAGGTCACCACTGACTCAATCTAGTTCAATTCAGGCAGTCGAGATCACCCTCAGTGCACTCAAGGCATCATTAATGCAGTAAACACTAATATAATTCAAGTTATATAAGGTCTATAGATAACTGTAGTCGCTTTACACCGCGGCTATGTCCACTATACAACGAATGTTTCGAAGAAGAAATTTTATCCAATCGCCGAAAAGAGCCACCAAGCGGTAGCTCCCTCCCCACTAGCTCAACTTGCAGTGGCGATAGCGCGTATACAGTGACAAATGAAGACATTAAATAATTAAGGAGTGTCGTGTAGCGTCATGATCCATCACAGCCTGGCCAGAGGAACCCCTTGTCACCCGGGACTGCAGCCAGAAGTGACGAGGCAAAAGCGTGAACCTCTGAGGCTGCCCACGTGAGAGATGCGGCTCTCTTAAGCCTTGTATTCCTTGCCAGGCTTGTGGTAGGTAGGATAAGGCTTCTTGGTGACAGTCTTGGTGACAGTCTCGGTCTTGTACTTTGTGATGGCAGGCTTCCACTTTGTAACAGTGTCGGTCTCCGTCTCCGTCTTTGTCTTGGTAACAGGAGGCTTCCACTTGGTGATAGTGTCGGTCTTTGTCTTGGTGACATACTTGGTGACGGGAGGCTTCCATTTGGTGACGGTGTCGGTCTCGGTCTTGGTCACGTACTTTGTCACGGGGGGCTTCCACTTTGTGACATACTCGGTCTTGGTGACGGGAGGCTTCCACTTGTACTTTGTGACGGTCTCGGTCTCGTACTTGGTGACGGGGTATTTCTTGGTGACAGTCTCGGTCTTGGTGACCGGGGGCTTGTAGATGGGTTTGGTGACGGTGTGAGTGACTGTTGCAGTCACGGTCTTGGTCTTGGGGGGAGGGGGGTAATGGTCGTTGTTGGGGTTGGGGCTGGCGAAGACCAGAGGGATTGAGATGAGAGGAGCGATGAAGGTTGAGAACTTCATGTTGGCGGTTGGAGCGAAGGTATAATGGAGATGTGGTGATGTTCTTGAAAGAGTGGTGAGGAAAGTTGAGCCAGTGGTTGAGCCTGAGTGAGTCTTGGAATGAGGAGATCACAAGTCCTCTTTATACAAGTCATCTACAAACAGGCCGTCCACCGCTGTTGTCCAACCTCTCTCGATGAGTTGCTCAATTACTACATATTGCGAGATGCACATGCTCAATCGTATCATCACCCAAGTAGGCCTCATCTTCTCACCAACTCCCAACCTCGATCCCGCTCGGCCGAATTTTGAAAGCAGCTCTTGTTGAGTTGTTCAATATTCTCACCTCCTCCTGCCAATCACAAGAATCATGTTCAGCCATAAGCTCGTATCTGCCGGTCAGCTCGTGTTTATGCAGCCACGAACAAGTATTAATGCAGGTCGACAGCCTTTTTTGAAGCGGGACGGGAATATGGTTAAGCTCATCCGTTGTGGCGATTTTGTTATAAGTCAGCTTACCGGTTGGCCGTTGGGCTTGGAGGGTTGCTTCGCATATCAGGCTATCTTATCAGAGCGTCTTATTCGACGAGTGCAGAAACAAGCTCTGTGCCATCTTAACAATTTGAACTATCGCGGGCTTGAACTTGCGTGAACGGCATGCCCGATTGCGTGATCGATAGTATTATCTACACGGGACGCTTTGACATCGTATTTACAATGGTGAAACTGTAGTCTAAATAGCAATATGCCTAGTCACCAACGCTTTTACCATTTTGCGGGGGATTTACAGGTACCGGGCCTTAACGCGGAGGTAGTGGCTACACGACGTTACACTCTGGGAGCCAAGAATAACAACAGCCATTTACCGGGCCAGCTGAATTCACGACCCGTGACCCACACACTCTCCAAGTCCATGCCTTGGCATGTTATTTTCCGAGACACATCTGTACAGTTTTCCGCTTTGAGAAGATTCCCAAAATCTTGTTTTGATAGCGTTACCTCGAAGGATCCAAGCTCACCTCCATCCCAGCCTTACGTGAGTGTCAGAAACAAACAAAAGACCGGCTCATTCACCGTGGTCCAGGCTTTGTGACACGTTGACCGGTCCTGTTGGGCTTACTCTGCATCTGCAAGCTTCAGGTCGGGCCCCGCGTTCCAAGAAAACTCCCGCCAATAGACTGTGGCTGCTGACAGCCTGTTATATGGGGATAGAGGGGAGTTGTCAGATTGCGTAATCGCAGGGGTTTGGTGATTGGTCGGTAGGGACAAGGTACCTGAGCCTACTGATGACCGATCGGGGCGATCAGGAAAAGTCGATGACGCTAAAACGTAGTAATAACAACGTCTTGTTAGTGTTGGTTGCGGTTGTGCATTGGACTATGTCAGAGATGAATCATAGAAGCTGCCGGATATAACCCTCCGCTTCGAGGCAACAACGCATGAAAAGAGTAATATCATGAGTATTGTTTACTAACCTTGCCTCGTGATGTTACCATCTGCGTGAGATGCTGCTGGGCTTACTTTGGGCAGCCTCGCTGGCAATAATGGCGTCGGCGGCATCAATAGCCTTGACGTTGAGTGATAAATGTGATTGAAATACCAATTAGCTCGCAGTGGACTCCAATTGAAGCATTCATTTGCATAGCCAAGCTTGTGATCAACAGAGGCGTTTTCGGCTGCATAAAATTGAAATGAACTGATGTGTTCACCCAGTGGCTGCCTTGGCAACCTGCAGCCTCCTTTCAAAACTGGATATTTATTTTCAGCTGTTGATAAGAACATGGCGTTTTGTCAATCTTGCGAGATAACGCTAATTCTTGCATTAATTGAACTTGCAAGTGATGATTCGGCGATGGACAGAAATGGATCCATAGTCAGACGCATATTCGTTGTTCACACGCAGCGATATCAATGCATAATATTGAATGTGTATCGATAAGATGATATGACGGCAATCTGTGACTAAGAGGTTGGTGTCCTTCATCCCAAGCGACGTAGCATTGCATTTTCCCTATAGGGCTTTGTGCTTCACAGTGGCATGCTTGCTGCAGTGAGACGTATTACATTGGGCGGTCGGTTGGCTATTGCTCTTACTATCGCAGAATGGTGTTATAATAAGCTCTCAGATGATTCGGGAGTGGCGGGACTAGCAGAAACGTGTGCTGGTGAGAACTGTTATTTCTTGTAAGCGTCATTGGTGAGATTGTCTGACTGCGGTTCCCCTCATCTACTTGGACGTGATACAGGCCATGAGTATGTCAAATAGATCTGTTGCAGAGCTTTTCGAGGAGCGTCAATCCGGGCAGACCCTTTGAGTTGAATAGGCAAGGCCTAGTATCGCAGTTGGAGTGAGATTCATCAGAAAGTAGATGATTTTCATCAACGGCAGAGAGAAGCACTGATCCTTGCAGCTTGGCGCATCAGATCACAACTCAGGTCATCCCAGTCATGAACGGTGACCAATCAAAGCTGCATTGACCTTCCGAGCCCCCCGTAGACCGCTAATGGTCCTCGAGTCTTGTTGTCTCCTGTTTGCAACAGTTGTCTCCCCTTGTCGTTGTTGAGACTACCGCAGGACCAAAGCGAAGAGCCATTGCGGGTAGTTTGATGCTATAGGCCTGCATCTATCAATCATAGTTACCCGAAAGGATTTAGTCACATGATTGGGATACTAAATTCTGTCTGCTAATTTAAGCTCTTAGCCACAAGCCCCAACTGTAAGTAACACATCTAGCTAACAACTCAGGCATTATATCATAACGACTGACCAATTGCTACAGCTATAGGCTGATATTATGAAACCCTAAAAGATGACTTATTCGCCCGCTATTACGGGTTAAAAGAAGCTCTGATCTGTCTCTCAGGACGATCAAATGATTAGGATGCAATTCATTAGTAGCATGTTATTCAGTGCGCAGAGGATTCGTTACTCATTGATAACAAAGTGAATTTCTATTGCAAAGGGAACCCAATTTCTCTCGGAAGCGGGACTACTATGCCAACATTATGAAGCCCTAATTAACCAAGAGCGCTTTTTCGGCCTGTTGTAATGGTGACTGAATTAATTCCTCCAATTCATTCAAGATCCTTGACATATCCCTCTCCGCCCACTTACTTCGACCCCTCAAATCCCATTCTTGACCCAGAGACAACAGATAGTTCCGTATATGAGCTTTCGGCATCTGGGAGTTGTTAGTTTCGTAGTACACTCTGTCCTTGATATGTTTTACCACGCTTGGGGGTCTGATCGGCAAACCACGGGAAGAAGTAACCAGGATGTAGAATGGTCTGCGACAAAGTTGCAATAAGGATCATGCTTGTTGCTCTTGAAGAAACTTGACCTGCATGTTGCTACATACGCTGTATCCCATCCCCCAAACCTTCCCATGAAACCATTTGTCATGGGTGATGTACTGCAGGCCTACCCACCAGATGGCTCTTTGTTTAAGATCTTACACTCGGCCTACCATTTTACTGCTAAAGCCTTCCAATACAAGTACACCAGTCGCCGAATGATACCACCCGAACTGCTCATAGAACAAGGCCGGCAGCTCGCGAACTTGAAACAGTGGCTATCGCTCAACGAGATTCCATCTACTTCAGACATCGAATCACACGAATCGCTCATCGTTCTCCGCTCCCAATGTCTTGCTGCCCTTGTCAACACCGCCACTATCATGGAGCCACGTGAGACAGCCTACGACTGCTACCGTCCGGAGTTTGAAGAAATCATCACATCGATTGGGGCCTTATTTCTCAGCAAAAACCTCCAAGGTGCGCCAACACAAAAGGCTTCAGACTGGCTGCCGTCTTTCGTGCCGGAAATGGGTATAATTCACCCGTTGTATTTCGCTGCGAAAAAATACAGAAGTCCATTCTGGCGCCGGCAAGCCTTGAGCCTTATCCTAAAAAGTGGAAAGGAAGGTCCTTGGTGCGCTGAGACGGAAGGGTCCCTAATAGCAGCCATCATCAACGCCGAAGAAGGGAGCTTCAACAAGGATTTGCTTCGTTTGGGGCATACGCTGGACCAAAGTCCCGCTTGTATACCAGAGGAGCAGAGATTCGGCCACGTCTGGGCGAGTGATCCTGAAGGCGAAGATGGAGAGTGTACTTACGAGACGAGGAAAAGATATACGAGGACCATAATGTTTAGATGTCGGGATGTAGAAGCGTACATGCGGGATAGAAAGGGCCAGATTCCGAGGGGCATTCCGTGGGTAGACCCTGAGCTGGATGAGATCGATGATGAGTGGTGGATTAAACGGGAAGAGCCTTTGGAGATAATGTTTTCAGTTAGAGAAGAGACAGCATGATGGCGGGGACTCTGTGAGTATTCAATCGCTGTTCATGGGAATATTGCGAGCTGAGTTTGCAAACAATGATTGAGTGTTGGAATTTATTGCCAAGACCAAATGTAGCTAAACATTAGATGACTAAACTTAAGATGGCTCTCTTTCAAGTGCACACCTAAAACTAGCCCAGATATCCCATTTCCTGTCATTTACTCATTAAGACAAGTCTCCTCCTTCTCATTCAACTTAGCAATAACAGCACCCTCACATGCCACAAACCCAGCAGCTTCAAGAAACGTGGCAATACCAGCGGTAAGAACATCGATAGCAACAGCAGCCGTGCCACAGGCAAAGACCTCAGCGACAGCAGTAGCAGAAGCGGAAAGACGGCAACGGTTACAAGCCTCGCTGCAGCCTCCCTCGTCGAGGAGAAGCCGTCCACGGCCCTGGCCGCGCTCGATGGCTGCGGCGGAGTCTTCGCGGGCTTGCTGAAGTGCGGCCTCGTTGGCAGTGTTTTGGCGCTTGGTGGGAAGGGTGCCGGCCCAGGCGGCGGTGGTGAGGATGGTGGTGAGGATGATTGAGGCCTTCATGATGAAAATGCTGGATGGGAGGTTAGTTATGCGCTAAGAGGGATGGGTTGTGAGGACGTACTTGTTGAAGAAATGTTCAAGACCAGCTTGTTCTGAAGATAGGGAAATATGAAGTGAGGGGGAGGAACTGTTGTTTGTTGTGATGCTTTGAGAAATGTTAGGTTGTTGATGGCAAGAGGAATGCTCTTTATACAGAAACCAGTTGCCAGAGCCGTAGATAGAGAATCATTGGACAAACGTGTCAAGAACTCTATCTCTAGCGCATGAACACTGAGCAAAGTGACTATTCCCAAAGCATCCAGGAGGCAGATTGGCGAGTCATGAGAGATTCGATCGTCGCGTCTCCTGGTCAGATCTTGAACACTCTGAGGCTCGGGTTCTCCTTCACCCGTTTAACTACTCTCACGAATGGTTCGATTTAACATAATTAAAGTTTAGAATGAAATGAGACTATCCGGATTGTCTTGCAGACTTTTGTGCTATATCGAGCAAATGCAGTAACTCAATCGTGCATGGACTTTTGGCAGCGGTTTTATTAGCCTAATTCGGCTGACCCAGGTTAAGCTTACAATTATGCATCGATGTGAAACGAACGACACTGCCGTCTCACATAAACTTTAAATATCAGATTAGGAAATCAGGTTTAGTCATAAGACTGCTATTCCCTCATAATTGCCAAGACTGGTTTCGGAGATCTTGGCAAATAGCCCCTCGAGTTGAGAAACCAGATGATCTAGAAGCTTATGCATCAAGATCTGACTACACAGCAGTGAATATGACGAAAGAGTTATTATTTTGTATCTTGTGTTAAAGAAAAAGTAACAAATTACCTTGATTCAGTGCATGCGTTGAGCTATTGAGATCTAGGAGACATCAAACGACAGCAATATAAGCAGTGGACTTGTCGTAAGTAAACACACGTTAAGATAGTCCAGAATATCCTCACATACCTCTTCCTCGATCAATTCCAGAAGCCTTGAACCCCTCGTCCTGTGCTACACTTATAACCGCTGATCCCTCAACAGCAAATAGAGTTTTTCTGAGGCAAACGTAACACGGTCTCGGATCTTATACCCTCCGAGCCTATAGCATAGAAGCAGTTTCAGAATAAGTTTAGCCTCAATGTCGTTTGCCAATTCTATCCTTTTTCTTGAGAATGTAATAATACCAGAAGCTATAGTTTGGTCGACATCGTGTGATGTACCATTCAGACAACCTTGCGACGATGTGGAACGGTTGAGAAAATAAACTTTGAACGACTTGTTGTGAATGGTTTCAGGTCTACAAAGACTCCTGTATTGAAGCGGAACCCGATTGACAAGAGTCCAAGACTAGTAACTAATGGATATAGTTGGTCAGACCTTGAACTTGAGCTGACTATAAGACTTGCTCGATTCCTCCACAATGATGTCTGAATATCATCTTTACGCAGCTCTTTATCTACATCCTTCCCAGATCAGCCATTCTCTTTCCCAGGTTTCAGTAACCATAACTCAAGGTAAAAGCCTAATATTCTAGACTCATCTGATAAATTTTAACGTAATATCAGTCTATTCCACACGTTAAGCAGGCCTTAGCAATATCATCAAAATGAAGTTCTTCACCCTCGCTCTCCTCTCCTCCATCAGGTAGTTCTCTCCATCCCTTATCTACCTCCGAGTTCATTCACTGACAAGTCTGAAATACAGCACCGTCATGGCCATTGACTGCTTCTGCGTTTCCAATGATGACGATGTCGCCGCTGGCCGGCTTCCCGTGCGCTCGTTCAGGCTCAGTGGTCGCTGCGAGGAGCTAGGAGGGAATCCTGATATCGAGTCACGCACTTGCGAACTACTTCCGGATGCTGCTGCTTTCACTGAAGCGGATTGCAACGCCGATTCTGGCGACAGAGTCCTTGTTCCCAACTGCTTTGCTTCTGTTCTCTAAATCACGGGAGGACTGGATATCAGAAATGCATTAGGAGAGTTGTGAGAAATAGGAAGCTACTATATGAATAGAAAACCTCTTGATAAGGTGTACTGAGATTGCAGAATGTGCTGCCCCAAGAAGTAAGAAGATTGCTCATAAATGAGTATACAGTCTAAAATCCTCTAAGTCCATACCAAATTATGCCAAGTTTAAAGCTATAGAACCTATACCAAGTTTGTATAAATGAAAAAGTCTACTTCTTCCAAAACAACAATTTCGTTTCCTTCTTGGGAACCCTGAGCAACCAATATGCCACTAACGCTGCGATGACATCGAACACGATAAAGACCCAGATGAGACCAAAGTTTCTCCATCTCTCAGTGTAGCGAATATTCAGAGTTCCAAGATATGTGTCAGTCGACGCAATCGGACAATAAAGGCAAGTCTGGTTCGCCCCCGGATTAGATAGAGCGCCACCTACCGCTTGAACGAACTGTCCGACATACTCCCCGCAAGTGAGATTTGCTGGCGTCTGGAACTGCAGAAACTCAATTTCTGAGCAGGCCACTTCTTGCTTGCCAACGCCGTTCGAGATCATGGCACCAATGAGGTATGTTAAGGGAGAGACACGGTACATAAAGGTCCAGAATCCAGGGAGGCCCGAGTATGGAACGAGGACACTGTGCTGATGTTAGAAGACCAAAACAGCCATGGAAAATGGTTACTTACCCGCAAAACACTAGAGACATCATGAAAAGGAACAATCCAAGCGTCGCTCCAACCTCCGCAGTCGGAGCCCCAGCAACAGCCATGTGCGCAAACGTACCCTCATACACCATAAACGCCCACGTCAAGAGGAACATGAACGCGCCACGTTCGTGCTGCGTATCTGTAACACGGCCGTTGTCGTACATACCAACGAGAAAGTAGAACGGGAAGTAGATCGCCAGAGAGGCCGCAGAGTTCCAAGCCATTTCGACGACTGTGTTGGCGAGGATGAGGTTGTACCAAGCATATGTCTTTGAAGACCTCTCGCGTCCTTCGTAGAGTGTTCGTTGGGTGACGAAGCCGGGCATGGTTTGGTAGGTTAGGAATGCGAAGATTATGAGGAGCATGAAGATGGAGAAGAGTTGGTTCTGGAGACCTTGGAGAGATAGCGGGGAGTTTTGGAAGGAGAGGCCGATGAAGAGGCTCTAAGATATATGTTAGTAAGAGTTTATAAAGGATCAGTGGCTGACTTACCGTGATGAAGCAAAGAGATAGTTTGGAGTAGATGTAGGTCGGCGTTCGCCAGTATTGCTGCGCAACGCGTTGAGTGCAAGCTAGGAACTGCTGAGAGACCGAAGCAGCGTAAGAGGTATCATGTGTATCTGCTTCGCTAGACACATGCCTAGACTGTGTCAGGTTGTCAAGCTCCTTCTGCACACGTTGGAAGTCAGAACTCGATTTCCAGGTCTCGACCCAGTCACGATCCGTATGAGCACCCGGTGCAGCACCGATAACGTGTAGCATCCACTCAGCGGGATTCTCTTCCGGTCGGCAGCGTACAGCATCATGTCTCTCAAAGTATCCCGTCAAGGCAGTAGCATTCTCACCAATGTCGCCAAAGTAAACAGTCCTGCCACCTTTCGCCAGAAGTAACAGCCGGTCAAATTGCTGAAAGATGATGCCGGATGGTTGGTGAATGGTACACAGGATAGCGAGCCCGTGGTCTGCGAGCTTCTTGAGAAGGGATACGATTTCCCATGCTGTTTGACTATCGAGGCCGGAGGTAGGTTCGTCAAAGAAGATGAGGACTTCGGGTTTGGCGACGAGCTCTACACCAATGGAAAGGCGCTTTCTTTGCTGAACGTTGAGACCTGATTTGTTAGTCATAGACAATAGATATAGGTTGGTAGAGTGACATACCTTTACCTGGAACTCCTATAACGGCATCCGCGTAAGGACCCATCTCCAACAGGTCGATCACCTCTTCAACATAGCTGATCTTGTCCTGCATGGAAATAGTAGATGGCTGTCTGAGAACTGCACTGAAACGGAGGGCTTCCCTTACGGTGGATGTCTCGAGGTGGATGTCCTGCTGCTGCACGTAGCCCGTAGTTCTCTGAAATGACTTGCCACGCGATAGCCCATTCACAAGGATGTCGCCCGTGATGACTCCCATGTTGACGCGATCAGCTAACACATCGAGAAGTGTGGTCTTGCCGGCTCCAGTAGCACCCTACGAATGTTAGCCCACGTCTGTGCTCAGTGCAAACCTCCCCTCGGGGAGCAAGAAAACATAAGACTCCCTGCCACATACCATTAAAGCAGTGAGCTTTCCTGGCTGAACCCAGCCATTAACGTCCGAAAGGATGCGGCGTGTCTCGCCCTTGACCTGCACATCATAGCAGACATTTCTCCAGCAAAAGGTAGAAGAGTTTGGTGGTTTCTCAGTCGACATGTGGACCGTGTCATCGCTCGTCGCTCGCGGAGTCTGTAATTCGGCATTGACAGCCTCCTCATCCGATGTCCACTTGCGCCGAGGCTTTTGAGCCTTGCGGAATACCAAGATCTCACCCTTGGAAGCTTGGGATGCGAAGTACTCCGCCGAAAACAGATAGGTGAAGGTAAAGACGATGATGAAAGCGATGAGGATTCCGTAGTTCCTAACCTGGTTAGCAGCTTTTAAAGAACAAGTGTCGTGACGTACCTCCAAAGGTGCGAGTAGTGGTACTTGTAAACAGTCCCAATATAGAAATCACCGTCGATGAAATCACGACCTGTTAGTGCCCCAGCAACGGAACAGGTCCGCTGCATCGGCTCAATATTCTCGTACCCCGGACCAGAAGGTATCATAGTCTGACATCCAAATGACCTACCCGAGAACTCATTCGCGATCAGAGACTCGTAGGCGTAAGCGATTGGGTTCACGTAGTTGATCCATCGAAGCCAGCCCTTCATGCTTCGAATCGGGAGAACGAATCCAGCGTAGATGACCAAGCCGATGATGAAGATGGCAGCAGGAACGAGGGCTTGATGTACTGTTTTGGAAGTCTGGGCAATGGTGCGAAGAATCATTGACATTGTCATGGTAGTGGTGAAACCGAAGAGGAGAAAGATGAAGAAAGCTGAGACATCGCGACGGAGGTGCACCATGAAGTACAGCGGAATGTTGAAGGCGAGAGTTGAGATGATCTTGGACGGTAGATCGCAGATGATTGAAGAAACAGACTCGGAAAGAGGGCGGTATAAAGCGTATCTTGCGTGTTTCTCCACGATCGGCCGCTGGACATAGAGAGCAAGGATCTACACGGTCATCAGTAAGAATAAGCAAGGTAAAGTAGTTAACATACCTCCAAGGCACTGCTAAGGCCGTTGAACAGAATAGCAAAGAAAATCACCGAGGCTCGTTGGTTCATAGCCTCAGCTGTGCTGGGTAAGTCAAAGTAAACACTACCAAGAACAAGAGCCATGACGAAGTTGACTGCAATAGTAACAACGAAAAAGGTCTTGTCGCCGAGAAGTCTCTTAACACCTCGGCCGATACATAAACGGATCTGCATTGGGATAGAGACGGTAAAAGGGCTCTTGTCGGAACTGCCATCCTGTCAGCACCCATAACACTCTTCATTCTGAAACTTGCGCACGTGTACTTGGCCTTTTGGGCTCTTCTGATACCCTGTAGCGTCTCAACTTGTTTCCCGTCAAGAGGATACTGAATGTTAAACGCAGCAATGTCATTTAGAAGGGAAGCCCTGTGTTGACTCATCCGCCACTCGTCGGCGAACTCATCGGGACTGCGGGGTACTTTATTCTCAAAACCGGGTCGCACGATTCGTTCGCTGGGGTTTGTGAGGGATGTTAAGAAATCGGCTGTCGTTTGGCGGGGAGGACACTCGAAACCCATGGTGATAAAGTATTGTGTCGCTTCGCTTGCTGGGCCGAAGAAGATCTGGCGGCCTTCGTACAGGAGTAGAACCTTATCAAACTCCTATCATGATCGTTAGATTTCTGTTGGGTGCCAGGATTGAGGGTATACTTGCATTGTATGCTGCCTGGCTGGCCTGATACATCGCAACAATCGCACTAGCACCACCAAGCTTCGTGCCAAGTCTCAACTTCCTCACAAACTCCAATGCCGTGGCACTATCCAAACCCCTCGTGCTATTATCCCAGCATTGAATAGCGCTCTGGTTCAGAACCGCCTCTGCAATACTAACCCTCTTCCTCTCACCGCCACTAACGCCTCTGACAAAGTCATCGCCAACCTTGGTGTTGAGCGTGTTGGAGATACCAAACATGGCCATTACAGCATCTCTCATGTTTTCGGCGTAGACATGGCGGGATATGTTGGCGATGATGTGCTGGGGCGTGCGGGCGAGGGCGGCGAAGAGGAGGGTGTCGCCGACGGTTAGTTGGGGGAAGTGGATGTCTGTTTCGGCTTGGTAGATCACTTCTCCTCTGAAGTTGCGGTGCATTAGATCCCATGGGATGCCTAGAAGATTAGATCACGTTACGCAGCATAGTTAGGGGAGAGTACCTTGGTAGTTGAACTCCGATGAGTCGTCAAGGTGAAGTCCGTGAGTATGTCCAGCGATCGTCTTGAGGAGTGTAGAAACACCACTGCGCCTTTACGTCAGAATTGCATTAGTCGTTAAAAGAGTAACATACCTTCCCGGACGACCCAGCACAAGCAGTAACTCCCCACTCTTAACAAGCCCATCAAAATCCGATATAATCTTGACCTTCTGCTTCCTCTTGGCAAACCAATCAAGCGCAGCAAGGGGACTTCTCCAAATAAAATTAACCACATCTTTCTGAAACTCAGTCGGATCGCTGAACCCATGCACACCCAGATTTCTCCAAGACACACCAGCTGTATACCGCGGATGCTTGCTCGGGTCCTTGGAGAAAGCGTGAAGCAGAGCCCTGACCCACGACTCGGGCTCGAAATCGGCTGATTTCGGGTCGAGGCGCGAGTCCTGCGCGAGGAACGGGTTGATGTTGGTTGAGAGGGCGGAGAATGTACGGGTGAGAGAGAATCTGCGGGCGAGTTGGAGGACGGGCTCGGAGGTTTCTTCGACGGTTGTGTCGGCCTCAGTGTCTTGGGGGGTAGAAGGGGGCGTAAGGTCATGCATTTCGACGTAGTAGTGAGTAAAAGATAGATTAAACGAGTGGATTGTACTTTTCCGTGTTGTAAGTCAGAGAGAAAGGAAGACGAGGTGCTGGTTCATATAAAAAGAAGTCTACGAAATGGCCTTGATACGTCATCATCGTGAGTCCGCATTCTTGTAATTTCCGAAACACGTTTTCAAGTATTCCAAACCATGTTTAATGCATTGTATGCCCATTACGATATCTCAACGCCGTTCGAGATTTCATTCTCCCAGTCTCTTATCAAGTCTTCACATGCAACCCCGTTCAAATCCCGGCACTAACCTGAACACGGTATCATCCACTCCACTTCTTTCTCTCTCTAAACCCAACACGGAATGTCGGCGCCGAAACATCAGCCTCATCTTTCTCCCTTAAACTTGCTCGACGCCGTCTGTCTTCTCCGTTCTCACCTCTTCTTTCTATCGACGCTTCCAAAATGCCGCCAACTCCGCCTCTTTCCGAACGTCGACTCCGGAGTACACTAACTTCCAAAGCTTGTGATTCTTGCAAGGCTAGAAAGATCCGCTGTTCCGGTTAGTGAATGGATTGGGCTTAGGCTTGGCTAGAGTTTGAGGCTGATTTTACAGGTTACCCTCCGCCGTGCCAGAGTTGTACCGTGAGTGGATGCCAACAGCTGCAGAGTTGGATTGAGATTGACGTGCATAGATCCGAGGCGCGACTTGTCAGTTCGGGACACGGAAAATACCACTTAGGAAGAACGGTGCGTCACCGACTTCATCCAAGTTTTGATCCTGTCTAAAACCTGATAGTTAACCGAAATCTACTACTTACTACCAGCGAAGCAACACCAAACATCAAACTCAATGACGCCAGCCCTACTGCTCGGAATCTTGTGGTATGTCTCATCAAATATTTTCCCTCCTTTTGAACTAACTTCTCTAGCCTGATTCAGATCTGAAGCAGGGTACCGCATTTCCTATACAGAATGATCTTTTTATAGATCGCATCCTGTTTGGGTCATCATCAACAGATGTCCCAAATGCTGATGAGAGATTCTCCCTGAAAGTGAGTAACATGCCCTGACGATGAACAAGACTAACATGGGAATAGGGAATAGGCCTTTTGAGTACATCTTCCAGCACTTCGGATCGCCTATAGCGCTCGCTAATATTTATTAGACGGCACTCACAGTGTCACGTTCTTCTCAGACAGTAGACTCGAGATGCTTTCGGCCAAGCTTCAGAATAACAAGGTCAATGACCTCATCCGGCGAATGTCTTCAGTAATCAACAACAGGGCCAAGATAACCACCAGTACCTCACCTGAGCATCTACCTGAGCTACCCCTTCCATTGATGAATCATTTATCTACTGCCAGATATATAGCTAGTATGTCAACTACACTGAAATGGGGTGTATCATTGAACTAATTCACTACAGTATACTACGACCAAGTCCATCCTCTCTTCCCTCACCTTGATCGCGAAAGCTTCGACTCCACCATCACAAGCCCTGACTTCAGCACAATCCTCGTCAACGACACAGCTTTCTCTGCTCTATATCATTCCGTCCTTGCCCTCGGTAGTCTCCACGACGGAGGCGGTAGCTTTGAGCCTGGGAAGGGAAAGGCATGGGAACTGCTCTCCGTCGCACTAGCCAAGGTGCCTGATCTCCCCAAGGCCAAGAACTCACTCGTCGCTCTCCAAGCAATAACGACAGTCGCTGTCTATTGCTTGGGGGTACCGTGTATATCAATTGAGCATAGGATCATGACGGAGATGGCTCGCATGGCTCAAGATCTAGCACCCTCTCTTTGCAAAGGCCCCTGTGCGAAGGCGTGCTACAGGGTGTTTTGGGTTATTTATACAATAGAGAAAATAATGAGCTTCCACTTTGGCCGTCCTTCAGTAGGTAATCCCATGATACTCTTGGTCCTCTAGCTCACTATCATAGGCCATCATCGACGCTAACATCATCGTGCCTATGCCCTATGTACCCGAGTCTCACCTTGGAGCCCTGAACTGGACACACATACTCGCTCAGCAGAGCCGTCTCTTGTCTAGAGCGATGAATACCCTCTTCTGCCCTGGTGTCTGTCACAGGGGATCTCATTACTTTCTGACGACCATTGATCAACTCCTCGACGACCTTGAACAGTGGAGAGCTTCTATCGCAGAGGACTTTCGTCCAGGATATACCTCGCAGTTGAGTTTGCTTCGTAGACCAGTGCACGGTACAGTTGGGATTTGGATCAACTATCTCTACTACAGTCTTAAGCTCATTTTGCTCCGGAGCAGGCTACAGATTGACAGCTCTCAAGGCAGAGGAGGGGGCAAGACCAATCATAGTGATCAGCTGATCGAAGTTTCTCGGTCCGTTCTCGAGATTGTTACATACGTCGACGTTGAGCCATCAACACCACTATGGTCAGTCCTGTTAGTGAGCTGAGCCACCCTATATGCTGACCAATCTCTAGGATCATCGCAGCTATCCCATTGTGTGCTCTCTTTCTTCTTTTCGACCACGTTATCAGCAACCCGAAGTCTCCAGACACAAGAAGCAATCTCGCTCTCCTCAACATCGCGGGAGGACATTTTAGTCGCCTTGAGTTTGCAAGTGGAGGAACGTTGCCTGGCTCGCTTATCAGCGAGTTTACATATATCGCCCGCGAATACATCAATCAATGCGACAATCACGACTCACTAAAAGGGACCCAAAACACGATTCCCTCTATAGACCATAATCCCTCAGTGGACGAATCTGGTACTACTGGAGTAAGCCACAGTCTAGAGCAGGAGGTAAGTCGCTGTCTCATCGCCGTTTTTCTGGATCTAATCATTGCAGTTCGAGATGGCTCAGGCTACAGTACTGAACTCTACGTCGCTTATGGATCCTATCTATGCGCCGATAGAAAGTCTCTGGGACAGTGGAAACGATCCGTTGTATGGTATAGATGTGATGAACCTTTTCAATAGTATTATGTAAGAGTAATCTGCGAAGATAGAGCTAGATGGCGATAGATCGGAGGATTAGAGGTTAGATAACAGATGAACCCAGGCTGGCACCAGGGAACTTGTCCTTAATTCCATCCTCAAAACTCTGTCCACTAACGGTTAAGTCCTTGAAGGCTGGACAAGCGAGGTTCAAGACTGCAGATCCAAGAGCATCAGTGATGAGTTCGAGGGGAGTTGCGATGATAGAGAACAGAGTCGAGAGAGAGTTTGGTGCAACGGTCTTGACGATCTCGAAGACGAAGCAGAGCAGGTTGTTGCCCTCGAGAAGCTTGGTGAGGTTCAGGACTCCGCCGGTGATGTTGCTTACGTCAACGCCAGCGTAGCTGTTGACTTCTCCCATGTTACCTCCGATGCTGTATACGTTAGTATATACTTTTGTGTTTGTATGGGTTGACTAACCTTCCGAGCTCAGGGTACTTGGTGATCAAGTTGAGGAGATCCAAGTTGAGACTGATGAGGCCATAGTCAACGGACCTACGGTACCAGTTCTCGGGGATTCTCTCCCAGCCACGTTTATACACAAGCTTTCCATCTTTCTCTTGAACAGCAAAGAAGCTCTTCAGTGTTCCAAGGTCTATCTCTCATCAGCAAATTGATCGTAAGGTCTGAAGCATCTGACTTACCCATGATGTCCTCCGTGCTTCCAACAGTATGGTTCGACAGCATCCGACAAGCAAAGAAGTACCCCGCATTTCGCGCAATCATCCCCGTGAAAGGCCCATAGTAAAAGTTAGGATTCGTAGCAACAGTCTCATGGAATCGGGTCTTGGCTCGCTTTGCAAAAGCGTCAAAGTCATAAGTACCCTCCTTAGAAGCCGAGTCGTAGAGCGACTGAAAGAGCCTCATGTCCATGGTAGACGCATCTCCAGTGACGTACAAGTCATCCCGTGTGTTGGACGAATCACCTTCGATGATGTTGTGTGAACCGTTCAGACCCCGTGGTGTCCCCAACAGCCCGAAGAGGTTACCCAGAATATTTTGCGAGCCACTCGCGGTGTTACCGATGGAGAAGCCTGGGTTGAGAGACAGAGGGTTTCCGACAAAGACCGTACCCATTGTTGCCAGAATGGTGGCCAGGTCTACTCCCATTCCGTAGACTTGATTGATAGCACCCGCTACCTCGACGAGGCTTGTAACGCCCTTACGGCTGATATATCCATGGTTCGCCAGCGCATTGAGACCAGGACAAGGACCTCGTTGATCACCCTTCTCAAAGTTGGGCGGGATGAATTCGTGCTCGCCAGTTACCTTGATAGGCTTGCTCGCGAGACCAAGCGCAAGTCTCTTATCATGACTTCGAACTGCATCGTTCACTTTCCCCGAGAGTCTTGCAGAAACGACCTTTGCGACAGGGCCCTCGAGGTATGACGGGAAGCCATACACACCAACGCAGAGGAGCAATGAAAGAAAGTAATGCCACTGCATGATGAGTAGCTAGCTAGTAAATGAGCGTAACAAAAAAAACGAATGTGTGAAGAAAAGTGAAAAGAAATGCCGAGAGGATTGGAAAAACATACGATATGTTTGGCTAGCTATCTTGTTCCCTATCTATTGCGCAATCATATTCCGCTCCCGTCGATATTAAGATCTGCCTGCCCCCTCTCCTGACAGGCTGCATAATCCGAGTATCCGCCTCAACCAGGTCTATAGACAAACCACGGAACCGGGACAAGCATGCCGGTAGGTGCAAAAGCCAGCCACTTTCGGTAATTGAGTGAGAAACATGACTTGGGTCGAATTGGGGAATTACTCCCGTTGGAGAAAGTCTGTGCCTAAAGGACATTGGGCGGGCGTTTCACGATTTCTGGTTTGAGTTCCCCGATGTGACGCTGCTTTATGAATGGGGATAAGTTTTTTGTGAAGTGCCGGCTTTGGAGGAAAGCTAAAATAACGCATGACATTTGTGTCTCGGGTGGTCAATGCAAGTTGCTCGAGCAATTCAGTCTGTGCGAAGTAAATCACGAGTCAGCGCGAATTGTCCGACAGCTATCGTGACATAAACAGCATGCAGGTCAATTCTGACAGAAGGATCCAAATCGCTGGGAATCACGCAAGCGAACTTGGCTTTTCCCGGCGGAAAGGAACCAGTGGAACCTGCTCACACTACCACTTCATCAGGGGTCAATCCTTCTAGACAAACGTAAGGATTACCCTACCCCCCCCCCCCACACCCAGCATCCCCTGCCCGAAAAAAGAAAGCAGAAAAGTCGGGCTGACAGTGTAACATTCCAGAGCAAGTTTTCCCTTCGCTACAGTGAACTTTGGTTATCAACCAGGTTCATATATTGAGATTGCCGACTAGCTTGCGAGCTGCTCATGGAGTAGAGTATCATCGTTCAGAGCAACATAAACAGGCAAACAAACATCCATAGCAGAACCAGCTCTTTGGCTCGGTGCTGATCACCAGGATATCCTGTCCCGAAACATTCCTCATCATCTCTTAAACATGTTGTTGTTTTTCCTCTGCTGCACGTTAAGCTGATTTGAAAGGGACAAGTCCACCCGACCTGCTTCTCTCTTCTTCTTCTTCTGTCATTCTTCGCTCCGAGGGAGAAAAAAACTGCCCAAGCCGTTTATGGTCTTTTTGATCCGGTTGGCAATGAAGCTTCTTGGTCCGCTGGCACTAGTGCTGGCTTTATTTCAGCTTGGTGTATCGGCCGCCGCGGCGCCCGAAGAGCCTCCAACTTGTGGTGTAGGTGAAGCTTTTCTACCATCGAGATGCGGTTGGCTAAATCGTGCATAGGCGCTTTGTATTGAGGAGGAAGCCATCAAGTCGCCTTGTGGTCTGAACACTACATGCATCTGTACAAACGTTGAGCTTAATGAGAAGATCTCGCTTTGCGTTGCAGCGAATTGCACTGTGAGGGAGAGTCTGTGTAAGTTTATTCTCAGCTGTACCACGTTATCTCAAGGTTGCTGATTGAGTGTTTAGTGGTTCAAAGCTACTCCAAGCATACTTGCCACGCGCCATCTCGCGATCGCACAACGCTGGTATGGGTTATTGGTATCGTCTTTCTTGTTCTCGGCCTCGTCGGCTTTGGTCTGCGTGTAATGGCCAGAGTGTTTGTCGTTAAGCAGACATGGGGATCCGACGATTGGGTCATGCTGTTTGCAGTAGTATGTGTCACCGCCTGTCTCTGCAATGCCAGCAGCTCACTTTTGTATAGGCGCTCATGATACCGCTCAATGCTCTGTCTGTGCAGAGTAAGTCCATACTTTTCGATTGCGTCAAGTCACTGCTAACTGATTGACAGTCTCACGGGTCGGACTGGGTAAAGATATATGGAATGTTCAACCAGACGATATCACCGACTTCCTATACGTGAGTCCCATCTCCCTCCGTCACATTCACCTCACTGACACATACCAGCTATTCTTCTGGGATGAACTTCTCTATTTAGGAGCGCTACCGGTCACCAAGATCTCCATCCTACTCTTCTACCTCAAGGTCTTTCCGGGTAAAAACATCCGACTGGCATGCTGGATCTTTATCGGCCTTAACGTCGCATACTTCATCACCTTTGAGCTTATTTCTATCTTCCAATGCAGACCAATTGACGGCGCTTGGAAGGCCTGGGACAAGGAGTACAAGGCCAAGTGCAACAATATCAACCTGCAGGGCTGGTTTGCGGCAATCTTGAACATTGTTCTCGATGTTGGAACCATGGTCATACCGCTGAAGGAGCTTTATGGGCTCTCGATGTCGCTGAAGAAGAAGATACAGCTCATGCTCATGTTTAGCGTCGGTATTTTGTAAGTTTCCCTCCTCAACGCCATTTCTCTCACTAACATTTCAGCGTCACAATCGTCAGTGCAGTCCGCCTACAATCTCTCGCAAGCTACGCAACAACCAGCAACGTAACCCGTACTTCTCCCCAATTCCCCTCCCACTTTCCGTTCTAACACATCCACAGAGGACTATGTCGAAATCGGGTACTGGAGCACAATCGAAGTCCCCGTCGGCATAATCTGCGCCTGCATGCCCGCCATCCGCGCCCTCTTCGGCATCGTCTTCCCCAAGGTCTTCGCCTCCACGAACCGCAGCAAGAACAGCTACGCCAACATCTCGGAGTCGAAGCAACCAACCGGTGACAGAAAGGGCGGCGCTACGCCGCAGATCACCATCGAGACGGAGATCTCGACAAGGTACTCGCGCCACCACGACGACTCGTCGGTAATTGAACTTACGCAGATGGGAAGGGAGCAGGCCCACGAGGAGACTGCGTGGACGGATAGGAGGCCGGCTGTTCCGTCTGAGCCTGTATAATTGTGTCGATCATCGTGTCATTTGATGGGACCTGGAAAAGTTTAGTTAGTGTCTCCCTGACTCACTCATTGCTGTCTAGAATTGAGATTTCTTTGTCGTTGATTATGTTATCCACTAGTGACTAAATCTAAACCAAAAGGGTGCTTGGGGCAGAGGTTATTGTTGAGGCTTACACGCTTATGGCTGCGATCGTCCGGGGAAATGTTTCACTAACTGACACCGTCGCACAGACGGGACCAGCATGCCTGATCCCCGTATTCTAGCTCAACGGTCAGCCCTGCTGTAATGAAATGGGCGATATTAAATGTTCTAGACTGAGCACGCTGCACATCGTCATCCACGGCTCGGGCAGATCCCCAAAGTCTATGGGAAACTGTGCTACCTGAAGTCTGTTATTTTTGGCACCCTCTCATTTCACTGAGTTATACCGCACTTGTACCACCCATTTCATGACAATTGTTTCCCTTGTCAAGATGACAGGTGGAATCTCCGCATCCTGGTCGAATGCTACTCTGACCACGTTGCCCTGTCACTAACCAAAATACGACGGCATTTCAAGTTCCCCTCTGCCCAACTCCACCGCGATTACGACTGTAACGCACGAGTACGACCTTGCGCCTTGTTAACTCATTAGTCCAGGGGCTTGCGAACTCAACGTCTCCGCCTTGAGTTACTTCGTCTACCTCTCGTTCCTTTTTTCTCTCGGGCAGTAGAAGGATCCCGTTAATCTACTCTATCGAGGGCGCACTCAAACCTTCGCCCGCTCTTGATAAGCGGAATCGATCAGACTCACAAGTTCCGCTTTCATACCGACGTTTCCATCCGGATGTGCAAGGCCGAATGTGTGCTTCTGTTCCTGGAATACCTCCTGGCGATCTCTTTTGCAGGCGGGGTCTGGTAGTACTTTGGGCGGCAGGGTCCTAATTTCTCCTCTTTATTATCTACCTGGCGCGGCACGGCATTTGGAATTCTGGTTTCATGCTCTAGGAAGCCGTCCATTCATTCTATTCCATCTTTTGGGTTTTCTAAGTGCTTGGCGCTGAGTAGCCAATATGCGTTTGTCGTTCATTATCACTTGCATTTCTGTTCTGGCTGATTCAGCCTCTGCCTTGTAGGTTCCCCAGTCTGTCGGTCACTACATCTCACTCACTTTCGTTTTGGCAGTTCTGTACCATGGAGCTCTTCACCCAAGGAGCATAATCCATTCATCGGTAAACGCGATACCGCGGTTGAATACGACTATGTAGTCGTCGGTTCTGGCGCCGGTGGTGGCCCTGTCGCCGCCAACCTTGCCGTCGCTGGCTTCAAAGTCCTTCTCATCGACGCTGGCGGTGACTCTGGCGATGATTGGGTCGAGAAGCTTCCCGCCTTGCATCTCATGTCGACTGAGTTCGAGGACACACGATGGAACTACTTCGTGAACCACTACCCTGATGCCACGCAACAGAAGAAGGATTCCAAGATGGTCTACCAGAAGACCGATGGTAGCTACTATGTTGGACTCACCCCACCTAAGGATGCAAAGCCTTTGGGTATTCTTTATCCTCGTGCTGGTACTCTCGGTGGTTGCACACGTCACAATGCCCTCATCACCATCGCTGCTCATGACAGTGACTGGTCCCATATCGCCAGTCTTACTGGTGATGACTCTTGGAACCCTGACAACATGCGCTCTTACTTTGAGAAGTTGGAGAAGAACATGTATCTCCCCAGCAGCATCATCGGTCACGGCTTCAGTGGCTGGTTGGGTACGTCTCTGACCTCACTGTCCTTAGTCATTGAGGATCAGAAGCTTCTATCTTTGATCATCTCGGCTGCTTCAGCCATGGGCAAAGGTCTTCTGGGTTTCGTGTTGAACACTGTCGCCGGCCTTGGTCAAGTCTTGCTTCGTGATCTCAATGCACCAGGCCAAACCAGCAAGACCGGTCTCTACCAGGTCCCACTGTCCATGACTGACAATGTTCGTGGTGGTCCCCGAGACTTTATCCTCAACACTGCCAAGGCTGTCAACAAGGATGGCTCTCGCAAGTACCATCTTGACATTAAGCTCAACACTCTTGTAAGTCGCTCGATACGTATACCGCCTCCGTACTCACATATTTGTAGGTCACCAAGATCAACTTCGACAAGAGCGGCTCCAAGCCTCGTGCGGTCGGCGTCAACTATATGCAAGGTGCAAGCCTCTACCGCGCTGACCCTCGCTCTGGCTCAGCCAAGCCCACCGGCACTGGCAGCGTCAAGGCCAAGCGTGAAGTCATCATCTCAGCTGGCTCCTTCAACACTCCTCAGCTTCTCAAACTCAGTGGCATCGGCCCCAAGAAGGAGCTTGATTCTTTCAAGATTCCTGTCGTGGTCGATTTGCCTGGTGTTGGTACCAACATGCAGGATCGATATGAGAACACTGTTATTGGCAAGACTAACAGTGACTTTGTCATCACATCCAAGTGTACCTTCCTAGAGACTCTGCCGGACCCTTGCTTGGAACAGTACAAGAAGGGTCTAGGTCCTATCACCAAGGGTGTGTATGGCACCAACGGTATTGCTATCGCCATTATCCTTAAGTCTTCTGTCGCTGAGGATGAGCCCGATCTCCTCATCTCTGGCGCCCCAGCCAAGTTTAAGGGCTACTTCCCTGGCTACGCCGTCGACTCACTCGCCGACGCCGAGCACTGGGCTTGGATCATCCTCAAGGCGCACAGCCGCAACAACGCTGGTACAGTCACTCTCAAGTCGACTGACCCTCGCGACATGCCCATCATCAACTTCAACTACTTCGACACTGGCGTCAACGGCAACGGAGAAGGCGACAAGGATCTCCAAGCCACATATGAAGGCTTCGAGTTCGCCCGCAAGGCATTTGACGACTTGATCCCTCTTGACGGCGAGTTCCCTGAAGTATGGCCCGGAAGCCAGACCAACACGGAGAAGAAAGCGAAGCAGTTCCTCAAGGATGAGGCATGGGGTCACCATGCTTCGTGCACTGCAGCTATTGGTGCTGATGATGATCCCATGGCTGTGTTGGACTCTGAGTTCAAGGTTCGGGGCACCGAGGGTCTGCGTGTTGTCGATGCCAGTGTTTTCCCCAAGATTCCTGGTTTCTATATCGCGCTTCCTTTGTATATCGTTGCTGAGAAGGCGAGCGACGTTATTATCAAGGCGGCCAAGAGTTCTTAGGACAGTTCGAGAAGCTAGCTAACCTACGCGCAGCGACAGCGTTGAACCCATGTAGTAGAGACACCACTGTACTAACACAGCCATCAAGTCAAACGGATATTTAATTCTTAAATTAATCTATATGAATATAAAGTTCACTCAATCGCCTATCGCTTCACCGTGTTTGTGTTACAATACTGTTAAACGCCATGCGACCGAGGGAATGTGTTGCTTTAGGGGGCCGTGTACCTTTAATGAGTTTCTACAAATATCTTGCAAGGCTTAGAAAATTTTAGATAAACTTTAGAGAACTCACCTGGTGTATTCTTTTATTCTCCTACTTCTTCTCAGTAATAAGCAATCAGTCGCCCATCTTCCATGAAGTCGTTAGGCAGCTTCTCATTAGGAGCATCAAAAAACCTTACACTAGGCCCCAGATGCCCAACAATACTATCCCTATCAGCCATAGCTTGTTTATGACTGTATCGTGTAGGCGGTGGGATATCCATGTCCTCATAATCCTGCCATTTCTGGGACCTTCTTTGCTTGCGCTCTAACCTCGGCGCACGAAACCGCTCGATGGAAAGTTCCCTTTGCATTCGATCGAGATCATCAAAACTTGGGAAGTGGTTGATATGCTTCGGATACAGCCTGTCGTTATCGAATAGTCCCCAAGCACGTTGACGATAAGTGGCAAGTTGGATGAGTTTCAACTTCTCGTGGCGTGCATTCCCAGGTGTGAATGTTGTGACTCTACCCCAGCGGATGGCGCCGCGGCCTTGCTGATCTCCCCGAGTTTCACTGTAGGAGCGAAATTCTGTCTCGGTGAGGCTGTTGGGGAGATGTTGGGTCCATTCGGTCGACAGCGAATAACGTAATGACCGTAGCCACGTTCTAAGAATTGAGTCGTGCCATGTCTCCTTTCTTACGCATACCAGTATTTGCATCAAGCAATCCAGACCACGAGAAGGCAACGATTGGGCCAAATATGATGCGCCTGTATCCACGTCTTGCGCATACTCTCTAGCATCGAGGTAGATATTGTCAGGGAATAGTAATCCGTACTCGGAGGGGACAGAATGCAGAGGCGACGGCCCTGTCTTGTACGATTCGGGAATATCCGGCAACCAAGAATTCGCACCATGTGCGAACAAAGCTCCGTAGACAGCTGTATAGTATTCATGGACAGACAGTAGAATCCTACAATCAGAGTCTCGACACATTGCAGCTAGTTGTCTTCCTGTGGCCATTTGTTCTTCATAATCTCTCTCCTCCAGATGGAAAGCCTTGCAAAGCAGCTCATATCTCGTAAAGGCAGATAAGAACCTATGCCGCTCAGCACTTGTCAGGGCCGTGAACTTGACGACGTTGGTTTCTAGTCTCCGCTCTTTAAAGTAGCTTCCGCTGCCGTCCACTACATCTGGGATGCCAAGGTAAGCTCTTGGAGGATAGACACTTGTTGCTTTTGAGACATAGTCCTCAATGAAGGGGACCATTCGGGTAAAAAAGCGCCAGCGGATCTGAAGCTGCTTAACGGTAAAGTCCGCTGGCAGCTCCATAGTTTGCCAGGATTTTATTTCTCTGTATCGTTTGGCCGAAGCTTGGTCTGAAATATGAATAATTATTAGAGCATGTCGAAGGATTTCGCTGGAAGTGCGAAAAGGAACAATGTCGTTCAGGATGTAGCGGATGACACCTTTCTTGTAAGTGACGAAATGCCATAGCATGGAGGGCGAGGCTTGAATTACCTGCTTGACACTTACATCAGACTGGAGATGAAAAAGAATCTCGGTCTGAATAAGTGATGGGAGTTTCGAGAATGGATCCATTGTTGATGCAGGGCGTGGGATGAACTTTAGAGTTCGAACTTTAGCATGGGACGAGGTGAAGAGGAGGATATAGTGAACGCGACAGACGGAGGGAGGACGGCTTCTTATAGTTGAGGGATCAGGTACCTAGATAAGCAAAATAAGCTCTCAAAGTGGGGAAATGGCTGCTTTGTGTAAGGTAAGGTACTGTAGGTGTCATGATCGTATTGAATCGCAGCCAAAAGTTTAACCTTATGGCGCAATCAGGTGGGTAGTTCCGCGGTTGTCAGGATGAAACATATAGAACAGCTACCTATCTATCTACTTCCTGGCCATAAGATTTAACTTTAGTCCGCCGAAAGGGACTATAACGGATCTTCCTTAGTGTTCTATACCCTGTGACGCAAACCCCATAAAATGTGTCAGGGGGATTGGCACAACGGTCCGATGACATTCGTGGTTCACTCTGACGTCAATTTGATACAACTTATTTATCGCCGAGCATCTCAACTGGGATACATGATTGGTGACGGCATACCGTATCAGATAAGCAGAAAAATCACCATCCTGATCTTTTGAGCCTCACATCGGAATTTTCTCCTTCATACCGCGACGTGACAAGTAAACCTTTTTCTTGGCCTCCAATAACCTTTCCATATCACCACGAGCGCAAGATTTGCCGCAACAATCCATCATGCCTGAAAGACAGATAGCAAAGGTGAGTGTAAAACACGGCACACTATCAACTCCTTACTAATCTCTATAATGAGCAGATCGGTATGGTAGGAATGGGCAGCATGGGCTCCATGATGTCCCTCCTCTTTGCTGAAAAGGGCTGCAAAGTCTACTACTTCGACATCAGTACGTGATATACCTCACCGTACCTTACAGCCGCTGACTATTTCCAGGTGAATACAATATGAAGGCGGCAGAAAAGATGGCCAAGGATGTCAACGAAGAAACCCGAGTCTTCCGCCAACACAGCTACCAACAGCTCTGCGAAGAAATCTACTCCGAAAACCACCCTCGGATCATTATCTTCAGTATTCCCCACGGAAACCCCGGCGATGAATGTGTCAAGGCTCTACGACCGTACATGACCAAGCGAGATATCATTCTCGACTGTTCAAACGAGTTTTACGGCAACACGGAACGGCGACAAGCGGATCTTGCAAAAGATGGCATTTTTTATATCGGGTGCGGCGTCTCAGGCGGTTATCAGAGTGCGCGATCTGGTCCGTCAATGTCACCAGGCGGCGACCCCCAAGCCCTCAAAATCATCATGCCGCTTCTCAGAAGAGTCGCAGCAAAAGATCGCGATGGAAAGCCATGCACCTGTCCCATCGGCCCAGGCGGTTCGGGACACTATGTCAAGATGATCCACAATGGAATCGAACAAGGCATGATGTCAGTTATTTCCGAAGTTTGGTACATCCTCACCAAGGGTCTTCAGCTTAGCTATGAGGAAGCAGCTGGTGTTTTTGAGAGGTGGAATCAGACACCGGAGCTTTACAATACGTTTCTGATCTATATCGCTGTTGATATCAACAGGACGAAAGATGAGGAGGGACGATACGCTCTGGGGAGGGTTCAGGATAAGGTAGTGCAGGATATTGATAACACTGAAGGAACGGGGACGTGGTCTTGTGAAGAGGCGGTGAGGCTTCATGTCCCTGCTGCGAATATCGTCAGTGCCCATCTGTTCAGATGTACATCGGCTGAACTTGGCCAGCGCACTGCTGATGCAGAGGCTTCTGGGCGATGGCAGCCTTCAGCAATGAAAGTCGCTTCGAAGGTTGAGTTCACCGAAGATCTTCGAAAGGCGACGTACTTTTGTCTACTGCTTTGCTTCACGCAGGGTCTGCAGATCATTCGCGAGATGGACCAGCAACGCGAATGGCACATCAACTACCGAGACCTACTACACGTTTGGAGCGCCGGGTCAATTATCCAAGCAGGTGGTATCATGGATCTTCTTTACAAAGTCTACAGCGAATCACCCGGTCAAAAGAACAACCTCCTATCGAACAGTCAACTTGAAAAGCAACTAACCTGCCTTCTCCCTTCAATGAAGCGATGTATCATCACAGCGTTGGAGGCTGACATGGTCATTCCGGCGATGAGCCAAAGTTTGGAGTACTATAAGTATTCAACTTCGGTAGATCTGCCCACTCAATTGACAGAGGCAGAACTGGATTACTTTGGCAATCACAAGTTTGACCTGAAGGAGGAACATCGAGGTGAACCGAGTAAGGGGAAGCACCATTTTGAATGGAAGCCAGCCAAGGGGGTGTCTGAAACTCGGCTTTGAGGATCTTAGATAGCCCGAGGGAGAAAGAACTGTTCTTATGTTAGATGAGGATGCCAAGATGAGCTAGTCTAAGGCTGAAGGAGATATACTAAAATTCCCGAAGTCTGTTCATGACTTAGAAAAGGTCCCAAATATTCGTGTCTCCCCCTTCAATACTCCCCGAATAGTCTCCGCAATAAAGTAAGCAATTGCAATTATCTCGCGAGATCATCATCTCGGCTCGGAGATACCATCGCGTCCTCGCGTCTTTCCAAACAACCCTGAGAAACTTTTGCTTACTTTCGGGCCGCGATCGGCATTCCCGTGCCGATGAGGTTATTCACAGATTATTCCCGGGGAATATCACTACGCCAACTTATCCGCTAACGGCTATCCATATCAGGAACAGCGAGTAAAGTCGCCACACGACTCGAGAGTAGTGACGTAACTACAACGGCCATTCCTTGACCGTCCCCACCTGATTGATGAATTTTTGCCTTGATGAGAAATTGAGTTTTGTTTATGGGCTCGGTGTTAGAGAACTAGTCGCCGAATCTGGCACCGATCATTTCTGATAAAAGTACACGACATTCCGCTTCATGATCCTCTCTCTTTTCGATCAAGTTTAGTGCAATGATCTTATGAACTAACCATGGAGAAAGTTGAAACTTCACATTCAGATCCCAACGATCATCGCGAATCTCATACTTCTCACAGCGATGAAGAATCATCCATATCATCATCCTCACACCACAACCATCAAAATGACGACATTTCGCGAACATACTCCCTCGGCGACACAGAATGGCAGAGCATCCGCGCCCCAAACACAGGAGTAAGCATGACGCGAACTGTGTCGCGGCGAGAATCTGTTCTATCGCGGATTCGATCACGGCCTGTCCCTGTGTTTACGCATCCTCTCGCGCACGTCAAAACCACAGAGGATCAGCTCGTTGACTTTGACGGGCCTGATGATCCGTACAGACCGATGAACTGGCCTAACAAGAAGAAGATCATTACTACCATGCTGTACGGGTTGGTTACTATGTCAGCGACGTGGGCGTCTTCGTCGTATTCGTCTGGTACGGCGCAAGTAGCAGCGCATTTCCATGTCGGCACCCAAACCGCTACTCTAGGCACGACGTTGTTCCTTGTTGGTTTTGGAATTGGGCCTTTGCTTTGGGCGCCGCTGAGTGAAGTCTACGGACGACGACAGGCGGTGCTCATCCCAATGTTTATAGCGATATGCTTTAGCTTCGGAAGTGCCGTCGCAAAAGACTTCCAGACGCTGATGATCACGCGATTCTTCTGTGCGTTCTTTGCCTCGGCGCCTGTCACGAATACAGGTGGTGTTCTAGGCGATTTGTTTCTACCGTCGGAGAGGGGAATTGCTATGGCGGGGTATGCCATGGCTGTCGTTGGAGGTCCTGTTCTCGGTAAGTCCAACTTTTATAGTTTGTGAGGATTGTCTTGGCTGACGGTTTTGTCTTAGGTCCTATTGTTTCAGCTGCTGTTGTGCAGGACCCGAGTCTTGGCTGGCGGTGGACTGAGTACCTTACTGGTATTGTGCAGATCATCTTTTTAACACTGGCTGTTATTTTTGTTGATGAGAGTTATCCACCGAAACTTCTCATCTACAAAGCTCGACGCCTACGTCACGAAACAGGTAATTGGGCGCTTCATGCGAAATTCGAGGAATGGGATGTTAGCATCAACGAGCTCGCACGAAAGTTCTTGGTCAGGCCCGTTCAGCTCCTCATGACGCCTATTTGCTTCCTTGTTGCGTTGTATGCCAGTTTCTGCTACGGTATTCTGTACATGCAACTTGGCGCCATTCCCATTATCTTCAGAGAGATCAGAGGCTGGGGTATTCTGGTATCTTCACTGCCTTTCATCTGCATTCTCCTCGGAGCCATTCTCGGATGCGGAGCAAACGTATACAACCAGCTCCTCTACAACAAAGCCTACCACGCAGCTGGAAACCGCGCTGTCCCCGAAAAGCGTCTTCCTCCTATGATGGTCGGCTCCGTGATTTTCAGCGGCGGTCAATTCCTCATTGGATGGACTGCTCAGAAGGATATTCACTGGGTCGTTCCCTGCATTGGTCTTGTCTTGTTGGGAACAGGCTTCTTTACCATCTTTCAAGCTGCGCTGAACTACCTCGTCGATACGTTTACTATGTACGCTGCTTCAGCTGTTGCGGCCAACACCTTTCTTCGATCTTGTTTCGCAGCTGCTTTTCCGCTGGTGGTTGGACCACTGTATCATAATATTGGTGTTGGACCTGGGTCTAGTATCACTGGTGGTTTTGCAGCTTTGTTGATTCCAGTTCCGTTTGTGTTTTATATTTATGGAAAGAGGATCAGGGCGAGATCCAAGTGGTCAAAGGCTTCGGTGTATGACTGAAGAAGCGCCGTTGCGAAGAGAAGATATGAAAGATTGACAAAATAAATTTATAAATAGTCTAAGATTGCAGTAATACCCCAAATATAATAAACGCCATACTCATCTATGTATGCTCCTATTTGTTACCAACTTGCTTGTTCCATAACTCCTTGTACCTTCCGTCTATTGAGATCAACTCGGTGTGTGTACCAGACTCAATGACCTGTCCATTGTGAATAACCAAGATCTTGTCCGCGTTGACAATAGTAGATAGTCGATGCGCAATGACAAACGTGGACCTTGCACGTTTCAACTCATCCAAAGCACCCTGGATACTTGACTCTGTATTCGTGTCAACCGCACTAGTTGCCTCATCAAGAATCAAGATGGGAGGATTCTTGAGGAACACTCGAGCGATTGCTAGTCTCTGAATTTCTCCTCCTGATAGCTTGACACCCTGTTCTCCAACCTTTGTGTTGTATCCATCGACGAAGCTGAGAATCTTTTCGTGGATGGCTGCAGAGCGACAAACGGCGTAGATCTCCTCGTCTGTTGCTGAAGGTCGAGCGTAACGCATGTTCTCAAGGATCGATGCGTTGAAGAGAAGTGGGTCTTGAGGTACTACACCGAGAGCATTTCTCAGTGAGCTAAGAGTGATGTCCCGAATATCGTAGCCATCGATGGTAATAGACCCCTCATCAATATCGTAGAATCGAAGAAGAAGCTTCATGATAGAAGACTTGCCAGCTCCCGTCTCCCCAACCAACGCAACAGTCTGTCCAGGCTCAACTGACAGAGAAAGGTCTTGGACCGTGGGTTTCCGAGGATCATAAGAGAAGCAAACATCATGGAATGCAACACGTCCCTCAACCTTCTCTAGCTCCTTAGCACCCTCCTTGTCAGTGATAGTGGGCTTCGTCTGCAGCAGATATAGCAGACGTTCAGCATCGACAAGATCTGACATGAGCTGTCTGTAACTATGAGACAGGAACTTCAATGGCCAGACCAAGTACTCCCAGTACTGAAGGAAGAAGACAAAGTCGCCGGGCGATGATCCACCTTGCCAAACATCGTAAATGACAAGAGTCGCTAGTGTAAAGAATGTGCAGGGGATGAGAGCGTTGAGTAGTCCCTGGATGTAAGCGTCTCTCTTCTCGTAGTTCAGACCAGCAGATAATTGCTTAGTGACAGCAGATCCAAAGCGATACTTCTCATAGTTGAACATGTTGAAGTAAGTGACAGTCTGCCAGCCCTGAACAGCTTGATGCATAACACGAACTTCTTCTCTCTTGGACTTTGTCGATTCTCGTCGGTTATCGAGATTCCAGCCTGTGGCCTTGACTTCAAATGTGACGAAGAGGACTGAGCCAATGGCCATAGCGAGAGCGACGTAACTGTTGAACTTCCAGTAGAGAAAGACAAAAGCGATAGCCAAGTCGACGACGGTAGGTAGAATTTCGATGATAAGCATGTCAAGCACATTGGTTAATGCCTCACCCTGTTCAATAGCCTTCATGACCTCCGCGGAGTCACGCTCAGAGTGAAACTCCATAGGCAGCGACAGAACATGGTTGAAAGCTGCATTCGTGAGAGATCGGTATGAGAACTGCTTGATCGGGATTTTGGACAGTGACTGGATAAGTCCAACGACGACATCGTGAGAGGCAAGGCTCATGATAAGCCAGATGAACAAAGCGTGGAAGGGATTCTCCTTCGCGAGGAGTTGATCAGCCACGATGCCCAGTTGGCGAGGAACCAAAATGTTAAAAACTCGAGTAGCCAGGATACAAAAGAGAGAGACCAGAATGCAGAACTGGACTTTGCGGTCTTTCTTGGGGATCAAGAAGGGGAGAAAGATGGAAAAGTCGGAGAGGTAGCCTAGCCAACCACCCTTCTCCTTGAGCTTCTTTGCGCGTTTGCGTTTGATGTCGATTACATCTTCGTCTGATTCGCTGCCTGAAATGTACTCATCGTCATCGACCTCTGTGTCTGACGATGTCTCGGTGCCGTAGCTTGGGCATGCTCTGCCGTTTGCATGGCCGTTTGACTGTAGAAAGGGCTGCGATTCCTCCGCTTCTGAATCAGGTGTGTAGTATCTACCAGTGTTGGAGAGATGGTAGATCATGAGGAAAAGAAGTGGTAGGAGTCTGAACGTTTGGGAGGTAAGTTGTACAGTATGATAGATATCATTCCGGCTGTTGATAGCGGAGAATATTTGTAGTGGAACCTCAAAAGCAAGAGTGATGAGCGATGTTCCGAGAACCAACAACCGCGGTGCAGTTCGTTGACTCCAGATAAACGCCCATAGCGATAGTAGCACGACCAGGTGTATCGTCTCAGGCTCTTTACTGTGTTGACTCTCCTGCACAAACGTCACTATACCCTCAGCCAAATACCCCAGGATCAAAAAGCCAATAGCAAGTCGATTATAATTCCGTGGGGTACTTTTCCCAGTGGTGCGAGCAGCGTTGAGGAAGGTAACAACCGGAACGAATACTACAGCCACTGCAGAGCAGCTGTAGTGGAGGATATTTGAGACCTGAAGAATTGTCGGCATTTTTGCGAGCCAGGCAGGTAAATGTAACGAGGAAAACGGTGTGACTTTATTTAACTATTGCGAACCGTCTGGTCAAATCTTATATACCCAATTCCTCAGCCCTACGTGCGACTCTGCCATGAAAAAGCCAAGGTCATTTGAGGCGCATATATTCGACGCAGCCAATCGGCGTGGGTATGAGTCAATGCCACAGCGGGTTTCGCCACCAAGAGTGACCATTTGTGGTAATAAGTTGCGACGTGTTGATTGGCTACGGCGTATTTCTGCTGTGGGGGGCAATATACGGGAGGATGATTATGCTTATTATTGGTTTTGTATGACTTTGTATTGAGTCATGAGGATTCCACTGCCGAGGCTCGTGCTGTTTAGCAGCTGGAGTTTTGTATTTTGGGATATGGATGAGATGAGGTTTATTCCGGTGCCGAGAAGCGTGGGCATTATAGCGATTTCGACGGTGTCCACTAGATGAGCTTCTAGACACTGGGCTGCGAGATGACCACCGCCCATTAGCCAGATATCCTTCCCGTCACTTATTTTCAGGCGTCTGATGTAATCGAGTACGTTCTCTTGTATGACTGTGACATTGGGGAAATGGTTCTGGGACATGGTGCGACTGGCTACTATGACTGATTCTTTGGGGCGCTTGGATAGTGGATTATCAGCGCCGAAGGATTGCATGACCTGGTATGTCTTGCGGCCCATGATGAAGTAGTCAAATTCAGCGTATAGTGAGGAGAAGTCGATGGTGGGATCTTCGATGATCCAGGGTGTTGAACCGTCGGGTGATGCGATGTAGCCGTCGAGACTTGCTGCGACGTTGTAGCGAAGGCGCGGCATGTTGGGCAGTAAATGATGAGATTGAGGTTGAAGTAAGATGAGAGTCTGTGCGATATGCGTGATGACTGAATATTTATTCGATCGGGTGAATAATCCCGCCGATTACTCGCTAGAGTGAATGCCCTCCAAAATGCTTGGCTTGGCGTCCCAAAATATTACCTAACAACTGACCAGCATCTAATTCTCAGATTTCTTCACATCAACCTGCGTCGCAACTAACAACTCCTCTCTTAAGAGCCAAATCAGAGGGAACATAGTTCCTGGTCCAAGCAAACCTCCCAACACAACAGAAGCGCAGCCAGCTCGGATCCATGAAATACTGCAGATCCCAACATTCTCAAGGTCCTTGAAGTGATACGCCAACCACAGAAAGCCGGCTGAGTAACAGCAAATGCAATCGAATTGGATGACAGTTCGAAGTCCGAGGATTGGGTCTTGTGGCGTGGTGAGGAAATACTGCGGGATGAAGACTTCAAAGAGGCTGGAGTCCATGGTGAGGGTAGTATACCACCACGTCGCCGTACTTATAGCACTGATGACACCGATTGTGAGTCGAATGGCGTTTAGCTCTTGCTTAATTGACTTCGGCGTCTGCTCCTTTGGCTGAGGAATTGTCTTCGATAGTATCAGCATAATGACTGATCCCCAAATTGGAAACAGCTGCCAAATCCAATTCCACCAATTCCTCGCCTCAAGAGAAGAGTGAAAAAACGAGGGAAAGTGTGTGATATAATATCCCAACACTACCGTAGGCAGAATAGCTAAGCAGGTCGCTAACCCAGGACGATACAGACTCGGTGTTGTAAGTTTGTAAGCAGGAGTGAAGATGTAGAACAGAAAGAAGAAGACAGGCGCAAAACAACCTATGCCAAACATCTGTGATAGAAACAAAAAGACAACAGGGCTTACTACCGTTAGCACAAATACCTCTGCATGGAAGCACACTTACTACTTGATCACGGGAAATGTATTCCCCGGTCTATACGCCTCGATCATCACAACAGCATACATCCCCGCAAAATCGGTCAAGAACACCAAAAGCTGCCAATACGCCTCCTCATCTGTAAAGAACAGCAGATGCGCAAAGGCAACAGTAACCACGGCGAAAACATCATCTAGAATAGGTACGCCATAGAAACTCTTAATTACAGGTACGGTAACGTTTTGCGCGGTGAAAATAGAGGTTTTGACAGTTTCTTCGATCATAGGACCGATTGGCTTTGCCATTGCGAAGGCGCGGGACATGAGGGCTGTGATTAGGAGGAAGGGAAGGGCGTGGATGGCGCGTCGGAGACGGCTTTCGGGGGGTGAGGTGTGTGTCATGGTGATTGGGTTGTATGATTGGAGTGAAGATCGTGAGATGAGGAAATAAGGTGGATTCACTGAGGTGAGGTTAGGTTGACGACGGATCCTTGTAGTCAGCCCACCAACCGAAGGATGCGAATCCTGTAGCCAATCTTCAGAGAGACTACATACTTATATTCTGATAGATTGGTATATATCCGAGTTCAAATCATTTCTCTGGGTCTTTCCTGTATCGCTGATCGTTGTGTCTCTTGATTTTGATTTCCAGACTCCAATGTACAGCTTGATACTAGCAGATATAATTCCTTTGATGGAAGACTTGAATTCCTGCTACTGATACAAAACAGCGCTCTATGGATATTGATGCACGCTTACTATAATACCCTCAAGAAAGAACCGCACTTATAGCCAACGCCGCTGCAATGACATACCCCAACACCGATTGACTCATCAACCTCACCGCATCATCCTCCTCATCACCCTTTGAATCAGTCGAGTTATCCCCACTGCCTTTATCCCCACTTCCTTTATCACTAGGCTTCTCATCACCAGACTTATCACCCTTATCTTTACCATCATCTCCCTTTGTAGAGTTCCTCTCACTCGTAAAGTTGCCCTTCAAACTCATCCCAAAATTCGCAGCTGTGAATGTCGCGTTTCCTTTTGACATCCACGTCTCTGTTCCAAACTCAATGATGCCTAGCCATGGATCTTTCGGTAAATCATCTGCGTCGATTTGTTTACGCGCTTGTTTGAGAATATACTGAAATAAAGGGTAGAAATCCTCGTCGAAGGATAATACGTCGCTGTTGTCCTTTGTAACAGCAGTGAATACGTGTGTTCCTCCTGAGTTCCGTCCGTAGAAGAGCGAGCTGTAGCAGTTAGTATGTACATTGGAGGATGAATGGCGCACTTACAACTGCGTCTTCCCAAGCGTAACAGTCGACAAGATACTATCGTTCTGCCGTCCAAGCCACCACGGATCCCCCACCCTTCCCAACCAAACCATAAACTCCACCGCCGCAACCTGCGGATACAGCGTTCTATTCCTATCATCATCCAGGAAGAAATCCCACGCCGCATTCGCCTGCACGCCGTCCCCTTCTAACTCCGGTTTGTTCTTCGCCCAGACCTCGTTACTGAAAACATCTGGTATTTTTGACGGACTGCCTGGTGTGTAGATCCAATCTGTTGATAAGCGGATAGATTCTAAATCGCTCAGACGAACGGGGAGGCTCGGGTTGTTGAAGCGCACGTAGGGAAAGGAGTGTACGTCTTGGATGTCCGCGGGCCAGTTCCACGTTGCGGAGAATGAGGGTGTGCTGTTGTCGACTTTGAGGCATACGAAGCCGTTCTTTGGACTCTTTTTGTTCCATGCATTTGGGTAATCTGCAGTAATCAGCAAGTATCCATCTCCTCAGGTGCGATTGAACATACATGAGAGTGAGTCATTTAATTCACCCAACCGCTCATTCCCACATACTCTCTTAACCTCCTCCTTCCCCCAAACCTCCGCTGCTAAAATCGCATACCTCACAACGGTTGTGACTTTCATGTTGAGGCCTCAATGTTGCAGTGAAGGAGACAAGGGTTCCATGCAGTGTTACAGCAGATGATCTAAACTTTAGGGGCTTGGCTGTTGGGGCGACAACAAGCTCAGCCTCACTTGGCGGTTCGGGTCGACGGCAATAAAATTTACTTTGGAGAGACTTGTATGATCGTGTAAAATATAGTTTCGATATACGAGAGGCGTTGTGAAGGTATGGGCGCTTACGTGGCAGTGAGAAAAAAGTCACGACGTCATGGGGTTATTTACGATCGACGCGTTGTGGAACCATCGTCAGGTCCCCGATTCTTTGGTAGATCACTTTACGCGTCTTCTCACGATGGATGGTATAAAGTTGCATAATTATGCATAATTGTCTGGATATGTTTGAACCAAACGCGAGTCCCATTCAAACCGTTCGACGTAGTCGTTGAGTCGCACGGCGAACCAGTACCCTTCCGTCCATTTACTCTCAGTCGTGCATCGTAGTAATTCCTTACGCGTGTCTTAAGTGTCTATTAGTACATCGAGATTATGCGGAAGTCGCGTTTCCATCCAATATTTTAGGTAGTAGTCGTGAGAACTGGTGTATTGCATCCAAGCTGTGACAGATAATGGTGGCGGCGAAGCCATTATGGGGGTTTTCAATTGAAGCCCATTTACTGTAACAACCACAAAACATTCACCACCACGCAGCTCAGTGTATAAATTGTCCCCCTTACGACGGCAAAATATGAGATGAATTAGTTTCTGTTTCTATCCTTCACTTCGATCAGACGATGGACAGGCTCGCGCTGATTCCATTGCCGGGTTTCGGTGTTCAGCTTCAGGGTAGGTCGTGGCTAGTGCTGTAATGTGGCCATGCAAACTGTGGCTGTTGTCCAGTCAACTCCGCTTTACCAATTGAGGTCATTCAATTGATCTATGCAATCAAGCATTACAGCATCATCACGAACAACCAAGATGGCAATGCCAGAGCAACCGCCGCTTCATTTTACCTCGGCGATAGCCTGAACCCTCAGAAATGACCGTCGATATCCTCTCATGGCTGCGCCTGGTCGACGATAGTCCATACCCTCACGAGCTCGACCTAGTGAAATCGCCAAAAGCTACACGATCGACTCGCAAGCGACAGCGCAGCTGCAGCTCGACCAGCTCCCGTCATCGACCAATCTCCAAACCTCCTACGAATGATTTTACACATCCGACACCTCCTCCAGACTCTCCAACATCCTCCAAAGCGCAGGCCGAAATGGCACCAACAAAGAAACGAAAGACTACCAAAGACGCAGTCCCAAGTCCAAGTCCAGACGAGGCACAATTCGACGATGACGGTGAACAAGAAAAGACCCCCAGACCTCTGCGGAACGTCCATCTCCCCAGCGATACATCGTCAATGTCCTCAGCGAGCGGTCGATCGGGTGCTTCATCGCCACGAAAGCAACTAGCGGCCATGGCTCTATCCTCCCACGGCATCGAAACACGAGCCATGTCTGATCCATCCGGCCTCCCACCAAGTCTAGCCGAAGTACGAACCAAGTTATTGCAGTTCAGTCGAGGACGGGGCATTCTTGGAGAGAAGGACCTGGAGAGCATACGAGACGAAGCCGCTGCGAGGGCGTTACATCCGGACATGGCTGCTATTTACGAGGATAAAGAATTCTGCTGCTCCACGCGTCGCGATGAATTGGGCGTTACACCGAGCCCTGAAGATGTGGTGTATATTCTTGAGTGCGCGGGCGATTGCCTTCGAATGGGGAGGTCTGAAGCAGCGTGGAATCATGAGGTTCACTTCTCTCTGCTGTGCTTGGCCCTTCGGAACCGATCGAAGGGTGCATTCAAACGACTCATCAATGTGACGTCGTGGTAGGTTTACTGACGCCCTTCTTCTGATACCTCTTCTGATTTGCCTACCAGTTCATCCGCCTCCATCATCCCCGACTACCGCATCCGCTTCGCACCCCATAAGAAGATCGACTTCTGCGTCTATCTCGATCCTCACCACGATCCCAACGATACAAACATTCCCAGCACCATCGACACCGTTCGCACGCGTCTTCCAGGACTGTCAATAAACCCAACCGATGATCTATCGCTGTTGAGCAATCCAATCGCCATCCCCATCGAGACTAAGCGTCCCGGCGAAGGCTTGGATACTGCCAACCTTCAAGTCGCGACGTTTTTAACAGCGCATTTGACGCTTCTGCAGCGACTTGTTGACGCTGGTGCTTCTGTGTCCGTTGACGATGGGGAGACGGCGCCTTCGGTTGATGATCTGGGCTTTTTGCCTGGATTGATCGTGCAGGGAAATACGTGGAATTTTATCGCAGCGAGTCGTCAAGCTTCTCGAACCGTAAGTTTACCCCTCGTCATTGACGATCTTTGCTAATTGTTCAAGGTGATCTGGTCAGAGACATCACTCGGTTCGACGGGCGATATATTCGGCATCTACCAAATCGTCGCATCGTTACAATTACTGCGTCAATGGATCAGTACGACATATTGGCCCTGGCTACGACGCGTTACGCAGAGAGCTGCTACAGCTGTTCAATTACGCGATGACCCAGCTGGATGATGGACGTCTCAGGATGATGCAGCAAGAAACTCAAATTCATTGGAGGCCCCGAAGCTTGAAGGACCCCGCCACGCGCGGATACAGCCGGACGCCAATTAGATCACTCGGGACGATTTTAGATCATGCCGAAGCCAAGCCATTGCGGCGTCAAGGGCCCAGATCGACGGACTGAAGCTGGCAAGCTTGAGGAGTCCAGGCCCAGCTTGCTTCACCGTCATTCCATCCAGGTATGACGACCACTTTGTACCGGGACAGTGGGCTGGATGCGCTTGGACCAGGGTTGGACGTTTCGAACGGGACGGGAGAAAGTCCCCGCGTCATGGTGAGGCACAGCCCACTCGGGGTATCACAACAACAACCCTCACCAGCGTACAGCAGCTGGGATGACAGAAGTCTCTAGATAGAACTTAAGCAAATATATCTTAATAACTGTCTATTTTATTCCTGTCGCCTTCACTTTAGTCTCTTTTTGGTGTCCCTAGACAGCTCCCCTCACATCCAGGGATGCCAATCTCGTAAACCCGCGATAATTCCACGACTTCACAGCTATCCCCCGCCACGCCATTCCCGCGAGGTATTAGCAAGCTGTGGCAATCCCCTCAAAGTCCGGCAAAGACGGCATCTCCAGTCACCGAGTAGACAGTCAGAAATACATTCGTCAATGCCAGCTGAAACCCCTCCTCTTCCACAACCCATCATCGCGTTGATTGATGATTACGTCCTCCAGTGGAGCTCAAGCGCGCCGCTTATCCGAGCTCGCACGGCATCGATTGCCGAAGTAGTCCCTGTATCATGAGCCGTGAGATCCGATGAGCTACGACTTCAGCCACTACTGGCTCGCACACCGTCATGGCTTGAAACTTGACTAGAGGCCGCCTGTGCAATGCGTCTTGTTTCCAAGTTTAGAATAAAATAGGATGTAGACTAGAGCTCAAGACCCCTGGACCCCTCAAGGTATAAAGTTTTGAGCTCTTCTGTGTGCATCAATTCTTATTCAAACATCCTACATCTTTATCACTTATTTACTATCATCAAATAAATCATTCATAATGGGTTGGTTTGAAGAGAGTAAGTTCTCCTGAGCAGTTGCCACCAGATCCCTACTGATTGACTTGTTAGATAACACCGAGGTCGTTGAGCAGTTCAACGACTACAACCAAAACTCTGGGAACAGAGAGCATCACGCCAAGCTCTCCCACGAGATCATCGGCGGTGCTGCTGCTTTTGAAGCCGCCAAGGCGTACGAGGATCACGTTGCCAAGAACGGTGAGATCAACTCATGACGCCCGACAAGACGGTACTGATAAGTGTGCAGGCAGGCCAGATAGCCATGCCAAGGCTAAGGAATTCTTAGTCGGAGCCGTTGGTGCTTTCGTTGAACGAGAGTTTGAGACTAAAGGTCTGGACTTCTATGATAAGGAGCAGGCAAAGCGTCACGGCGAACGCAAGGCGCACGAGGAGCTTCAGAACCAGTACTAGGCCTGTGTTCAGATTCCTTGGTAGTAAATAAATTCAACGAATAATGAACTCTACGTGGATCGATGTTTAATGTTAATTTGTGAGCAGCCAAAGACAAGATCTTAAGCAGTAGTGAGAGTGATGGATATATTGCCCGCATGTCTTCATTGGGTGGTCTTTACCTTTGTGAATTGAGGCTGAAGCCTCTATTAACGTCCCAACCTTGTCACAATTAGTCTGTGAGATCTGAGATAGACACGATCAGCTTTTCGGCATAACTAATAATTATGGCTTTATTTACATACTTGCCATAAGACTTAGTGCTCGCTACTGTCGACTAAGGTATTATTCAATAAGTCAGTAGCATACACGAGAAGCAGTATTTTAGTATTATATAGCTATAATATAAAACAAATAATAAAACCGAGGTCAGGCAACAACCCCCGATATAATAAATGCTTAATACAGTAGGTAGATATACCAATCATTATGAAGCATTTATCTGGTCATGGGTAAGTCCCCACAATTCAGTGGTCCGAAAGGCTGCAAATGGGGGCTTTCCCGAATACACTTAACTTACTAAGGCGGCTTTTTTCCATATACTATGTTCTATAATTTATTATTAGTGATATCAGTATCTTGGATTTATCTTACTATACTCAAAGAGCTTGTAGGTCTTATAATCTTTTCTTTATTTTGTAATTATTAAATTTAATCTATTGCTCCTGGTACTCTTGTAGTCACATGGTGGGTAATGCGATGCCAACCTATCATCATAAAGTGCAAACAAATTAAGCGCCGAGGCCTCGCTGTTGGTCGTATTGTGTTGGTCCAAATCCTCTGATTGCTTGAATGTCTTCCCCCGCCTGGGCGGCAATTTTCATCCCAAAACTTGCCTTTTGCATTCGCCTGCACAAATAATCTCCTGTTACATCGTTTCGATTCTATCTTATACCGTGTCTCATCAACAATATGGCAGAGGCTGCTGGCACCGCCCTCGGGATAATATCCTTTGGCCTTCAGCTGTACACCGGATTATCAGAGTACCTCGATGCCGTCAAGGGGAGAGAAGAGGATCTTCTGGGGGCCAAAAATAACGCAAAGACCCTGCAATGCTCCTTGAAAGCAATCGAAGATACAATGAGTCAAGTTAACGGCAATGCAATGGCCCAAGACGCTGTAGAGGAGTGTAAGAGCTCATGTGAATCTGAGCTCAAGGCCTTGTATAAACTTCTTAACGACTTGCAGGGAAAGCCTATTGATCCTGCAGACCCTATTACTAAAGTAAAGAGTTCAATGCAAAAATGGAGCTACCCCTTCAAGAAGAAGAACATCGCCAGGCTTGAGGAACGATTAAAGTCGGCAAACAATGTCCTCAAAACTGCCTTATCGGCTTTACAACTGTATGTTATGGTAATCTACTGCCGTGGGAATCGCGACTAACTTGGACTCACATTCAGGGCCATTTTGAACGATCAGAGCACAGCTATCCTTTCTTTACAGCAGACAATGGCGACCATTCTAGCCCAAACTGAAAGCATATCCAGAACGGCTCAATTTCCTTACACAAAGGCAGACGAGATCCTTGACCATCTGCGCAATGCTGAAACTATACAAACGCAAGTTGCTCAGCTTGTGTCATACCCAAAAGACCTGCAAATACTTTGCGACGCTGTTTCAAAAGTGTCACTGCGCTCAGAGCCGCAATCTACGCCGCCCAACCCACATACAATAAGATCTATCACGAGACAGAGAGGGAGAACACAGGAGTTGTGTAATTGTGCCAAGCGTCAGCATATCCAACGCAGCACAGCCCGCTTAGGCTTGGTATTCTTTGAGACCGAGTCTAAGAGGATAACTCACCACGCGCCCGAATGCCCCTTATCACAGGTTGTCACATCAACCGAGCAGAAGCGTAACGCGGTTGGTATTTCTATTCCCAACATCTTGAACATCTTGAAGAGCGCTGTCGGTGTTTCAATCTCTCTCACAACTGGTGCAGGTGGCTTTAGTCTGGCCCAAAACATCACGTGGAGTCCAACAGTGGACGAAAGTCTTTCGCCAGCCTTCAAGCTCATCCGGGCTCTTTGTGACCTAAAGACATGGAGAGAGCCAAGCTTGGGTAAGAAGGAATATGAGATGATTGCCACGTCATGTGTGCGGCGACTCCATTTATGTTATGCCAAGCGCCAAGCGTCTCCAGTTGACATGAACAGCAACGGCGAATCAGTGCTTGACGTCCTAGCATCAGGGATGCAAAGCGATGTGAGTTGATTCAGCTTCACGATAGCTGGCGCACATACTAACGATGCATATTCACAGCTAAGCCTGGGGAACGAAGCCGCAGATGATGTAGCATTTGTCTTTCGGTCCCTCGCTACTATTGAGGTGCCTATCACCTATGACCGAGACGGAAAGTAAGTTTAGAACTATACCCTATGCCTGGGTGACATCTGTGACATGTACTAATGGTTCTATAAACTAGTTTACGCTTTCTACCTCATGTACTAGAGAGCACATGGTTACTTAACACCAACACTCTCCCTGAAACCATGTCAGCACTTTTGTCCCGGTGCGGCGAGTCGACGAGACATGACTATGCAAGCGTCTTCGGTTTTGACAATTACCCAAAAAGACGTAGCATCCTCAAAGAGTTTCCTCAGGTTGCTCAGAGTAAGTCGTCAATGGTGTTCAAAACTAGCTGGCCTTGGGTATAAATACTAAGATAAACTAGGTCTCGGGTTCAACCCACTGAGCATCGCAGTTCTCAGAGAGGATGAAGATGATGTTAGATTCCTGATCAAAAAATATCCATCGTTCAGAATGGAAGTCAACTACTGTGGACAGTCACCTGTTCACGTAGCTGTCTTGGTCGGAAATCTAGACATACTCTCGCTCGTCATCAAGGATCTCAACCTTGAAGCTATTAACACCAGGGACAGTATGCAAAGATACCCGATCGATTATGCGGTTTCCCATCTTCTTGGGAAACCAAAGGCAAATGACCAGAAGTCATGTGTCAGTTGCACGATGGTGGAGCTACTGCTTGATTCAAAGGCAGTTCTATATGAGTCATCTCTGGAAAAGGGTCTATGGAACGCATGTACCCGCACCAAAACAGCCATTCTTCAGCATTTGGCACAGAGGAGGAAGGAATTGGAACAACTAGCAGTTTCTAACCTTCCTGCTACTGAGGTACAAGACCTTGGCCTATGTAGAGGTTGGATCTTGGACCGAAATACTTTCAAGGTGCAATGCTGCCTCAAAGCTCAATCCTGCAGTGTACCAAGTTACCTTAAGGCGCGCTGTGATAAACAACCGGCGGTGTCGCAGGAGACGCCAAAGTCTGTGTATACTTATATACTTGACAGAGAGACTGCTGAGTATGCCTTTTCGTTAGGCTTTGACCGGGAGACTGCTTTTATCGACACTTTTCGCCGCATAACAAGGGATGTTATCAAAAGAGGCTCACGTGGTTGGCCCTCTCCCTGGTACATCGACTGGATACTCGATGGTGGCGGGGACCTTGCATCAACTGTGCCACTGGATTTCGTGCCTGGGGTTGTTAATCTAGCAACATGGGCTCATTATCTCATGTCAGCTTTAGGATACAAGGCAAGATATTACCCTTACAGGCTTTACGACAATGTTTTGCCGCAGTCAGTTACAAAAGTCACCTTTTCCGAGGTCCTAGGCGATGATTGTCAATGCCACTGCTCCGTACAGGGCTGCACACCACTCATTAAGTTTCTGGAGGGCCTTGGGTGTCGCCGTCGCTTCCCTCGAACCTGGTTTACTCTAACAGAAGCTATCAGATCCTTTGTGGCAAGCATCCAAGCTCTGATTGCCGGAGAACATACTGAACAAAGCTGGATGCCTCGTGCGGTCCTACGCTACGCGACATTCTCTGCATTAGGGCTCCGTCATACTTGTTGTAAACATGCACATGGCGGCTTATGCTCCAGTATGGATTCAGATGAGATCGATGAGATACATGAGGAGGATTCTGCTACGCTACAACAGTTGGAAGACCTTGTTGCACACTTCGGGAATGGCTATGGAAGCATGACCACGCTGGATGTGTTTTTAAAGGACGTTTGGCTTCTAAAGATGAAAGAGGTGTATGAAGAGATGGCTTCCTATCAAATTACTGAAGAGGAGCTCAAGAAGGCAGAAGATTGCGGTGTGAAGCTGGCCGTTACCGATAGCAAACCTATCCTCGGGTGTGAACCTCCTGAACCATCTAAAGGTTCGTATTTCAGCATAAAGGTGGATGTTGATGAGCCAGAAGGTTTTCCTGATATTGTACCAATTGGCTTGGGAGGGTGGATGGAACGATTAGACGAGATCGCGATAGATCCAGACCGGTCTGTACTCGTCACTCCTGCGTCCTCGAGCACTATTGCTGTGGCCCAGACCGGTGCCTCGTACGTTGCATAGTGGTGCCGCAGGTCAGAACAGCCAAAAGTAGTAGTATAGAACAATATGAGAGATATGGAATTGTATGATGCATTGCGATATAAGTCAGCGCTATTCTCTTAGATGATATCATGGTCACAGGGCTTTCCTTCGGAACCAGTGACATCATGCAAATGCAACGAAGCCGTATCTCTAACCCTCTTAATAGACCCCACCGTGGTGTTCGACGGTGTCTTGGGAATAAGCTTAACACCATCAATAGCGAGCTTGCTCAGAACATGTGCAGCGGCCTTAGCATTGATGTGAAGCGTCTCAGGAACAGGGTTAGTAATGTTGTCACAAGCTTGGTGATAACAAGCGTCCTGCTCAAGACCCGTGCCAGTGAAAAGACCACCAACTGGCTTTTTGATGACCTCGCGGAAGGCAACGTAGTCGGTTCCACCGGTCAAGCCAACGGGTGTAACTTCAATCTTTTCCTTCTCAAAGAACTCCCTGAAGAGATCCTCGATCACATCTGAGCCAGGAGGTCCGCCGGGACCTACCTTCTCACCGGTTCCGTCGAAAACACCAAAGAAACCACGAGATACCATGTCGAAGTTGAGATACGCCAAAAGGTTATCGACGTCAGTGGTCTTGAGGTTGTTGACGTAGTAGCGAGATCCGACGAGGCCGTTCTCTTCAGCACCCCACCATCCAAATCTGATCTTAAGCTTGGTGGAAAAGTGCTGTAGACCCTTTACTGTCTCGAGGATAAGAGAAGTTCCTGACCCGTCGTCGTTAATGCCAGGTCCTGCTTGAACTGAGTCGAGATGGGCTCCCAGCATGACGACGTTCTCGCCATCGCCACCTTTGGTTTCGGCAAACACATTCTGGGTGATGCGCGTTTCGATGGTCTGAATGATCTTGACAAATACTTCGAGCTTCTCACCCGCATCGAGGCGAGCCTTCAGTGCCTTTCCGGGGTCTTGATCAATGAGGCCAGTGGGGACGTACTCCTTTGGGTTAGGTGCGGATAGAGTACCAGCTGTAAGCTTAGCTTCATCGGAGTTATAAATAACAACGACTTGAGCACCAGCTGCAGCAGCAGGTTTAACCCTACCTGCGAAAGTGGTACCATCAGGGCAAAGACCACGCTCGACGAGGACAACCTTCCCTTCAACATCGAGCCCCTCATAGTTCGCCGCATCACATGCAGCTGTACCTTCAGGGCCATGGATAAGCTCAGCTGTTACACCATCTTCAGAAGTACTGGGAGTGTAAGTCAGAGCAACCGTTCTGAAGGTTTCATCATCGACGGTGACCTCAGCTGCAAGAGTTTGAGTAAAGTTCGCGGGGAAATCTTGCTTCCAAGTCTTGAAGCCCTTGAGCTTGGAGATCTCGTGGTAGATGAAGTCAACTGAAGCAGCGTATCCTGGAAGACCGAAGGCACGGTTTCCTCCGTTGGCGTAGGCGATGTCATTGAGCTTCTTCAAGTTGTGCATCAACCTGCAGAGGTCAGTGGAGGACATTCAAATGATGTTTTATGACGTACCCTTTCTCAGTGATGAGCTTCTGAAGCTTCTTTGAGCTCACTGGAGGCTTTGTAGCCTCGGTCAAAGGCGAAAGAGCCAGAAGAGCAGCGGCTGTAGTCAATTTCATGATGAGTAGCTTCACGTATCGTTCAGAGGAAAGAATGGAGAGCAGGAACCTTTCACCTTTAATACCCAGAAAATGCCCAGAAGAAAACCCCCTCATCAATCAACACAAGTTCCTCCAATTCTTCAACAATCTTGCGTGATCCGCCCCGCAAATATCTCTATCACGGAGTAATCATCAACGTTTGGCAACTAGTCCGTGAAGATCAGCTTTGAATCGGGAAGGTCGGTAATTGACAATGTAACATGCCAAGCCGACACTAAGAATATGCATAATACCAACTTCCCGATCTGTATACAGCCTTTATCTCGACCCCGCTGCTGAGTAGTTTTGAGCGCTTATCAAGAGACTTTTATCTTGGGAATAGCCTGATGGACGGGGCCAAGAGGTTCTTTTACAGCAGTGCCAAACGGAATGGAGTATTTGTCATGGCTTGATGTTTCTTGGGATGATGAGTAAGTGGCTGTGACGTACGTATACGAGGGACCTTTTGTTCCTCTTGGCCAAGTGGAGACGCTGTGTATGTAGCATTGAGGTATGTCAGCGGATATTGAGATCGTACAAATGGAGACTACAGATCAAGCCGATGTTATGGGAATAGCGATAATAACTCTAATAATTTGACCTAGCTTTGAGTGCTTAGCAAGGTTCATGTAATACACTTGAGGGAGAATGATGTTTGACACGAGGAACATAACCCAAACTGACAAACATTAAGCCTTAGCATGCAACCATTTCCCATCTTGCCCCTCACAAAATCCGTCAAAGCTCAGCCTGACAGGACGGTGCTGCTACTACTCTTGCTTATGACCAACTTCGAGCCAGCTAGTCTAACTTGTTTACAGGCTTCTCTCGGACAACTTCCGTCATTTTGACATGCATGGCCGGCTTCTCATAAAGGAAGTAAACTTTTTGTACGATCCAGTCCTTACTTTCTGGCAAGAGTTCAAGATCAAACTTCCAGAGCAGTCGGGTCAATAAAACTCGCGTTTCAGTGTATGCAAAGCTTATTCCCGATTAGTTGGCAATCTTAGTTTTTTACCAGATCATGTTAACATACCTCTTGCCAATACAATCTCGAGGACCGACAGAGAACGGCTGTAGCACATCCTTGTTATCACTGGCATATTTCGTGTCGCCTAACCAGCGTTCCGGGATAAATTCTTGAGGGTCTTTAAAATTAAAAGGCGATTGGTATGCAGGCCGATGAGGGACAGAAACCGAAGTCTAAACGCAAGCCTATCAGTCTCCGTCTTGAAATACTAAAGAAGAGTAACTCCAATCTGACTTACATTCTCAGGGATCCAATAACCTTCGATACTCTTGCCTCCAGCTGGTGTGATCCTTGCAAGACCGCTAGCGGACGGTGGGTCTGAAGAATAAATTAATACAGAGCCAGTAAGGAATTTTGAAGCTCTACAACTTCTGCCGATGTGACTGACAAATGCGAAGGCCTTCATTGAGGACAGCCAGTAGATACTGAAGCTGATTTATACGAGGCAGGGTAATCTCGTCCTCGGATTTGAATGCAGAGCGAATCTCATTTACTAGTATATTATACTTATCAGGATTCGTCAGTAGATAGTATGTCGTGCCGCTCAGGAGCGTGGCTGTTGTTTCGCTACCAGCAGCAACAAGTAGGCTTGCATTTTCAAGGATCTCAGCCTTAGTCATGCCCTTCTCATCATCATGATTCAGAATGTGGGACATGATATCGGAGTTGTTCGTATTTCTGGTGTTAAACCGAGTTGATGCTGCACGGTCAACGAACTGCAAGTCATTCTTCAAGGTGTTGTCGTGGCTTGTTGGAATCAGCCAATGGATCCAGTGAACGAGTCCCAAACGAGCAATGACTGTTATAAAGGAAAAGAACTTGATACTGGTAAGAAGAAGTGTAATCCATGGGTGATAATGGCCAGTATCAAGGCATCCGAATGGTTGGCCCAGGGAGATATGACCCATTATATCAAAAGTAGCATAATTGAACCATGCCACCATGTCAATATTGGTACCTGACCTCTGACAAAGCTCTGCAATAAATTTATCAGTATAATGGTTTAAGATACTCTCGTAATCGCGGAGGGCCTTTGTTGAAAATGCGTAAGCCAGATGGCGACGTATGCGCTTGTGATCTTCATGGCCAGCAGTTACAATATCCTTGACTGGGTGGCCCTGTCTATACATTCGCAAATCCTTGTCGAAGGGTGCAAATCCGCTTGCCTTATGACCGTAAATAATTCTGACAGCATCGGCAGTGATAAAAGAGATATCATTAGGGGCAAATCTCACGACAGGGCCGTATTGATTGTGTAGCTTGTCAAGCTTATCCAACCAGCTACCTTGGGTGAGATGGTAGAAGTAGGGAATTTGAGTAATAGCGTATAGTTTTGGGCCCGGGACTTTGGCAAGTGGATGGATAAAGGCGTAGTAGGTTGCTGTAATGAGAAGATATAGGGCCTAGATGAATATAAGAGATGGTGCAATAGTTGACTAGGCTGGGGCTTACCAAGATTGCAAACAAGAGAGCCAGTTTGTTATTAAAAACGAGTTCGAAGACAAATTCATATTGTGATGTGTTCATCCTGACAGAGACTGGACTACTAAGCAATAGAAGATAAAACGTTTACCTAAGAAGTATTTGAGATATTGCGCTTCTATAGATAGGAAGATCTAGTTAAAGCCTGTAGAGTGTATTACACTTACAGACTCTAAGATTATTTTACACTATAAAGATAATAATATTTAATATCTTAAAATATTTTCTCCAAGCTTATTTAATAATAACATATTAATAAAACTTTAAATAGTTACCTTATTTATTATAGTATTTTATTTATAAAGTATATAAGTTAAAGTTTTTA